TACAAATTTGTTAACATCTAATTATGAAATGTAAAACATTTTTTTAAAGATATACACTCCTTGCAATTCTACAATATATCAGGTGAAAAACTTAATTTATTCTTCTATTCAGTAAATTGTTTACTCATTTATGTTGGGTTTTTCTGGTGTTTTTAAATAGGGCTTGGCAGATTTCATGGGTGTAGAAACGTCTGGTAGTGAGTCTACAATTGTTGGCGGTATGATGGACAGATGGACGGAGAACAGAAGAGAGGTCATTGAACTTCAACGAGCCTTGATGGAGGAGAGGGAGAAGACCAAACAGGCTCAAGAAGCTCTCATGGTAATTATAATGTCAAAAATCTACACAAACAACAAAAATATGCAACCAAATAACAGAAAGAAAAGAATTAAAGAAAAAAAAAGGAACGTCCTAGATAAATATTAGGCCTACCGATAATTTACAGTCAGTTACTAATAAGTATAATGAATGGCATCCTGTATACTACAATCAAGACAGCAGTAAGTAGTAATCCAATCTATTAATTAAGTAAAGTCAGAATCTCCTCTCCCTTACTTGCTCTCTCCAGGCCCCCTTTTATCCCTCTTCCTCTCTCGCTCTCTCTCTCTCTCTTTCTCTCTCTCTCTCTCTCTCTCTCTCTCTCTCTCTCTATCTCACGTTCTATCTCTCTGCCCCTCTCTCTGTATATCTCTTTTTTTTCCTCTCCCTTTAGCTCTCTCCCTCTCCCCGTCTTTCTCTTTCTTTCTTTCTTTCTCACTGCCTCCGTACCCTTTTGACTTTACACCTATTCAGTAATTTTGTTTTTCCCCACCACCCTTATTTTTGACAGGATCATCTCTCCCGTCCTGGTCCAGTGCTTGCCTCAGTAGTCACTCAGACCGATGACCACCAGGTCCAATCGGAAGGCCAACTTTGTCACAAGTCAGTCCCAACAGATCGGTAAGTGAATTATTTTAATCATCGAATGTACAAAGTCGTAGATTCATCATTTCAAAATTAAATTGGCTAATGATTTTTAATTCGCTGGTCTCTTGGTTATAAATAAAATTGATGAGCCCCATCATGCCAAAAAGATAGAAATGCTTATGAACAAAACTTAGCAGGCTGTCCATGTTTGCATGTAGTAACTCTACCTTTTTAGATCAATCTTTTGATTTAGTAGAGTATTCTTGATTTTAATAAAGGTTGTGACTATTGTAATATTTTCTAAAATTCCTTTTCGAACAGAGACCCCTTGATCTCCGGTAAGACCGAGCAGGAGCTACAGCAGATCAAAGAACACCTTTCTACGAGCATCTCCTACCGAAGCCATAGCTTCACTTTATCTGCATCTCGCGATCTCATCCATCTTGGTCCTCGCTGCAGAAGCCTGAAGACACTCAGGGCAGGGGATGCCTTCAGACCACCAAGTAGGACATCTCTGCTTAGAGGTGATTCTGCGATAGCCAGTAGGGTCAGCTGTTTGGAGCCACCATGTAACAGCAACATGATGGTCTCCAGTATGTCCGACCTCATTCCTTGGGCGGAGACGAGGTGCAGCATTGAACTTGGGAGAGGTGTCGCAGGAACTGTTTACCTCTTCCGTCACGCAGTCTCGAAGATCCCCGTCGCTGCCAAACTCGTGGAATACCCAGGAGAGTGCTTCAGGAACGAGGTCAGGATTCATCAAGCAATCAGTGGCCTCCCATGGTTTCCTACCTTCTATGGAAGCTTTGACATCGCAGATGACCAGGCAGTCCTGGCCATGGAGTTCGTTGGGAGTGAGTCTGAGGATCGTAGCTACACCATCACTGACTGTCTCGAGAAGTCCTTTATGAAGACAGGACCGGACCTCACCAGAGATGAGTGGTTTTATGTCCTCAATGGTGTTGCAGAAGGACTGAAAGCGCTCCATTCCAAGGGATTCCTGTGTAATGATCTCAAAGAAGACAACGTACTGGTTGTCGAGGAGTCTGGTCTCTGGCGAGCCAAGATCATCGATCTGGGATGGGCTTCTGAAATTGCCACTCCTTTTGTAATGTCTCTGGATGAAGAGCAAATTGATTTTTACCGTAGCGGCCGAGGGTGTAGCCATATTGCCCCTGAATGCGTGTTGGACGCCAGGCCCTGCTCAACATCCAGCGATGTCTACTCCTTAGGCAGATTGGTTGCATCCGTAGGTCGCGCCATGAGGTATGATGATTTCGAGTTATTGGGTACGCAAATCTACCTGGCTGACGAAGACCAGAGGCCAACCGTGCAAGAAATCATCGACCAGCTTTACGAAATGCAGCTGGTAGAAGGAGGGGAAGATGGCCCCGAGTCATCTTCTTGTTAGTTTATTCATCGGAAGGGGAATGGGGGAAGGGCAAAACCATATATAGCAGATACTGTAGCACATTTAACTTGAATGTAGCTTGTAGAACTGCAGGGGGGGGGGGAACTAGTGCATAGGGGAACTGAATGCAGAACTGGTCTTTAGAAGATGGATACAGGAAAAGAAGGATGAAGGAGTATATAGATAGAGAAGAAGGTGCAGGATGAGAAGGAGCAGCAGGAGCAGCAGGAGCAGGAGGTGAGAGAGGGACAGGCCCAATGGGAACCGCAGGCCAAGAAATTTGGGGAAAATAACCGGGAGAAAGACACAGCAGGCCTTAGAACAGCTGCAGACCGAGGGTTGGCAGATTTAGACGTATATAGAAAGACAACAGTGTTGTGATTTAAATCGGGGCAAAACGATGAAACTGTACATATCATCATTTAAAAAAATGTATATACTACTGTTGCCATGAACAGTCTGCTTTCGAAATAATCACTGTGTTATGTATTGCACCATTATATATTGTTGTATGACTAAGCTATTCTGAGTAACAGACACAGTGCTGTAATTCGATTTTGTAGAGCGCATTTCATGACCAAAGGAAATTCCAATGCGTTTTACATTGCATATCAAATAAACAGGATAATGGTAAAATTTCAACCCTAAAGAGTCGCATTTCTACTACAAATTGAATCGACAAGTGTATGAATATTAGACGATATCAAGGTGGAGCAAGTATAATCAAACGTGAACAAACAAAAAATGCTACATAATTTTGGTCACAATGCCATAATAGCAAAGGTTTGATTATATCGAATCCAGAATATTTTCTGATATCAAAATATTTTCCCCGGAACTTGAAAGAAGAATGTAACATACAACATTTTTTCAAATGATTTTTTTTGCAATAATTAACAATTCATTAGTGTTCAATAAATGCATATACATGTATGCACAATTACACATGTTTCATCTAGTGCATTCGTGTAATCTGTGCTAATTTATTGTTAGTTTAATTAGCAATGTCTTAATATTAACAATTGAATCTGATTAGTTAAAGAGGGTCGTTGTGCTGAGAGGTAGGGTAAGAAGTAAGGAGAGAGGACGGGAGGATCGAGAAGGCAGAGCTTGTTTTAATACCTCAACTTGCTGTTTGTGAAGGGGACGGAAAGAAGAAGAAGAAGAAAAACGGGACTGTAAAACGAAAGAAAAGCACTGAAGTATATTTTGGATGAGAAATGGCCTATTAATGTTTAGATAAAGACAACCTTTGGCGGTGGGACTAAAAAGGCAATATGTTCGAAGGAAAGAAATCATTACTAGTAGGAGAAGGTGGGAGAAAATAAAAAGAGAGAAAAAGAGAAAGAAAAAGATAGAGGTATAGGGGCCCGTTGTATCAGTAATGTTATTTCCTAAATGGGTAATAGTTATGTTCAACAAAACATGGACAAACTAGTATATTGTAATTGCAATTGTTAAGGTGTATTGAAGAAAAAAAAAATCAAATTAACAGGCTAAAGCTGACACACCTTTAAATAACATATAAAATTCCAGCATATGAAAGGTCCCTCAATTTTGTGCTGAATTTGTTTTCTCCAAACGGACTCAAAATAAAATGACCCGCTAATAGCGTAAATAATAATTGCATACGTTTTACATTTAGTATTAGATAACAGATTTGATTCTGTCATTTTCAAAAGCGGAAATTTCCCTTTTTACAGTGCTAGATAAACAAAACTTCTAAACCGCAAAGCTATTGTAAGCTGCAAACTTATTCGTAAATATTATTGTTAAAATATTGGGGAGTGTATGAGGTCAACTATATCCCTCTCAAAAAATAATTCACGCTTGAGAGTTCATGGATGAAGTGTGTAGATCCTGTTGCGGGAAACTATAAAATAAAACCCACTCAAGTTTTGACAAATGTTTCGAGAAAACAGTAAATATAGGCCTGCTACGGGGTGCAAATATCGTATGTATTTGAATTTAGAAACATACACGTAATGTTCTGCTATGTCTTTGTCCTAAAATCATATACATATTGGGCCGAGGCACGTAGCCACGGGGGGGGGGGGGGGGGGGGGGGGCTCGGCCTAGTCGGGTCATGCTCATTTCGGTATTTTGCTGATCTTTATGACACTGATATATAACACACGTCAAATGAAACGGAATTCAGATTTGTACTTTGCTTAGCCCCTCGGAGAGGACTTAAAGCTTTCGCTCCCCATTATGGCTGCAATACAAGCATACACGCAGTCACATAAAACAAACCAGCAAACAAAACAAAAAGAGAAAACACTTTCAGCGAGAGATAATCATATACCTAGAGAGATAGAATCAAAGAGAGATAGAAGTTAGAAAAATATAATCAGAGAGAGAGAGAGAGAGAGAGAGAGAGAGAAAGAAAGAAAGAAAGAAAAGGGGGAGGAGGCGAACGTGGTTGGTAGCATGTATGAATAGTCTTTAAAACAGACTCTATATTATATCACGATCCAAATTGGAGTAAAGGGCAGCGTTATTCAGATTGATCTGTTACATAGTATGTATAAATTGTCAAAATTGATTTATTTGTATAAAAAACAAATACAAAAGTAGATAATATAACAGTTGTATTTTACACCGGCGATAACAAAGTAATTTAAAAAAATTTGATCCAAGACTAGGGTCCTATTTTCAACTTTGACCTCGACCATACCGGCTTATTTTCCAATACACGTGCATTACATCAGCGAAGAAATTTCAACTAGAATCTTTTAAAATGTCGTGGCTGTTTGGGATAAAGAAGGATCAGCCTCTGGCAGAGGCCCCACAACTTCCAGTTTTACAAGATGGAGGGGCAGCAGCTCCAACAGGAGGAGGGAAAGAGGGAAAAGGGGATAGTGGAAAAGGAGGAGGAAAAGGAGGTGGCTACGACAACTTCAGCAACTTCGATCCGTCGGGCCTGGAGCGGGCGGCCAAGGCTGCCCGGGAGCTCGATTTGTCGGGTGCGTGTTGAACTTTTTATTTCGAAGAACGTTGTCATTTTGTGGGCGATTCCTGTCCTTGATAACAGGATGATCTAATTTGTTATAAGATTAATTATAAGTAAAGGAACTCTTTACTATATCAGGGAGAAGAATATTGGGCACTAGTTCAGAAACCTAACCAAAATTTTAGTCATTTTGACCCGTGGCGTAACTCCAATGTGGAGATAAAACACTAAAACATACCGGTACCAAAAATCGAAAATGAAGTAAATATTCATCAAATGTTTAAATAAAGATCATGAGTTAAAAATCGTTATGTTTATTACCTGTTTCGTGTAAATTTTCTTGTTATTTTTGGAGTATTTTTCGGAAAAACATTGATATTAGTAGTCTAGATCTAGATTCACAGGTTTTAACTTTTACGGCAAACCGCTGCACAATACAAGTGCACACCGATGGTGGGTTGCAGGCGGGCGCGCGTCTGTGTGAAGTCTTCTTCCGTTACTCCGTATAATGAGGATCTGAGACATTTTTAGAAATACGAAATGACACCCTTTGGAAATATGGGGATTATTCTGCTCTTTCATACGACACCTCATTCATATCACCTTCAGGATCACAACAAATAAAGATTTGAATCTCAATTTTAAAAAAAAACAACGTTGACCAATTGTGCATGGTCGCGCAATGCACATAGACTGCATAGGTATGCGTGCAATCTCTATGGGAAGGATTTTAGGACACAACATCGGGTGCATGATCAGACACCCTACTCATAACGTGAGAGTCTCTGTACAAAGTCAATGTAAAATGCATCAAGATAATCATTGCGGAATCCTTTTTTTCGCATCGCCCACGCGCAGATCGTAAATATGAAACGTCTGTAAAAATGTGGATGATCCTTATTTTTGTGGAGGGGTTTGTCCGCGTTTACAAAGACGATACTTGTTTATGCGTACAATTCTTATTCTCGAAATAGCGCCCCTACTGACTCATGTTTTTCATCACTTCAGTTCATCATTCATGGCTTCATTCCTATAGTACAAGTACAAGTTCAACAGTTAGTACAACTTAGACCTGAGGCTGAAGACGAGTACAATATATGGCTATTTCTTTGACTGTGAATTTCATATAGTATTAACATAGCATTTACTTTCACTTTAGTACATAATGGAATTACAATTACATATTACAATTGCGGGTCACAAGGTTTTATCTATTCTATAAAAATAATTACAAGTAACTGCCCAGCTTTAAAAAAAAAAGATTCATTAAAAATTGTTTGAACTTTGAAGAATAGGTTGCACTGGTAACTTGTAAGTGTAGGACCTATCTTTATTTTATCAATGATCAAATAAAGAAATTGCAACTCTCCATTCTGTCATATTTTTGTCCCTTTGTTGGAGAAAAAGGAAGATCAAAAGATGTCTTGAATAGAGGGGATGTATATAATGTCATTTGAAGTGAAACACATTCAAGGCAGTCATGAAAAAATGGGATTGTACTTGAGAAAAGTGTTAAAAGGAAGTAAATTGTTTTTTTGGACCGGTGCTTGTCACTGCTAGAACTTTCATATCGATGAAGAGACAATCACAGATTTGTATGTGTTTGATCAATCAGATACTATGTACAGCGATTTATTTTTCATTGAATCATATTATTTGTTCTATTGAATTCAAATCTGTTTTGTTCAAAGTTTACCATACACATTTATGCCCACTTGGGAGTTTTATTATGGTTGAACTTGAATCCTCATTGCAACGTTTTTCCCTTCTGAACAGCCAATGCTAGAGGAGCATTAGACCTGGCTAAGATGCAAGAACAGACTAAGCAGATGGAGCAGCAAACAAAGATCAAGGTATAAATTGTTTTTATATTACATTCAATATTAGGCTCTTTTGTAAGTTTGTTTATTAGGTTTGGTACTTCATTTCTTATCTTATCTTGTGTTCCTTTTTGATGTCTTTTTATTATATCAAAGGGTTGGCCTCTTACAAGGTTTGTTGAGGAGAAATAAATGAACTGATTTTTACAGCAGTATAAAATAGTACTTTTTGTAATGAAAACTTGCTTGTTTTGACAGGAGTATGAAGGAGCTGTGGAGCAGATGAAGCTGGATCAGTCTAGGGTCCAGCAAGAGGAGAAGAGAAAGACCATGTCCCAGGAGACCCAGGAACATCAAAGGAGGGCTCAGTACCAGGACCAGCTAGCAAGGAAAAGATATGATGATCAGTTATCGCAACAGGTGATTTATAGGCTCCTTTACACTCTGTTTTTAATCTTCTTTAACGCTTAGAGGCTTCGGTGTTAAGTGCTTATAAGCACTGTTTTTTTAATTTTAATTATTATTTTGTTCTGATAAACCAATTGGGGTCGAAGAGAAACTAGCTGAAAGTTTGTTTATCATGAAGTACATAAAACCTGTATGCAAACAAATGACTGCCGGAAATCACATTTGCTGAAAAAAGCACAACTCAAATTAATTATAGGAGACTGCATATGCATGTACCTTTGTTAGGACCGTTAACTAGATTTCCTTATTTGAAATTATAAATATTTATCACCTGGCTATTACAGTACAGTTTGTACCAAAGTATTATTATAACTTAAATGTTTCGTGCTTAAAAAAAAAAAAAAATAATAATAATTTAAGGTTATGTCATGAAATCTCAGTATAACCTTTTATATTAAAAAGTTAATATAGTTTGTCCTGTCCATCTTTAGAGCATACAGTATCTTTCAAGCAGCATGTTATATAAAGTCCACATTATAAAGAATTGTTCACTCATGAAGGTCTGGAAAGGTTTAACCTCTCATGGCTAGATCAGTTGTCTTCCTATAAAACCAGAAACTTTTTCCCTCATGAAACCTCTTTAGAGTTTGTGAGTAGTCCAGATTTGAGAAAGTTTCATGCCATAAACTAGTGGCATAGTTTCAGTGAGGGGCATAACCAATCAAATTATTAACAACAAACAAGATAAAAAGAAGTAGAGAGGCAGAGAGAACTACAGAAAAGAATAATGTGATGATACTTATTTTATTTCCCAATTTAGAAAAGGATGAATGAAGATAACCTTGCCAAGCAGGAGGAGTCTGTCAGGAAGCAGGAGTCTATGAAACGATGTAAGATTACATGAATCCTTTCCGTACTTGACAAAGAGAAAACCGCCTTAAATTACTCATGAATGTAAAATTTATGTTATATGAAAAAGAACAAAAAATTGGGGGTGTACGAAAAGAGTTGCACACAACAAAAGGCTCATAATTACACTCGCCTTTCCATGTGTTTGAAAAAAGATAAAAGTAAGAGAAAGAGAAAAGGAAGTAAAAGTGTGTATGGCGTCTTAGTTTGTCACCACAGTTTCTTTGGGCAGTTTACAGCATCATATAAAGTGAGGCTGTGCAGTTGATGAAACAGATACCCATTGCGGTGCATTTTATATGAATACCGAGTTTTGTTGAATGGGTTCAATTTTAGTTTATATAAAGTCTCTTTGACTAGAAGCAAAGAATCACCTCTCACCTGAACCAATTAGTATAAAGCAGTCTCATACCACCCAAAATAATGAGCAAGTGTATATTATAAATTATCCTATCTATCATTTGTGTTATTTCTTTCAAGCAAAATTTTGTGGATATGAGACAATGTATAATCAGCTCTATGTGGACTTTTGTCTATGCTCTTTATTTGCTCAATTACACATAACCACTATTACATTGTTCTTCACTTGATAGCATCGATGGATTATGAAGCAGAATTGAGGTTAAAGAACGACATGAAGAAGATCGAAGCCGAATTGAGAGGGAAAGCTCAGATAGAGAGAGAAAATAAAGATATTAGGAAGGATCAGATCAGGCTTGAAGCAGCAGAGTACAGGGAAACAGTACTGCAGTCAATCAAGTAAGCAGGCCTGATAAAAACCTGATTTTTTTTTTTTACCCTATTTTTTCTTCTTCTCGATTTTATCTTGATTTTACTGATTTTCCCTTATTTTCTCTATTCTTCCCCAATTTTTCTTACTCAAAAGGGGGGGGGGGGATGTTGTGAGATGCCATTCCCCCCCCCCCCCCCCCCCCCCCCCCCCCCTCCTTTCTTTCTTTTTTTTTTTTACTCAAGGTGGGCTCACTATCACCCATGAGTAAGATGCTTGTTCTTAAATCACTGGAAAAAATAAAAGGCATACAATTTGCAGGCATTCTATAAATAAAGGTATTCTGGGTTTATGTAGCATTTAATTCATTGTCAATGTGTTAAGGGCTTTACAGAAATTATTACCTTGCTCATCGGATTCAGGCTTTCCCACCTACAATGAACGGTATGCACATTCTTCACTCCTTGGTGAGCATACCAGCCAGATGCCAATTTGTAAAAGCTCACAATGCTGAGCAAACTACAGTTTATTTTTCCATTTGTTTACAAATTTGCTTTTATGACGTAAGAAATAGAAAGAATATAGTTCCTGATATTTTGTTTATAATATGTAATCTGGAATTATCAAGTAAAATTAATAGCACAGGCAAAGGCAAGATAAATGAAAGTGACAAGTTAATTATCATCTTATTTTAAAACTAAAGTGGGCAAATGTTTGTTCATCTGTATTGTGATAAAAAAGGTAACTGTCAAACCATTCCAGGAATTTCAAACTTTATCTAGTACGCATTAACATAGAGGGATAAACTCATTTAAGGTAAAAGGTCTTTATTAAGGATTGATTTGGGTAACAAGTTCATGTAAAATACATAAATTTCTCTTATTTTCACATAGTTTTATTTGAGGTGGATGAGTGGGTTTTACACATAGTATCATTTTGTTTCATTGCTATTTATGGAAACAAAGTCAAATATCGTGAGTAAATTTATTTATTTATTTTTTTTGATTGCGAGGCAAAATGATGAAGTGTTATAACAGTTCTGAAAACCAGCGCAATTATGTGTATTAGCAGATGTCTAGCTCTTATTTAATAATTCCAAGTTACATGTAGCAGTTTCTCTGTGATTTCTATTTTAGAACGGCAGGAAATATTCTTGGAGAAGGTTTCAGAAGTTTTATATCTGACTGGGATAGAGTAACTGCCACCGTAAGTTTCTGAGGAACTATTATAATGATTCTGTATCTAATATGGTTGAACAAAAAGAAAATGCATGATTTTCTGCTTGAAATTCAAAATGGTTTAATTAATTGTGAAGTGAGATAACATCGCACAATGTTTCATATCAAGATATTAGACCAGAGGAAAGCGCATAATTTTGTACTCTCATTAAAAAGTATCTCAACAATTTGATTCATGACACGTCTCTGTCAAATATGTAGTGTACCAGATTGTCGATAATATTTCCTTCTCTTATATTCCTTTCTCTCCTCAATGTTGTTTTGTGTATAAATTATATAATACTTTTTCATTTTTGTTTGTATATCTGTTAAGGGGTAATTTATAACAAGCCTCATTGTGGGTTTTATGATCTTGCCACTATTACAGTAATAATTTGTCATTGATTTATATGTGTTGTTTTTACAGTGAAAAATAAATGATTTGATTTGAAATGGTTGGCCCTGTTAAAGAAGAGTCCATTATTTTATTCTTTTATGATTTTGCCACTATTATTTTAATAATAAATTGTCAATGATTTATATATGTTGTTCTACAGTGAAAAATAAATGATTTGATTTGGTATGGTTGGCCCTGTTAGAGTTTAATAAAGAAGAGTCCTTTATTTTTTTCTTTGACAGGCAGCAGGAGTAACGTTACTAGCCCTCGGTGTGTATTCAGCCAAGATGGGAACGGGCGTCGGTGCCCGGTACATCGAGGCCCGTCTAGGCAAGCCGTCGTTGGTCAGAGAAACGTCGAGACTCACGCCGATCGAAGCCGTCCGTCATCCCATCCAAGTGACCAAAAGGATCTTCAACAATCCCAAGGATGCTCTAGCAGGTGTTGTATTAGAGGTAAGCAGCATCTGGACCCTGTTTCACATAACTTGTTATCAATAACAAGTTACAATAACTGTTACAAGCTACTGAAATCGTGGCATTTGATTGGCTGAGAGTAAATTTGATGTAGGAATTTAGCATTTGTTATAGATAACAAGTTTTGTGAAACAGGGACCTGTTTGGGGCCAGAGGGAAGTTAACTCTGTGTTCAAGTATATGCGTGAATGCCCTTCTGGCTCCAAACAGACAGTGTATGTATCTATCTATTTACATTTAAAGATAAACTTGAGTTCTAGTAAACAAAGAAAATGAATTCTCACAGAATCTAACGAAACTTACACTGAATGTTCAAGATTACAAATAAATGTCATGTGCCAAACAATTTTGGAAGAAAATGTATACTGGCTGAGTAATGAGCATAGGAAGATAAGGAAATCAGGGTAGTACTAGCCCTGACACCATGTGTGTTGTCCCATACACATCTTTCTGTGTAAGTGATTGTTACTTTATACCAAGACTCTGCCAAATTTATGATGATTTTGATGACTCCAGAACCTTGCATTACACACCATTACTTGCATGCTATATGATCAACTTTTCTGATCCATTCCACACCTTTTCTTTCACAATGCAATCGCATTACCAGTACTCAAGTACCAGTACTCTTTAACAACTGATTTATTCATACTCCTTGTAAATTTAATGTGTTTTTGCTTCATTTGTTCATAACTCAAGAATGAAAGGTGGACTGTTTGAATTAGGGCCTTTGTTGAATACTTTTAGATGACACATTTTGAAGAAAAATAAATTTTGGACAAATACATTTTTCACATACATCTAATATTTCAAACTTTGTAGGGTATGAATAATTTCGGGCTAAAGGGTTACAGATCCTTTAATTCAGAATGACTCCCAAAGTTGCAATTACAATTATAATGCCATTACCCTGTCACTTACTCTCCTCAAGGTTACTCATGATAAAACCAACTATGCATGTGAAATGGAAATAAGTCTTCTCCATTGGGTTTACTATGATACTGCAAGATGACTTGTTATCAATGATGCCCTTGAAATTACACCCTTTATTAGAAGAATGTGTGGAGACCAGCCTTTTTGGGGAGAATTATTTGAGTTTAGTATGTATAAAATAAAGTAAATTGTATCCCTGCTCAACTTTTATTTTGACAAAGAAAGCCACATTTTTTTCAATACAACAAATCTTCTATAAATCCTGATCAGAACTAACCTATAATGTACTGACAATTCACGAGACAGTAGGGAAACTTTGCCTGAAATGCTTACAAAAATTGGATGGATTTTGTCTTGTGCCCTTCTGCAGTAATTCTTTTAAATCATTCTTCTTATGCCTTCTTTAACCTTTGACCTGTTTTGTAGCCAAAGCTTGAGGAGCGTCTTCGGGAGATCGCCATAACAACTAGGAATACCAAAGCAAACAAAGGCATGTACAGGAATATACTCATGCACGGACCACCAGGTACCGGCAAGACTCTCTTTGCCAAGGTAAGAACATTGTGAGATGTTGAATGCCAGGAGTGTCAAGTCTGATGAGACATGATTGGCTATACAAGAATCCACTAATTTTGTTGGTGCTGTTGTTTTTTTGATTTTCAGAAGTTTTTTTCTTTAACCACATTTTGTTCTATTACATATTACTGACTCTTTGCAGTGAAAGAGATTTTGAAAGGAACCTTTATTTCTTAATTCATAATTGTCGATCATGAATTTGAAGGTATCATACACTGTGAGGTTGCTAGGGATAAGAGATGTTGTATTATTTATTCAATCAGCAAAACCATAATTATTTAGATACCATTATGTCGTAAAACAGGGAAATTTTATTGTTTTTGTTGGTGATCCAGATTCATGCAAGTTTCACATTAAAAATGATAGAATAACATTCAATTTCTTGCTTTCTTGACTTTCTTGCTATGAAAATAGCAGTCCTTACAATTTCACAAAACTTTCTGGTTGCAAAAGTTTCTGGTTTAAGGTACATGTACTCTAAAAGGCATGGGACATACTGTAGATGGGCATTGATGTTTTATTTATTTATATAAGATTACCTGTCATGCTTGCTGTATATAGATGTTATGTTATATTATATTCTTGGTAGACATACATGTAAATCTGCATTTGCCACCATCTACCTACATGTAGGTGCCATAAACTTGGTACATGGCAGGATTTAGTCCTTAGATATATGGTTGCCGGAGCTAAAGCCAGGGTAATAATGTCCAAAGTCCTTGAAAAATCATGGATGGCAGTTTTCAGGCAATAGCCTGAATTCAGGCCCTGGCAAGTTATTTTCAGACCATAGTTTAGGTTTTTTTGTGTACAAAATAGCTCATTCTAGGTGATTTCCAGACCCTCTGATCAATTCTAACTGGCATCCCTGAGAAAGACATATAGACATTACATTGTATGTGATATGTGCTATACAAGAACTGCATTTTATTATTATTATTATCATCTGTATTTCATTTGTATTTGTATCACTACAGAAACTTGCCATGCATTCAGGGATGGACTTTGCCATTATGACAGGAGGTGATGTAGCCCCCATGGGGAAGGAGGGAGTCAGTTCAATACATAAATTATTTGACTGGGCTTCTACAAGCAGAAGAGGGTAAGAATGTATATTGGATTCTGATGTCAAAACCTGCACATCAATTGATTCTGACTTATAAATTGGCCTGATTTCCACCCCCAAAATTAAACACAAACAGACAATTTTAAGCCAAATCAGGACTGAAATGACCATGTTGTTGTTGATAGGGGTTACCTTGACCACTTTTTCTAGGATCAGGTAACAATTTTACGCAGAAAAGTTCCATTCAATCTCCTTTGCTGAAAATAACGATCGGGAGAATAACCCATGACCTTAAGTGATAATAATTATCAGTTTTGGGCCGAGAAAGTGGCCAAAATTGCTAAAACTCAAGTAGTGTCAATATATAGGACTAATATTTTTGGAATAAAAGCAAAGTTTTACCCCGGATAATCTATTTTAACGGTCCCTACGACCTAAGATTCTGATTAAATTTTGATTTCCCCTTGGGTATATGAATGCCACAGCTAATATTTAACGTTATTGTTTTTTTTTCTCTACTTCCAGATTACTACTGTTCTGTGACGAAGCTGATGCATTCCTGAGGAGGAGAAATGCGGTTAGTACACTTTTCTTTGTTTATTTCTGATACTTATACAGTGTAGTGCAATTTGTTTAACCAATAGTAGTGGTATTCCATAAGGTCCTGTTTAGTAATAACAATACTCCATAACAAAATGAATTTGAACTTACAACAGCAATTAAAAATACAGAGGAAAATGTACAATAGAGTCTGTATACAAATCCTTTGGTATCCTTGCAATAGATGTTGATTTGTCAAGAAAATATGATTGCATATTTTAATACGTTTACATATGTACAGACAGTAAACGTTGTTTAAACCAGATGAAGTAATCATGAATGAATCATGAACTTTTTGTTTCATTCAAATCGAATTAAATTTTTAATCATCTAGCAATTATGTGTGTCAATGTATTTAAAGTTTGTTGTGCTTTTTGTAATTTTTGTTTGCTGCAGGAAATAATAAGTGAGGATCTCCGTAGCACACTTAATGCCTTTCTGTATCGTACTGGTGATCAGTCGAACAAGTAAGTAGCTTGTTAAAATGCCTCTTTGTAGCCCAAAAGTTAAATGGAGGATGTTGATGAAAGTCAAAAGGATACCCTTTAGGGTACTAGACAACTGCCCCACCCTTCTTTTTTGCTCTAGAGTGCCTGCCTTTCAGACAAATTTGACGGTTGGTGTTTATTTTTAGGAGATTTACTCTGTAGCTGTCCTTCAATATATATATTATTTTGTGGCAGTATTATTTAATTGTATTCAAACTTGAAAAACTTCACAGATTATATTGTTTTGTGTTAATAAATCTTATAAGAATGAAAGATAGACAATGACCAAAGGCAAAGCACTTTTTTCTAGCAGTACAAATAACCCCATCCTTCATGTATGTGGTAAAACAATACCAACAAAGAAAAATATTGATTTGGTCTTCACCAATTAGATGCCACAAAAGAACAAATCAAATTTCCATAAAATCCATGACTGACCCAAAAGAGCAATTGAGATTAATTCTAGATTTGCTCAAGGTTTTTATTTCAAAAAATAAAAGACGAAGTATAAGTCTTATTTTCTATGAAATTAATATTTGTAATGAATATATTACTTGATGTTTTTGTTTCTTTGCAAAATCTCCATTTTCAAAACACATTGGATTAGTTTTGTGTCATAGCCCGAGTCAGACAAAAGTAAATTGTATGCTGACCTGTTCTGTTTCACTGTTTGTTCTTTGTAATTGTTATGCTTTACTGAGTAGGGGGGGGGGGGGGGGGAGGTATTGGTGACTTTCCTCCTCTAAATTCATGTTAGTAAGTTTAATACCGGGGTAAGTTTGATTGTGTCATCACCACACCGTACCGGTCATGTAATCAATACCAATATCTTCCTTCCCCTTAGATTCATGTTAGTGTTGGCGAGTAACCAGCCGGAGCAGTTTGATTGGGCTATCAACGATCGTTTGGATGAGATGGTAGGGTTTGATCTGCCAGGCCGTGAGGAGAGGGAGCGCATGGTCAGGTTATACTTTGATAAGTATGTCATTCAGCCTGCTTCGCAGGGCAGGAGGTAAGTGTGTAGTCCCATGTATGTGTTGTGATGTAGGGTTTCTTATTTCATGTGTAGTCCCATGTATGTGTTGTGATTTAGGGTTTCTTATTTCATGTGTAGTCCCGTGTATGTGTTGTGATGTAGGGTTTCTTATTTCATGTGTAGTCCCATGTATGTGTTGTGATTTAGGGTTTCTTATTTCATGCGTAGTCTCATGTATTTTGTGATGTAGGGTTTCTTATTTCATGTGTAGTCCCATGTATAGTTGTTGTAGATGCTTTTATGTATTCCTATCCCTCACATGACTCTTCTTGAAGGCATTAGTGTTTTAAGACTATGTTTTAGTTTTGAAAGTTAGAGTTGACATTATCTTCACAAAGAGAAGTGTTTAAAGGTAGTGCCATGAGAACAGGATATTCATGTACTGTGAAATTAAGAATATGATAACACTTGTAGAATACTTGAACCTTTCATAAACCTTCTCTACACTGTGGGATTTAAATGATACTTAGGCTTTTTTTTTGGCTTAGAATACCCCTAACTTACATTTTCGTCACGTAAACAGAAACTTAATGTATTGTGAAAAATTAAAAACTCAGAATGTGACTCTTGATTGTTCATTTACAATAGCTATTTATTGACATACGATGCTGCCACATACACAGAAGGGTGTAATTTTGTGAGCCCACATTTGTGATAAATGTGTAGTCCCATGTACCAAATTTGTACTCATCATTGCTTAAACTATTAAAATATATATTTATTTGCTTTTAATTTGTCTCGAATTCACTTCATTGTTATGTATGCCCACAATTCACTATATATCTCCCAATTCCGCCAGAAATGTAAATTTTGACAGATATTATGATAATTCTGAACCCGTTTTTTCGTACCCATTTGTAGACGTCTGAAGATTGGCACGTTTGACTTCAATGAGAAATGCAGTAAGATAGCTGAAATGACTGAGGGCCTGTCTGGAAGAGAGATTGCTAAACTTGGAGTGGCATGGCAGGTAAGTGGATTATGGAAATAAATAGGCTCAAGTTCTGGTAATGATTCATAATATGTTCTCAGCATTCTAATAAACTACACATTAATACTAAGTCTAATAAACAACACATTAAAGGCTATCTGCATTACTTTGGATTGATTAGACCTCCCTGTGTGGTCACAGGCAGGTGGTTATCTCATCAACTCAGCTCTCAATTAACTTAAGAAAAAGAGGACCATGGGGACCAACGGGTACTGCTTAGGCATTGTTTGCTATACAGTGTGTCCCCCAAAAAAACTATACACTCTTGAAATGGCTGCCGAATAAAAAATATATGATTCTGAGGAAAAAGTTGTATATGTATGGAAAGCTCATACACTCAACTTTCATATGACACCAAAAAGTCTGAAAAAAATTCATGCTTCGGTGAGCACTTCTCACGTTTGTAAAGGGTATGAAAATTAGGTGGCGCAGGAATTAGCATTCCAATTTGTGAGAGGTAAATCCTTTGGCACTTACAAAATTCATTGGTAATCTTGTTGCTTGTAACAAATATAATTTTTCTATATTACTTATAATTGCAAAGTGATGTACCGTATTAACCGGCGTAAAGGCCGCACCGCCGTATAGGCCGCACCCCCGATTTTGACATTTAAAAAAAAAAAAAAAAAAAAAAAAAATCGTTTTTTTTTTTTTTTTTTTTTTGGTTGTTGTTGATGTTTTGTTGCCGAAAACCCACGCGGGGAAGGACCTTCATTTAACATCGAGGTGCAGTTAAAGGCGCTGATTTGTGCTTGTAAACTTGTCACAAATAATAGTAACAATGTCGTTTTTAGAAGAATGTGTAAGATCATTAATGTAAATTAAACACAATAGAGTACCTATGGTACCAATGGTGTACCTTGTGGTACACCATTTGTTATAGAAAAAAAATTGAGGAATTATTATTATAAACTACATATTGAGATCTGTTAGAAAGATTACTTTCAAACAAAGATGACAGTGAGTGTTGTTGTAGTTTCCGAGTGGTGAGTCAACACACTGATTACTGAGCTGGAAGACATTGCCAGGCATAGCGCCATAAATAAAATTAAAAAAAAAAAAAAAAAAAAAAAAAAAAAAAAAAAAAATCATTTTTTACTCTTTCGCCGCATAGGCCGCACCCCGACTTTTTGATATTTTCTCTTCCAAAAATACTGCGGCCTATACGCCGGCAAATACGGTATTTTCTGGCATGCATTAAGACAAGTTTTCTCGTGTGGACTTGTACATATGTAGATGTGGTTTCTAAGTCTACTTAGCATTGAATATCATAATTTGTTTTGGCTGCCCCAATACTTGATATTAAGTGCTTACAACATAATGCCTCTGAATTGGCAAGAAAGAAATTGAGTCTTGGCTACATCTCTCATCAATTTTTGTCATCTTTTTATTGTTCCTGTTGCCAGGCAACTGCATTCGCTTCTGAGGATGGCGTCCTTACGAGTGAGATGATTGACACTAAGGTGACGGAGAGTGTCAAACAGCACAAGCAGAAACGAGACTGGCACCAGAAGGAGGATGCTAGGTTAGACAAACTAGAGAAGCTGCACAGTGTGACATAGTGCCCTCTATGGAGATGGAGCTGACAATGATAGAGTATTACAGAGATTTAATGGATTGTGTTCCCCACGGCATATGTCTATTTTCCCATATTGTATTCCCAAATAAAAATCTCTTGGTATGAAAATTAAATAACGGTGCTTTCTGGTATCACAACCATTAACCATAGTCATATCAAGACATTTTTTTGTTCATGGATGAAATATATGGATAAATGTCAGACATCGTATGTTGTATAGGCACATACATGGAATTACCTGCCAATGGTTAGGTAAGGGTGTTACAACATGGAGGCAGTGTACCCTACATTGAAATTGGATTGGTTGTAAGGCTGATCGTGAATGTACTGAATGACAAATGAAGTTCTATCAGAATATACCAAATGGTATCTGCCAAACAGATTTAATAAGGATTGTATAGCTGCTGAGTAATCCGCAAGAAGAGTGAAGATCAATATGTAGTCCCATTTATGCATATGTGTGTGGTGCTTTTGTAGCATCTAAGTTTGTTTTACATTATGCTGGTCCAAAATTTTCAGAATACTGTACAACCAGAATTGAGGAACGTGTTTGCATGCATGAAATGGAGTGGTTCTGATTTGCAAGAGTTTCATGTCACAAATATTTGAATCACAATTGACACAACACAAAATTTGTCTAATCCAAGCAGGTTTCTTGCTATGAAAATGGCTGCCCGTAACAATTCATGAAAATGCCATGCAGGGAAGTTTCTGGATTTGAAGTTGATTGTGCATTAAAAAATTGCATAGTGACTATTTAGCCACTTTTTCCTCAAAGTGGAATTACTTAAAAATAATTTTTCTGAATCTTCATATTGATTATTCCTTGATATCAAGCTCTTTATGTCATAAAATGAGAAATAGAATTTAATGAAGATCGTAGATAAGTCAGTTTATGAAGTGCAAAGGAAAATATTGGTATTCCAAACTGATTGGTCCCTTTGTAATGTGTATTGTTGTATTGCGATCTCTATATTCTGAAATGACCTTGACATTGACTTTGTTGTGGTCGATTTGTGAAAGAAACCTTATTCATTCATTCATTCTTTCAGAACACTTAACATGTTTTTGTAACTCCTGAATGAGTATCATTTTTAACACCAATTGATTATATAATATGCATAGTTCAGCATAACAATGTGCAAGTACATGAGTATTTCAAACATCTATTATGCAAATACGCTGTACGACTCTGAAAGATGTATCTAAACTCTATAAGGATGTCACATTTTAAATGAGAGAAAGGTCTATTCATGGTAACATCAAGCTTTTATATTATTTTTCACGTTGAATGATTTAATCCAATCTGAAAAAATCATGTTAATGAATCTACCAGGATTGTGTCAATATGAATATTCATGATATAGTTATGATATATTGATACAGTGATTTTTATTATGTGGAGAATGTTTTGCTGTTTGGGAATGCTTAATCTTTGTGAGGGAAAAGCATTATTTTGCATTTTATAAATGCTAAAATTCATCCCTGTTTTACAATTCTGTATCCAGATTAGTATATCAGGAGTGATTGATTATTTGACAAGGTGAGATTGGCCTTTTGTTACTGAACATGTTGGTCCTTCATTCTCAGATTAAGCCCTTTATTTGTAGTCAACCTTTGTTTACATATCTTGTTTGAACATCTGAAGTTGTAGGCCTATATTGAGTTTATATGGCATGAATGAGCGAAATCAGATTTTGAGCCTGCCAAAATGATATACTGACTGCTGCATAAGATAATGTACATTGGTTTATCCTCTAAACTCTCATCACTATGCCGGGGCGGATCCAGGATTTTCCAAAAGAGGGGGGGGGGGGGGGGGATGAAATTGCGACCTTTATGCCGTGTGGTCCGGCCAACTAAGGGCCTCAGAAAATGTTGAACCTAAAGATGCCCTATGGTACATTCCATGGCATAATCTGAACATTTATGTGAATATTTCTTAGCCCATACCCCCCCCCCCCCTGGATCCGCCCCTGCTAAAACTCCAATTAACAAAGATAGAAAAAAGCAGAATATATGTTTTTGAAACACGATTGTGATATACGCTCCCCAGAAGGTTTTTGGTCTTCGTTTTTTTGCCTGTATCTAGACCCTTTTTGCTACTTTTTAGTTTCACCCTTTCGACCAGCTGTAGTAATATGGTTGATAAGACCATGGTGAAAGTTTAAATTACCATTGAGAATTCAGCCCCATATGGAATGTACATGTAAATCTGTTAATTATCTAAAGTACATACGCAGCGACATAATAATTAATATAGTGAACATTTGTAATGACAAACAAATTGACACTCCTGGCGCACTTGTGTGAAAATTGTTGGCATCAAATGGTCAGAAAGACCAAGAGTTCATATTGGATTAATGAACCCCTTTCGCGGGAACTATCGTGATCATGAAACTATTGAATTATGAACCTTTCGAAAGAGTGAATCTTATGAATAATGAACGTCGCCTGTCCGATCAGATCTGAGGCTTTACTCAGTTCTCTGTCTACAACATACAAGTAAATTCTTTTAATAATGAATGTTTCGTGTGACAATTGGATGGATTTCCCCAGTATTCCCTAGTGCTTGTCAGCAATTTAAGTACATTCGTTGCATTGATCTATACCAGCCTAGTAAATGAGATCCATTTTGATCTTATCATATCTCCTTTTTATGATATAGTACATACCATGAATTACAAAGTCAAATTGTAAAGTATTTACCTCTATAATAATGTACTTTCATAAGTTCTATATGAAATAAAGATATTATTGAATCATAATTGATTTTATGATACATGATTTGAAATACGAGTTCCTACACGTTTGTTACTGTTTTTGTGCTAACAAAATTTTGATGCTTGTTATTTTTTGCATTACATGTACATCCCTCCTAATTTTGCATGAGAGTCATTCTGAGTCTATCTTGTTAGGTCTATATCCTCGGGTTTTATCTCTCTAGGTCTATCTCTATCTATTTCACTCTGATTCTATCTTTTTAGGTCTATATATATATATATATATATATATATATATATATATATATATATATATTTCTCTCTGATGCTATCTCTCTAGGTCTATCTTTATCTATTTCACTCTGATTCTATCTTGTTAGGTCTACATATATATCCTCTGGGTCTATCTCTTTAGGTCTATCTCTATCAATTATATTTCACTCTGATTCTATCTTTTTAGGTCTATATATATTTCTCTCTCTCTAGGTCTATCTCTATCTATTTCACTCTGATTCTATCTTTTTAGGTATATATATATATATATATATATATATATATATATTTCTCTCTCTCTGAGTCTATCTCTGTAGGTCTATCTCTATCAATTCTATTTCACTCTGATTCTATCTTGTTAGGTCTATATATATTATATCCTCTGGTTCTATCTCTCTAGGTCTATCTCTATCTATTCTATTTCTCTCTGATTCTATCTGTTTATGTCATATATTTATCTCTCTAGATCTATCTCTGTCTATTTCACTCTGATTCTATCTTTTTAGGTATATATGTATTTCTCTCTCTCTGAGTCTATCTCTCTAGGTCTATTTCTATCAATTCTATTTCACTCTGATTCTATCTTTTTAGGTCTATATATATATTTCTCTCTCTCTAGGTCTACCTTTTATCTATTTCACTCTGATTCTAGCTTTTTAGGTCTATTTATATATTTCTCTCGCTCTAGGTCTATCTCTATCTATTTCACTCTGATTCTATCTCTTTAGGTCTATATATACATTTCTCTCTCTCTCTCTGAGTCTATCTCTAGGTATATCTCTATCTCTTTCACTCAGCTGATTCTATCTTTTTAGGTCTATATATACATTTCTCTCTCTCTCTGAGTCTATCTCTCCAGGTATATCTCTATCTATTTCACTCTCTGTGATACTTCCGATTCTTTTGAAACTATAGACGTGGCTTTATAGATGACCACAAAAGGCCCTTTGTAAATAAGCGTGAGCCGGGAAAATATATAGGTTAAAGAGTTGGCATCATTAAAGGGCAATTTTATTATTAGAAACAAAATGGGACACTTCAGTAACAAGGGGAACATATTTATTTGTAAGGGGCACTCGTTTGAGGTGAAAGCTAGGGGGGCATTTATATATAAGAAGGGAAAATCGAGGCATGAGAAACTTGAAAAATGGGCACTATAGAAGGGATCAAACGGCACTTATAAGAAGGGGAAAGATGCTGCTTATCAGAAATGAAATGGGGAACTTGCCAAAGTAAAAGGAGCGCCTATCAGAGAGGTGAAAAAGGGGCATCGACAAAATAAAGCTCTAGGAAGGGACACCAGTATGGGAAACGAAAAAAGGGGCACCGTTATCAGAAGGGTAAAAGCCCGGGAAAAGACACCTATTAAAAAGGAAAAGGGGCACATATCAATTATAAATTGACAAAAATATGTCAGAGGTGAAAAGGGGCACTTCTCGCACCCGAAATGGGGCACTCATCAGAGGTGCATTGAAAAGGGGCATATGCACTTAAATCAGGCGCGGATCCAGGATTTTCCAATAGGGGGGGCCGGAAATTTGGAAAGTGTGCAGACCATTTTTACAACTCAACATACCAATACTGACAAGGTCATATCAGAAGCACCATACCGGTACAATTTTTGACATTTTCATCGGGGGGGGGGGGGGGAGGGGCTAAAGCCTCTTTCATGACAAAAGTTTTATTAAATTATTAGAGAAAGAAGATGATTCGTTATATTCTCGACTCTAAAATAATCCTTGTCTGAATTCAGTTTTCCCCCGCCCGCGCGTAGCGCGTAATTTTCGGACGCTTCATTAAATTATGAGAGAAAGAAGACCATTCGTTGTACCATTCTCGACTCTTAATCCTTGTTTGAATTCAGTCTTTCCCCTTGCCGCGCGAAGCGCGGCAGCTTTGACGTTTCATTAAATTATTAGAGAAAGGAGAGGATTCGTTGTACCATTCTCGAATCTCGATCCTTGTCTGAATTCAGTTCCTCCCCCCCCCCTCCCGCGCGAAGCGCGGACGCTTTAACTTTCCATAGTTTAATGATATTGTTAGAGGAAGAAGATGATTGGTTGTTCCATTCTCGACTGTCCTACTTGTAGCTACTTGCTCCCTCTATATAGAAAACTTCCCCAATCGGTGTCTTTTGTTCCCCCATGATCCTCTTCTGGCTGAAGTAGTAAAGCCTGCCTTTAATCCTTCACTGAATTCAGTCCCCTCCCCCTCCCGCGCTAAGCACAGAAGCTTAACGTGTCATTAAATTATTAGAGAAATAAGACGATTCGTTGTACCGTTTTCGACTTGTCAGAATTTTCAAAAATATTTCTTTGTCTGCTCCTTTTTTGTCTTATGTCCTCTTACTGCCCCTACCGCCCTTGGCTACACGCCTGCTTTAAAGGGAACATGAAGCAATCATGATTGTGATAGCACACAATTAGGTTAGTAGAAACGAAAGGAAAAAAAAATATCTATTACACCAACCATGGATAAATCACGGCCGGGAGCGTCATATCATATCATATCATATCATAGTTTTGTGTTATCGGGCGAGGGCCGGGGCGAAGCGACCAAGCGAGATTTTGCAATGTTGAATGCTGAAATTATGCATTCTAGAAAATCCCTAAGCCCAATAATTCTTTCCGCTATATGTCTTTCTAGCTGTATTTTTAAATTTCCAGGGCGACGTGTCCCCCTATCGGGCCCAGGATCGCCGCCCCTGCCCCTGTCCATGTACCTGTGTTGGCTAAGTCAGTAGAGCGTCCGCCTCACAACCGGGAGGTCGAGGGTTCGAACCCCGGCCGCGTCATATCAAAAGACGTTAAAAGACCTTGCTTGGCGTCCAACAATAAGGGATAGAGCAATGTCGATCTGGCGCTGCTCAGTGGCTGCCGGTCTCACGATCAATTGGGCAAAAAGAATTTCCATTTTCGGTTTAACTTAATAAAAGATTACAAAATATGGACTATAAAAGATTATTATTATTATTATTATTATTATTATTATTATTATTATTATTATTATTATTATTATTATTATGATTATATGCTGCTTAATGGTACGGGTATTTCCACATACCCATGTATTGTCCAACTCATATTGTCTGAGCTTGGCTTCACGCACATCTTCCTTACGTATACAAATAAAACGACTGAGATAGATGTCTATAATAGTTTTTGTTTGAAGAGGTTTATACGCAGGATATTTTCAATAATATGTATACTACTCTCGATCACATTATAACACCGGCTTTTAGCCCTGCGGCCATGATAAGCATTGAAGCAATCTATCTCTTCCTACCGGGTACCCATTTATTTCACCTGGGTGAAGGATGGCAAATGTAGATTGATGTTTTGCCGAAGGACATTCGCGCTGTGGCAGGGGTTCGAACCCTAATATTTAACTCTTTGTTAATAGTGCGTTTATTTATCCAATAATCAAACTACATAGTCTCCATCTATATTAGTTTATTTTACACAAGGTTGCAGCCACCGTCTATTAAAGTGTAAATGACGAGACGAAATAGTAATGACGGCAATTTCTAATGACAGTTATTTAATATGGTTGAAGACATAAATATCTACAGATTCAAGTTGGAAGATTGTTTTACAAGTTTCATCATTTTTTTTTTTTTTTTTGGATTTGATTTGATTTATTTTTCACTCAAATATCCACAAATTAAATGACATATATAAACCATACAATAATACAATATATAATAGAACAAATGAATTATAGAAGTAACGAAATACTGACAAGTATGTTCGTAATCAAATAAGTTTACAGAGTACATTCAAGTTTGAGAATAAGAGAAAATATTTTATATTGCTTGACTTAACTGAGAGGGGGAAAAAGGGAACCTCAGAAAAGCTAGGTTTGTTGAGCGAGATTCCCAGTATAAATCAAATAATGGACCATCAACAAAGTGCATCAAAATCTGCACATGTCCGCTCCCAGAGAAACCAGAGACGAGCGAACCCACCCGCCCGCGCCAGATCCTCGGGTCTCCCCCGCCAAGGCCAAGGCCAAGGCCCATTCATAATCCTCTTTTAATGTAAGATATATGGTAAATCTATCGACGAAATCAAACGAATATCTGTAAACAGGATATGAGTGTACCTGTACTTTTAAAATCAAATTCATCATTTGCAGACATGCAGGGTACCATTTCTAATACCTTTTGTAGATGTGATGCATGCAACAGGACGTTAAAAGAAAATACATCAATAAGTGCCACGTGATACTATAAATTCTCATGACAAACAAAGAAAATATGAAATCCGTTTCATTTTTTAAATCAATCACTCAATATTGTTTGAACGACATACAGCCAGCAAGAATAATTTTTTGGTACGTTTTATTTTTATCCGTAGTATTGACAATATACAGTTGCATATGAAGTTGGAATACATGTTCTTACCTCTCATCCTGAATAAACCTCCGACAATATGATTTATAAGTTTGTGACTTCTCATAACCTTATAGATCAATATTTTACCTTTTTAGATTGATTAATAAAGTTCGGAGAAGATATTAACTTTATACAAACCATATTGGCGGAACCATTTCATGAAAAGGCGAAGGACAAACTTATTCCAACTTTACGAGGAAAAGTGCAGAAAACCAAAGAGGGAAGGGCGAGGAAAATTCATGTCCACTTGTCGATCCTGAACCCTGTAGCTTGTGATCTATAGTCCGGTGATTTATCCACTAGACCACAGCACCTTAGCTCTAAACCGTGTGAGTCAAAAAAAAAGTTTACACCTAGAAAATGGCTAAGATGCAAAAATCGACTTGCGCCAAAGTTGCTTATGTGATGTATTAGAGTAATAGAGGATGAATTAAATGTATCAAATAAGATGCATTGCATAGGCTTTTTGCAGAAGCAAAGTCACACACACATACATTTGATATTTGATATTGTGTGGCATGATTTATTTTGTTACGGGTGTTATTTGGATCTGCAAAGAACGAATTAATACCCAAATCCCAATTGTTTTATTCAAACATCCCATAAGAAACTTTGGCGCATTTAAGTCGATTTTTGCACTCTCGCAAACAATGCCTCCTGTTCATCCAAGCGTGAACACATACCACACAAAAATTATACTAAATGATATGGGATAAAACAATCTTTCATAAGATGTATGATAATATACTGTTCATAGATGATTTTTGAAATAATTAGCAACTATCTAGGTGTAAACTTTTTTTTTGACTCACACTGTATGTATCCGTTCTAAACAGTGGATTATCTAGTATAGAGATGATCCGGCGTAAGAACCTAGCTCGATGGAAGATCCAAAGGGGGAGGGGGGTATTGAAGGTCATCATGCAATTGTAATGTTTCTATATTTCAATTTGTGATGCTTTAAGCTTTTGAAAGTGCCTTAAATTGATTTTTTTTTTAGTCTCCGCGATCTTTCTTCTTCTCGCCCTCTCGCCTTCTCGCCCTCTCCCTCTCTCTTTATCTTTCTTAAGCTCCCCCTCCCCATCCCACTCCCATCCCACTCCCCTGCCCTTACCCTCCCCTCTGACTCTTTCTTTCTGTCTGTCTCTTTCTCTCTCGCACTCTTATCTATCATGTCTTTTTCTCCTGGCAATATGACACAATCTTGCAGGCGGATGTTTGCCTCTTAATTTCCAAACTATACGGCAATTTAAAACAAAGATTGATTGTACGACCAGTATAAGGCAGGCGCGGATCTAGGATTTTCCAATAGGGGAGCCGGAAATTTGGAAAGTGTGCAGACCATTTTTTCAACTCAACATACCAATACTGACAAGGTCATATTAGGAGCACCATACCGGCACAATTTTTGACATTTTCATCGGGGGGGGGGGGGGGGGGGGGTTAAAGCCTCTTTCATGACAAAAGTTTCATTAAATTATTAGAGAAAGAAGATGATTCGTTGTTATTATTCTCGACTCTAAAATAATCCTTGTCTGAATTCAGTTTTCCTCCGCTCGCGCGTAGCGCGTAATTTTCGGACGCTTCATCGTTCGTTCGTTCGTGCAAAGAATATCAGGGAGTACATCATCTAGATAGGAAGATCCTTATTGAGCCAACAGATCGTCTCATCATCGAGCTCACGAAGTCCGGAAGCGCCGTGGGGGGATTTGTAGATCGGACAATCATCAATGACATGATCCATAGTTTGGATCTCTCCACAGGCGCAGTTTGGTGATGATTCAGCTCCAATTTTATGTAGGAAATATTGTGTGCGGCCAACTCCAGTTCTGACACGGTTTAGGTTGACCCAGGCTTTTCTTGGGAGGTCGCTGCCACTTGGTTTTGCACAGGGCTTTGGGATGAACTCCTTCAGGTTGGTAGTGGACGAATTCCACTGGTCTGACCAGCGTTTTGTTATCCAAGTGGCTAAGGCGGAGGGGGGGTTCTCAGGCCGCAGCTCAGCAGCCTGTGTTGCAAAGTGTCTTCTAGGGAGACGCTGTCCTTCAAAGGCAGAGGGGGCAGGAACAAGGCATTTATCTCTGTCATGCTTTTGGGCAAGCTTAGCATACTGCGCATCTCGTCTGAGCTGAGCTGGTGGTATGCCAGATAATATTGGCAGGTTGCTGACTGGTGTTGCAGTGAGTGTTCCGCTGATTAGTCTCATAGCGTCATTGAGGACAACATCAACCTTGTGTACATGGGTGCCGTGGCTCCATGCAGGTGCAGCATACTCGGCAGTGGAGAAGGCAAGAGCTAGAGTGGAGGTGCGAAGGGTGGTGAAATTAGCTCCCCATCCGGTCCCTGCAAGCTTCTTTAGGAGAGACACTCTGGCTTGGGTCTTTTGGGCTGTGGCTTTGGCATGCTCGTGGAAGGTGAGGCTTCGGTCAAGAGTGACACCTAGGTACTTTGGTGTTGAGACGAAGTTCAGCCTAGACCCATCTAGTGAGATATTCAGCTCTCGGTTGGCGCATCGGTTAGCCAGGTGGAAGACGGAGGATACAGTCTTTGGTATGCTTATCTTGAGATGCCATCTGTTGAAGAACTCGGCTAGCATTTTCAGGTCCTTCTCCAGTGATGTTTCGATTGCTTCGAAGGAGTGGTTGTTGAACCCCAGTGCGGTGTCGTCTGCGTAGGAATACTGCATGCATTCCCCTTTGGGCATATCAGAGACATAGATGTTGAAAAGTATCGGAGCGAGGACAGAGCCTTGCGGCACACCATTGCGGAGTTTCCTCTTCCTACTGCATTCGCCGTTTGATGTTTCGAGGACAAATGACCGGTCTTGTACAAGCAGCATGATGAATTTCACGATTCTTACATCTGGAATGGTCTGCAGGGTCTTGAGGTATAAGCCACGGTGCCATACTGTGTCAAATGCCGCAGTAAGGTCGACAAGAACTGCACCAAACTTCTGCTTCTTCTGGAAGGCCGTCTCTATGTCGTTTACAAGCCTGACTACTTGGTCGGTGGTTGATTTACCTTTCCTGAAACCTGCCTGTGTAGTAGGTAGCTTCTCTTCGACAGTGTCAACGATTCTGGCAAGTAGCAGCCTTTCAAGTACCTTGTAGATGTGCGATAGCAGACTGATTGGACGGTAGCTCTTGGGTTCGTCTGCAGGCTTCTTGGGCTTCAGAATGGCAATAACTTTAGCGGTCTTCCATTTTGATGGAATAGTGGATGTTATCATGCAGGTAGAGAGAAAGGCTTGTAGCCAGGAAGTAGCTTTGCGACTCATGTTCTTGAGGAACTCTGTGTGGATGTTATCGTTGCCTGGCGCTTTGCCGGACTTTATTCATTAAATTATGAGAGAAAGAAGACCATTCGTTGTACCATTCTCGACTCTTAATCCTTGTTTGAATTCAGTCTTTCCCCTCCCCGCGCGAAGCGCGGCAGCTTTGACGTTTCATTAAATTATTAGAGAAAGAAGAGGATTCGTTGTACCATTCTCGAATCTCGATCCTTGTCTGAATTCAGTTCCCCCCCCCCTCCCGCGCGAAGCGCGGAAGCTTTGACTTTTCATAGTTTAATGATATTGTTAGAGGAAGAAGATGATTGGTTGTTCCATTCTCGACTCTTAAAGGCACACTGTCCTACTTGTAGCTACTTGCTCCCTCTATATAGAAAACTCCCCCAATCGGCGTCTGTTGGTCCCCCATGATCCTCTTTTTCTTATGTTAAATGAGAGCTGTGTGTAAAGTCAGTACGGGCCGGATTTTGTGTATTACGGGTCGGACTTTGTTGCGTGAAAAGTTACCCTTTATCGGAGATTCCCGGAGTGGGAGGGAGGGATGGGGGGGGGGGGGGGGGGGGGGGGGCTTTCTTCTTTTCTTTTCTCCTTTTTTTTCTCTCTTTCTGCTTCTTTTCTCTTCTTTCTTTTCTCTTTTCTTTTCTTTTCTCTTCTCCTTTCTTTTCTCTTCTCCTTTTTTCTTCTCTTCTTTCTTTTCTCTCTTCTTTTCTTTCTCTTTTTTTCTTTTTTTGCGCCGCCAATAGGGGGGGGGGGGGCCGCGGCCGTTTCGGCCCCCCCCCCCCTGGATCCGCCACTGCTTAAATACAAAAAGAGGAAAGTCTCATTAGTTCTTGGATCTTGGATTCTTTTCCTCCTAAAAGATACTCATGACTGGAGGTGGTGCAGTTGTAAAATATCTTTGTATACTAGGCTAGCTTTAATTGTATTTTGTCCATGCACCAGGTGGGGGCCTTTAAGAAATAAAACAAAAATTTCAACCTTTAAAAAATGTATCTTAACTTTTATGCACGCAAAAAAATTGGCAATGCGCCACTTATTCGTAAAAATATGAATAGACCGTATTCATCCATTTATTGGCATTGTTTGTTTATCGATGTGATTTAGCGTTCCCTAACAACGGAGAGTCCAGTGCCAATTTTAAGCGGTGGTAAATATGGGATGATATATTTTATTTCATTTTCCTTTAACGAATTCTCGTCTCGTATATAATGCTTTCATGTGTTTTATGTGTGTTATTTTGTTTTCTAAGATTGGATTTTATTGTCAATTAATCAACATTGAAATTTGCCACAGTCCCATATGCAACTTTATATGTAGGGTCTATGGCCAAGTCTCGGAGGAACGCACGTCCGTGTCCTCATGTGTGCAAGCACCATGCACCAGTACCAGGGGCGTGGCGGCTGCGCGAATAACTGTGCCATACATGTTGCCCATTATTTAGTTTTTATTAGTGGTGTAGTAAAGGATCTAGTATGGTAATATGGTGTGGTAGGGATTACCATCCTGACTGTGTATTAAAACAAGCTGTGACTTGTGTGAGTGTGATATTGATTCTCAACAATTCAAACACCACTGTACAAAACCCTCCCGCTTTTGGAGCCTGGAGGGAGTCTCACGCCACCATGCTCATTCTCCTGCCGGCCAAATAGCTCGTAGCGGGAGACTCCCGCCAGCACGCCTTTTCTCCCGAGTCCCGCTCTCCCGCTTCGATGTAGAATCTCCCGGTTTATGAAATAACCTCCCGCCAAACATATGGTAACCAATTTTTCGTCAAATAAACGGGACCCATAACAAATAGAAAATTTTTGACGCGATATTCAAATTTTAAAACACCCCTTGAAAAAATCATGCGTACGCCACTGCCGTTGAGCAAAACAAAAATTTGCATACGACCTCCCTCGAAGCAGTTCCCCAAACTTGACAGCCCTTACAAAACTCAACTGATATTTCACTCAAATAGTAAAATGTACTATAGTGACGATTGTGATGACACATAAATGGCAGTAAAATACAATTTTTTCAACTTTCCGATGTTAGAAAGAATAGTTTAAAAATTCAAATTATGAGTCCAATTGTCAAACTTGCCGATCAGCCGCATCAACATGATTGTGTGCATCTATGTGTTATAAGTGTATTGACTATTCATGTATTCAAATGCTGCCTATTAACACGTAGATCTAGTGCAGTGCTAGAGGTCAATATGCATTAGCATTGACCCTCTATGCTTTGCTGGAGTCAAATGGAGGAGGGGTTGCCTCCTCCTCGTCCTCTTCAACCCCCTTCTCCTCTCCCCATTCCTCTTCCTATTCTTCTTCCTAGAGTTCTTCTTCTTCTTCTTCTTCTTCTTCTTCTTCTTCTTCTTCTTATTCTTCTTCTTCTTCTTCTTCTTCTTCTTCTTCTTCTTCTTCTTCTTCTTCTTCTTCTTCTTCTCTTCTTCTTCTTCTTCTTCTTCTTCTTCTTCTTCTTCTTCTTCTTCTTCTTCTTCTTCTTCTTCTTCTTCTTCTTCTTCTTCTTCTTCTTCTTCTTCTTCTTCCCATTCCTCCTCCTAGCCCTCCTCCTAGCCCTCCCTCCTAGCTCCTCCTCCTAGCTCTTCCTCCTCCCCCTCTTTCTATTTGAATCTTCTCTTTCTTTTCCCTCTCGCTCTCCTGAATAAGGCTTCTTTTAACTCTGTTTGCTCTCTTCTCTTCTGCACTTTCTCCACGCCACGGACTTAGCATCTAAAATGTACCTTGGTGACCAGATTACATTTCTGTACTCAAGGAGGGGGTGCAAACAACTTGGGAATGGTGGATGTGTCGTGACCCTGAAAGACACGTCCGATGCTGATCAGAACCTTGTTGGCCTTGTTGATGGCATACGACACATGGCCTTGGAACTTCAGTTTGTCATCAATAATTACCCCTCGGCCCATAATCCTTTTCCTCTCCACTCCTGCACTCAGGGCTGTACTCCCAATTGTGTAGTGCTCCTGACAGTCTCCACATCGAAGATGCAAATCACTACATTTGCTTGCATTAAACCAGAGTTGCCACTTTGAGGACCAGATGTGCATTTTCTTTTTCTTCTTTTCTTTATATTCTTCTTCATGTTCTGCTTCTTTGAATCTACTCCTCTTTCTCTGTTTTTTTTCTTTCTCCTTCAGCAATATTTATTGAAGGTGATCGATGTACATAGATTGTCTTTGTGTATGTTTTGTGATTCAGACAGACTCTTCTGCAAATTGAGACCCATTTACAGGTCTTATTTCTGCATTTTTTGTCATAGGGCCCAAGCTCACTGTAAGATAATTACAGAGGCAACTAAGAGTGAAAACCACAAGTCGTCATGGGATGCGGATCTTCACGCAGTTACCCGTACGAGGTCAGTCAGCAATGGGAATCCGTAGAGAAAACAATAGAGTCAAGGGGTCGCCAAAATCGGGTCACCATTAGGCGATCAGGCTGGAAGACGGTCAGAGTATTTGTGTCATCCACTTTCCGGGACTTCCATTCAGAGAGGGACGTCTTGGTCAAAGAGGTAATATCATTCACTTTAGTTTAATAACTTACATGCATAGCAGTTAAGAAGTTTGTAAAGGTGTTCATGAATTAGCCTTGCCTCCTAAACTAATCAGCTTTTCTTTGCAAATAAGAACTTATTCTTATCTCTTACTCTTCCATTCTTTCAGATAAATCTTAAGGTATATATCTTTTATCTTTTTATCTTGTCAAAGTGTGCAATTCAGCTGAGAAACACACTATTCAATATACTGGCATGCAGTATGTCTATATGTATGATTTTTATTTTTAAGAACAATAGGCAAAATTATTTTTAGACATATAGCAATTAAATGTGAAGAAACTAAACGAGTCAAAAGATACATCTTCATGAAATTGTAACTTTTTCTATGATGCAGGTACCTCAAACCACTCACATTTTGATATTATATCCAATATCTTTTTAAAAAAAAGGGGGAAAAAACTGTGATTCTTTGTAAGATTTAAAATTTGTTTGTGAATTGTAAAGTTAGATATTCATCAAGCACTTCTTTGTACCTGTATGAAAATGAACAATGAAAAGTTGAATTTCTCATACATGTTGAAGCATGGTAGCACCATAATTCTAAAGGTTTATTCCTTATGTGTTGACATCAAATGGTTATATTTCATTTTTGGCCAAGTTTTTCCAGATATAATGCTCTGAGAAGACAAGATATGTTATTGAAATGTTTGTTTCATCTGTAAGATTTTCTCAAATATAGGAACAGTTTTTTAACAGACTGAAGATGGTATTAGACGATATAATTTATAAGCAAGTAATATTTCTTTACTTTACAGGTTTTCCCAGACTTACGAGAGTGGTGCGAGAAGAGAAGACTACATCTTGTAGAGTGTGATCTCAGATGGGTAAGGATTATCTCCTCCATGTAGTAAAACTCTCAAGTTTCATTCAAGTTCCAAATTCTTAACCCTTGCAAAAAGCTTCTTCTGTATTCTGGTATTGACGCGAGATGATTTTGTCAGAAAATGACTGCGTAATGAGAAAATGAAGACAAGGAAATTCAACTCTTCTTTTCTAAGCAACTGTGTAATCGTTCTGTGCAAACTGTTGGCAATTCCGTGATTTTTTTTTCTTCAATTTCATGCCAGTTTTATCATATACTTGCTGCAACTTTAAGATTCACAAACTGTTATTGTTCTATCAGTGTTTGTAATTGGATAATTGGTCTGCAATGAAAACACACAACAAGAACGATACTGTATAAAATACTGTACCTAACCATTAACTTTACCCAAAGCTTTAATTAAACCATAACCCAAGTACTACCCTGTGCAGCATACAGTATACTTTGATATAATAATAATAATTATATGTGCTTATATAGCGCCTAACACCTACCTTACCAGAAGTCTCTAAGCGCTCTACAATAATGCGGCATAATTACTCTGGCTTTAACAGAGCAGCTGTTACTGTGCTTTAAGGAATAAGTTCCTACCAGGTCGCCATTAACTTCACCTGGGTGGAGTGTAGCACAATGTGGATGAATTTCTTGCTGAAGGAAGTTAATGTCCTGGAGTGGGATTTGAACTCACGACCTTATGATTAAAGACGAGAGTCAGAACCACTACACCATGATGCTCCAGTACACCAATAAAATCTATAGAATCTCCTGCTCTTCTGTGACCATAACGGTATTGTTTCTTTTCTGCAAAGGGAGTACCAAAGGACACTACGACCGAAGAAACTCTTAGAACATGCCTGAGTGAGATTGATAGATGCTATCAAGAAAACATCATGCCCTTCTTTCTCAACATGACGAGGTAATGACACTTCTTTTTTGTTCAGTTATGCTTCTTCCTCATATCTACTTCCAAACCTTTCATTCAACTCACATTTATTTGGCAAAGATAAAAATCAAAATGAAATCGTTGCAAATACCGGGATTGCTAAAATAAGTTAAAAACTTGTAAACGAGCAACCCCAAACATAAAAAGATACAGGTACAATACAATACAACAAAAAATATGATTCAAAAGAGTTTACTGGTTTTATTTTTTCCTCAAGGAGGCTGTTCACACCGACAGAGATAGCGCGGTCTAGCGCGCGCTAGACCGCGCTATCTCTGCGGTGTGGAAGGTACAACGTCGTTTCGGTCCGCCCAACAGCGAGCCACGGCGAGCCAACACTGGAGCACCTCTTGGGGGTGGTCCAAGAGGGATAGCGCGGTCTAGCGCGCGCTAGACCGCGCTATATCTACCGGTGTGAACCCGAGCTACGATAGCACGCCGGATTTCATCGTTCTACACGCGGGGAATTTTATACTCATTCTATTTTGGTGCGATCTGAATCTGAATCGGTACAATAGGCCATTTTCGTAATGTAACCAAATTTAATGCATAAGTGTTTGTGAGGTGCCTCAATACAAATTATTTCATTCACCTGATAGGAACAATAGTATTTCAATAGTCAGAATGCAACTGCATATATTAAGTGTTGCTATATAGGTAGGTCAAGCCATAATGCTTGTCCAACCTGACAACAACTAATGTATGCAGTTTGGATTCTGTCTATTGAAATACTATTATTCTTATCAGGTGAATGAAATAATTTGTATTGAGGCACTTTACAAAGACGTATGCATTAAATTTGGTTACATTACGAAAATGGCCTATTCAGAACGTCACGCGTCATGACAACAGGACCTCTCAAAAAACTTGGGTGCAGTTAGACCGCGCTATCTCACTGCGGTGTGGATCCGGCGAATGCCAATGGGCGGACCGTGGGTCGCGCTACGATAGCGCGATCCATGGTCCGCCCACGGTCCCCCCTTGCGGTGTGAACACGCCCAAGGTTTCTCTTATTGTCAGGTTTCATTATTATAAGAAAGATACAATATCACAGCTTTACGTGTTGACTTTAAAAATGATGTCGGTTATTCTTAGTTTTTGTTATAATATTTTATCTTATTGATTTTATCTTTGAATGTATTCTCGTAAGCATTACATGTATGTAATAACTGTTAAAAATCCCTTTGAATGCAATTTAATTTTAATATTTTCATTGGCTCCAGTCTTAGAGGTAAGTCCTGAAGAAAATGCCATCAAATATTTGCAGCGACTACTGCTTGATATTAAAAAGACTCAAGGTGATAGTCAAATCAAATCAATTTTTTCATTATTCAAATTGACATCTAAATCCAATCATTTTTCTTCTATTATTTAACGACAGTGAACGATGTGGATGGATCCCAGGCCTAGAGGAAGTGCCCTCTAGTGTTGTGAGTGATTATCGCTGGATTCATGGTCTCTCCATTACAGAGATGGAGATCATGCATGGCGCCTATCGGAAAGAGAACCCAAACTGTAAGTTAAAAAAACAGTATTATTTATTTTATTTCATCCAATAATAATGATAATAGTTCACTTCTATAATGCGTCTAATACTTTGTTTCTAGGCGCAGTACATATTATTACCCGGTCATCGGATTCAGATTTACTCGCACACAATGTATGCACATTCTCCACTCCCTGGGGAGCATTCCGGCCAGTTGCCCCTTGCTCATCGAACCAAATTAACTTTCGCATCCTACCCGGTACCCATTTAACACCTGGGTTGAGAGTGGCAAACATAGATTAACGTCAGGCCAAAGGACATTCATGCCGGGCATTATGGCTCAAGGCATGGGCACACAGAAGATTTTTTTATGTTGGGGACCGGGGGGAAATTCAATGAATTATTACAAATTTATTGCATTTTCTTTGTTTTTGTTAATTTGTGGGAACTGCCCCCTACCCTAACCCCCGCTGCGTACACTCATGGTTCAGTGGCAAAGCAATGGCCTCGCAGCTGTGAGGCCCCAGGATCAAAACCGTGTCAATGTGCTATATTAGTGCCCTTTTGTGGGGCATTAATCCCCATTACTGTCATTTATGACTTAAGGGCGTAGGTCCCCTAGTTGATAAGCATAGTAGCTTACATATGCTTTAGCAGTCACGCAAAACAAACACTGGCAAATTCTTATTCAATAAAATCTGAGAATGTATACTATTATCTAGATCTATTAGGAATAAATCATTGTCAAAATAATTCCATAATGGAGGTTAAAAAAAAAATATTCCAACTATATGAGCGACAGTTTATATAACAGAATTAAAATTGTAATTTAAATTTTGTCACTTATAGTACTTCAGGTTACAGATTCTATTTTTCTCTTCTCCTTTGTAACAATTTAGCCCTCTTTGCCCTGCGAGATGATTCCTTCATCGACCAGATACCTCAGAATTATCGAGAGGAGTTTGTGGATAGCAACCCCATAGCAACCCACAAACTCAAGATGCTCAAAGAGATGCTGCAAACCAGATTTGGGGTAAGAAAATGACAAGATGGTAATAGCGGCTTCTATAGTATAGTGCTCATGTCTGTCTTGCTGTGTTGCTCCAGGCAGTCCAATATTGTTACCTCAACTGTACCCATACATTATTGGCAGACCTACCAAGTGTCCTGCTTTGTGTAGATTAGAAATGTGCAAAATCAGATTTAAAAAAATAATTAAGCATTAAAAATCCATCTTTTTAGGCCTCTGGATACCCTTTCCTAAATGCCTGAAAGTGCCAAAACCCATGTGCTCCCGGGGGCTTTGCCCCTGGACCCCCTGCCTTTATATGCTCCGCTCGCATTGTTCACTTTGCTCTAATAGACTCTTGATTCCAGTTGTCTCACATTGCAGTTTGGAAAGTATGCTTGTAAGTATTAAGCAACCAGGGGACTGATGGCTATAAGTCCTCTCCAAGGGACTTGATTTGACTATGCACATGGAAAATGACGACCCTCTCCCTTTAAGTTATGTGAACAGTTGTATTACATCCACATGTTTACAATAACATTACTCTGTTTTGCAACATACTTGCAGATGGATAAGGTCTTCAAGTACTCCTGCTCATACAATGGCATTGATATTGATTCTGGTAAGGTGGAGCTGGATGGCCTGGATGACTTCAAGGTCAAGGTAAGAGAAGGCATTAAGGCTTTGTTTCATGACACCTAAAGGGAGTGTAGCTTGGCAAATACTATTTAACACCATCTACGCCTTCTTTTGGACAACTGCACGTAAACGAATGGACTTGATTAACGGTAGTCAGCGACTTAATCTCTACATTGTCAGCGTTCACGAAACAGGACAAGTTCTCCTCACGCTTTGGTTTTGCGTATGTTGTACGCACGTGATTGCTGCGGTCGCATCATCCGTAGTCGTATTATACCCGATTTGCCCCGAGTCAGGTCGCGGGAAAGACACGTAGTATCATCAGGCTAGTCGCTACCCTCCCTTTAAAATGAGGAACAATATCCTGTTGACAGAGCATTCACAACTGCTGCTCCCAAACTGGAATGACCTACCCATATTTCTTTGCAACCAGCAATCACTAAATATCTTTTTTTTAGAAATCTCAAAACTCACCTCTTCTGTTAATAACATAATTGTGAAGGTGCATTTAAACATTAATATGGAAAATATTCTACTTGAATACATCATTATTGTTATTATTATTATTGCTACAATTCTGTAAACAAATGTGCGCTCTTCCAACAGAGACATATATCTGCAAAGCGATTAGAGACGGTATTCCGTTAAGTGATATATGAATCCAGATTCATTATTATTATGAGAATATGATTTTGATAGCAAGTTTCCATGCATCTCTAGACTCCTTTCCTCCTGCCCAAATGTCTCATTTTATAATAATAATAATAATAATAATGGCTTCTTATATAGCGCACATGATGTGGCGCTGCTGGTGCTGCCCGATTATTACCCTGGCTTTAGCAAGGCGGCCATTACGTCGCTCTACCATTTCCAACACCTGGGTTGAGTGTGTCAAATGTAGATCAATGTCTTGCCAAAGGACATTAGTGCCCGGCGGGTCTCGAACCGAGAACCATGTGATTGACAGTCCGGTGACGTATCCACTCGACCATGACACCTCTACATTTCTCATTTCTCTAATCTGTGTTTCCTGTAGGTGTTTGACTTCTTCAAGAAGGCTGTTGCTGAGCAGTATCCCTTGGATGAGAGCAGACAGCTGGATCCCTATGAGCAAGACAAAGAAGCACATGAATCCTTTATGAAGAGTAGGAGTAGCATCCTCTTAGGACGCAAGGATATCCTGGAAAAGGTTAGTGGCAATCTAATTGGTCAAATTATTATTATTAAGTATTTGGCATCACCTGTGCCTGAGAGGCAAGAAGCTAAATGAATCACTGTGACCCTCGGGTCTCTCCACTGGTATAACCGATTGGCAGGGGGACCACTAATCTGGGGTTTCCCCCTACTCTTTTACGAATAGTGTCGTGGGTTCTTAACATGCAAAAGTGGTGGCTCTTCTCTACATGGGGCCTCCATTTAAAGTCCTGTTCGAGGGACAGAGGGTTTTCCACTTAACATATATGTAGCCTGCGTCTATGACTCCAAAATTCTCATTAAAAAGTGATCACTGCTCAAAGTGAAAAAGCACGGCTACAATGCGCATATCCGTATCTCTGGCGTGTACAAAATAAGATGCAGTGAATTGCATGCAGTTTCAAATGGCAAGGACGTTGATGGCACTGAGACTTGCATTGTTCTGTTTAGCTGCACTTCTGTGATTTCATTAAATAAAAACAAATGACGGCCTAAAAGACTGCAACACTAGGCATTTTGATTGGGTTCATTGCTTATTTCTGGATTCATCATTTCATATTCATCTTGCCAACCCTGTTTTATCAAATATATAATTCATGTTTTGAAGCTCGTGCAACAATGTTTCATAATTATTTCAAAACTTCAATTTGTTATAGGCTACTGAAGTCCTTGCATTTGATTGGCTGAGAGCGTATTTTTTATACAATTTTAGCGCTTTCATTGATAAAAAGTTGTATGAAAAAGGACCCTGATGTTGATATCAATTGTGCATATACATGTATATACCAAACATACATACACATCGATTAAACGCAATTACTTTTACATACATATTCTTATTACAAATGCCAATCTATCTTACAGATTGAATCCTACATCCTGGACAAGGAGAAGTGTAGCGCCCTCATCCTTCTCGGTGGGCCAGGTAGCGGCAAATCTTCTCTGCTAGCCAGGGTTGCTGATGTAGCTTGCTTGAGGGCCGCCAAGGGAGAAATACCCAGGTACATTCCTTTGATCAGTTCATTGAACTTAATTACTCTTTAGTGGCTTTATTCGACAAATGGGACAAACGGGGGACTTCCACAGTCAAATTATGGATGAAGTAAAATGTATTATACTACAAATAGTGTGGTAGTCCAGGGGAGTGTTTGACAAAGACTAAGATCGACTTTAAGTTGAACTTATATATGGCAGGCCGTTCATGCCACTGTTTCCTCTCACCATTATGATCTTTAGATGATATCTTTTCCTTCAATAATGAATTATCAAAAAAGGTAAATTCTGTAGATTTGTGACCATGAATTGTACGTCCCTTGCCAGTAAATGGTGAGAACAAAGAGTGGCATGAATGGCCTGCCATAGTTAAGTTCAACTTAAAGTCAATCTTAGTCTTTGTGAAATACTCCCCTGGTTTTAAATCCTTGATGAATGAAGATTTTTAATTAAGTCATGTCTCGTCAATATTCTTAATGTTGGATGCTTTAATTTCATTAACTCAATGTTCTTCTTCTTCTCCTTCAGTGGGCAGGGACCTTGGAACATATTCTATCACTTTGTCGGTGCCATCCCAGGATCCACTAATCCAGAGAAAATGATCAAAAGACTTCTCAGAGAACTCAAAGTCTGTAATGTAAGTACATCATGATAAGTAATTAAAGAGTATATGTAATCGTCAAGGTGTATAATATAAACAGTTGTATAAAACTGTGAAGAAAAATTATGATGACATACTTCTCAGAGAACTAAAAGTCTGTAAAAGTACATTATCATAGTTAAGGAGTATTTGCAGTCATCAAGGTGAATGATGCAAACAGTTTTATAAAACTGAAAAAAGATTATGATGACATACTTCTCAGAGAACTCAAGGTTTGTATGTTAAAGTACATTATCATAGTTTAGGAGTATTGCAATCATCAAGATGTATGATATAAACAGTTGTATAAAACTGTGAAGAAATTATGATGGCATACTCATTGTGATTGGTATTTGGTGCTATCTTTGAAATACTGTTCTTTGTCAAAAGAGCAGATCAGCATGTTTTAGACACCATCTTATACTATGTACTTACAAGTTTTAAGATCACCACTCTCCAATGTTATTTTGAAACTTAACACAACAAAAACACAATAAAGGTGTCTTTTGCTAGTCTAGTTAAAAATCAATGTTTAATTCATTTTTTGTACTTCACTTAGAGTTTATGAACTCAACTAAACCTGAATAGTTTGATGAATTGCCGTCTAGTAATTTTATTTGCTAAATCTTATGATGTACTGATCGCTGTTTTACCCTGCCACACTTAGGCCTGTAGTGCAGCTATATTCCTAGCTTCTTTTTTTTTAGCATTATATTTGATAGTCCCATGTATGCTTTTTGTTGTTAGGACTCTAACATGCCCAAGGACTATGAATCAGCATGCCAGATTGCAAGCAGTGCCCTCTCAAACCCAAACACAAAGCCAACAATCATCGTCATTGATGCTCTCAACCAGGTATGTATTAAATCAGTTCTAATCATGTTAAAATTAATATCTCTTTCTCTATGGTTTATAGAATAAATTATATTTGCCACTCTCCACCCAGGTGTAAAATGGGTACCAGTATGACGGAATTCTTTGAATGCTGTGAGCGCCGAAATCGGCTGCCTAGCAGAGCCGGGGTAATGTTGAAACGTCTTGAGCACCATGCATGGTGGATATGTGTGCTATGTAAATATGCAATAAAATTATAATTATTATTATTATTATAGCTTGCAGATCGATAGTAATGACAATTTCACTTTTCAAAACCAAACTGAGTCATCCTCATACATCTATGAAAGAAGTTGACATGAATTCATTTGAAAGATGGTGTTTAATTCAATATGCATGACCAAGAGGATTTTATTTGTTATCACTATTACATGTATTATGAGGTCAGTAATTACTTTTCCCATCATAAAGAGTGTTAATTCCCAGAAGAAAAGTGGTCTTTATAGGCAAAAGGTCTTTATGTACAGGTCCCTTTAGTACATGTTTCAATGACAAACATTTCTTTATAGCCAGGTGGTCCCTAAAGCAGGTTTGACTGTACGTATATATCTAGAGAGTCTGGGTCTTAAACAGTTGATTATCATTTCTCTCTGTCACTGATAAGCTTTGATGAAGATGGAACAGTCTCCACGCTAATACGATTGCCATCCAAGGCGGGGCCCAAGGTCCGTTGTGTCTTCTCCACAATCCTAAATTCCATGAATTCAATAAAAACATACTTTCTCTCTTTTGCTGTTCGAAGCTTGATGAGGACAGAACGGCTTCCACCTTAAGATGGTTGCCATCCAAACTAGCACCCCAGGTACGTTGCGTCTTCTCCATGATCAACGAGACTCCGCCTCATCGTATGCTGAGAGAGAGGAAGATCAAACCGGTGGAGCTACCTGTCACCCCACTGGACATGGAATCTAGAAGGGTATAAGATCATTTAGTCTTTATTTTTTCCCCTGCCATACTCAATATGATTCAATAATACTTGTTGGGGTGTAGTTGTACAGGTGTATATATATAGATATTTAATGAGTTACGAAATACTTCATTACCAGCTCTCATATCCATATTAATCAGATTAAGTCTCGGTGGAAATGTATGAAACAAGTTAGAATCATTGGCAAAAAATCTAAATCAAAATAATTTGTTGAGTTTGGCAAAGCATTTATAAACATAATAACAGTATAGGTCCTAACACTGAACCCTGAGGAACACCACTTATGTTGGAAAATATTATTAAGGACAAATATTTATTGCTATTCAATGAATATTTTTTGTATAATTTTAAGGCAAAAGAGAAGGCTGTTTGTTAAGTGTCTGCATGGACACCCAACCCCTCATCATACTTGATGTTTATCTTTTATTAAACAGGAGATTGTCTCGGAGATACTAGGTCAGTTCAACAAGCGTCTGGACGAGGAACAGATGGTGAGTCTTCTTAGCAAGGAAGCATCTCAGAACCCTCTGTGGTTGTCCATCGCTTGTGAAGAGCTCCGAGTCTACGGTGTCTTCGCTAAGGTCACAGACAAAATCAACACCCTGGCAGATGGTCTTCTAGAGTAAGTCTATTGGGGTGTTGCAAGAAATTTGTGATTGATTGCCAGTTACAAAATTCTGATATTCTATATTTAATTCTGCACTTTCTTCCAAAATCTAATCATCTATAGATGGGTCATAAGACATACATGTACAGGTAGAAGTAGGAATTAATGATGTAGTAAATGTTTGTTTTCAGGCTTCTGGCCTAAGTGCTAGAGATTCGGAGATGAGAATGAAGGGAGTGTGATGGGAGGACACAATGTCTCCTGGAATGATCCTTTTTAGCGCTCCTTCCTTCCCTATGAGACAAAGTTGTATGAATATTGATGTTTTAAATTTCTTTTTTGTAGGCTCCTAGCTAGCACAAGTCCTGGAGAGCTATGAGAGTGGAGGGAGCCTTATGGTAGCAAACCTGAGTCTCCTGGATTGCTCCTTGTCAGGGTCCTGGAGGCTGAGCTCCTTCCTTTTTGTAACCCTGTATGATAACGATGTATGAATGATCATGTATCACCTGTCTATTTCTTATTTTCAGGCTCCTGGCCCAAGTCCTGGTGAGGTTTGAAGATGAGAGTGGAGGGTGCCTGATGGTAGCTACCCTGTGTCTCCTGGAGTGCTCCTCCTCAGGTCTCCTGGAGGCTGAGCTCATTTCCTCCCTATGAGACAGAGATTTATTAATATTGATGTGTAAATGTCTTTTTTCAGGCTCCTGGCCCAAGTCTTGGAGAGGTTTGAAGATGAGAGTGGAGGGAGCCTGATGGTAGCTACCCTGTGTCTCTTGGAGTGCTCCTCCTCCAGGCTCCTGGAGGCTGATCTCCTTCCCTCCCTATGAGACAAAGATTTATTAATATTGATGTGTAAATATCTTTATTCAGGCTCCTGGCCCAAGTCGTGGAGAGGTTTGAAGATGAGAGTGGAGGTAGCCTTATGGTAGCTACTCTGTGTCTCCTGGAGTGCTCCTCCTCGGGGCTACTGGAGGCTGATCTCCTTCCCTCCCTATGAGACAAAGATTGATTAATATTGATGTGCAAATGTCTTTTTCAGGCTCCTGGCCCTAGTCCTGGAGAGGTTTGAAAATGAGAGTGGAGGGAGCCTTATGGTAGCTACCCTGTGTCTCCTGGAGTGCTCTTTATAGGGCCCCTGGAGGCTGATCTCCTTCCCTCCCTATGAGACAAATAACCTGTCTATTTCTCTTTTCAGGCTCCTGGCCCAAGTCTTGGAGAGGTTTGAAGATGAGAGTGGAGGGAGCCTGATGGTAGCCACCCTGTGTCTCCTGGAGTGCTCCTCCTCGGGTCTCCTGGAGGCTGAGCTCCTGGCCATCCTTGGAGATGAGGATAACCTGATGCCTTCTGATGACGGAGAGAACAACAAGGAAAAAGGTTTGTAAGATGAGATGATTCATTGGTCATTTATTTCGCACTTTCTAGGAATATAAAAATGAAACAATACAATCAAGGTGATTTACAAAATTAGAATGACAACAAATTATACAAATGCACATTTTTGTAGCTATATCCTGATTGCAAAAGCTGGCAGCCAGGGAAGAGGAGAGCAAACTTAATAACTGAACCGGTAATGGTCCCTCTGCCCATGTTATAACATTTATCACCAGGGCGTACAGGCCCAAATCCGAAGTGATAGAAAAGGTAACCCCTAAAGTTCCACCATTTTATAGCTTGAAAGTTGGGCATGATCTTAATGCCCCCCCCCCCCCTCCAATTTTTTAAAACCTTTTTTATGCTTCCTTCAATACCTTTAATCCACATGCTTTGCATGTATTACGTATCACATATTAGCATCAGATTGTCCTGTGAAAGGGAATGACGAAAAAGAATTATCAAAAGATGTTGTCAAATATTGCTGCGATACTTGGTGATTCATGAGACAGAGAACTTTGTGAAATGGGTGTCGCTTAATCTCGTGTAACTGCTATCAAAATAATACCCTTTTCACATACAGTAAAGACTGCTCAAAAGAGACATGGAAAGTGGTCTTTATAGGCAGGTTCCTTTAGCATATATTTCAATAACAAATCACTTTCAAGGGGAACAGAAAATGGGGTCTTTATAGACAGGTGGTCTTTCAATACAGGTAGTCGCTAAAGCAGGGTTGACTAGCACATGTGCTATTATCTGGCCCCTTTTACCAACCAATAGTTTCTCTTCTTGTATAATGTAAAATCATTGTATGAAAAATGTATTGCTGTTGGTAAATAAATCAAATCTAATCTAATATAATCTAATCTACTGTATATTCTCTGTATTTTGAAATGTTCAGGTGCCAGCGAGAAGAGGGAGAAGTCCAACAAGCTCCAGCCGCTACCCGCCGTCAAGTGGGCCCGGGTCTACCGCGCCCTTCGACCTTTCCTGCGACCCTTCGGGGACAGCGGGGAGGGGCGGCTCGACTTCTACCACCGCTCCCTCAGCAAGGCCATCAGAAAGAAGTATTTCAATGCCCGGCTCGCTGGGGAAGGAGAGGGTGGTGAAGAAGAGGAGGAGGGGGCAGCCATGAACGAGACTCTTGTACGCTGGTGGAACACAAAACTGGCCGATTACTTTGAAAATGTGTCCAATCTAGAGAGGAAAGTTGAGGTACGTGTCAGATGATGTACATACATTTTATTATTGTCTCTTCCTTAATTCACGCATAGATTTGCTTGTAATATTTATGTATGTTTTTGTATGTGTTTATTGATTAATTGAATTTTTTAATTGTATTTTAATATTTATATTATAAGCAGGGGATGACCCCCGATAAACCTCTGTGGTTTTTTTATCATCCCCTCTGCAGGTTCATCTTTTGTTTTAAAGGCACACTGCCATACTTGTAGCTACTTGCTCCCTCTATATAGAAAACTTCCCCAATCGGTGCCTGTTGGTCCCCCATGATCCTCTTTTTCTTATGTTAAATGAGAGCTGAGTTAATGAGATAGCCACCTGTCACAGTGACCTCGATGGCTCTCTGTGTGGTCTAATCCCTTCTGGCCCAGTAGTGGTGACGGTCTTTAATGCTATCATATTTGATTGTAATTTATATTGTCTTTTATGAATCTGTGGAAATCTATAATTATTATCATTTGGCCTTCTTGTTTCTGTTGCTTTGCTGATATCTTTAGTATTAGAATAAGACAATTCAAGATAGCAATTTAATTATTTAATTATGTTTGCATTTCAGGAATACCCTTATCAACTGATCAAGCTAGGAAACGAGAAGCGTTTGACTGAATGCATCTGTGATTGGGATATGATCGAGGGTCTGTATAATGAAGACTACAGCTCGCAGCTTCTGTCTTACTGGAGAAAGGTAATAGAAATACAAATGCAAATCGTATTTTATAGAATAGAAACCAAATATAGAGAGGATCATTCTTAGTGTAATTTTATAGCCAAAACAAGAGTAGAAATAATCTCTTAAAGCCTGTCTGCACTAGTTTGGCCAGGAGGGATTAGACCACCCAGCATGGTCACTGACAGGCGGTTATCTCATCAACTCAGCTCTCAATTAACATAAGAAAAAGAGGATCATGGGGGACCAACGGGCGCCACTTAGGCATTGTTTTCTATATAGAGGGAGCAAGTAGCTACAAGTAGAGCAGTGGAGCTTTAACTTTATAAGTGCATTGGGATGTGATCTGCACTCTTTAAAGAAAAGTTGTTTATTATTATTATCATTATTATTCACTTTGCAAAATAAAGTAATAAAATTGTTATTTGATTATTGTTGGCTTATTTAAGATCCAATACAGTACATTCCTTGTATATTCAAAACCATAGAGACCTTCCCAGGTTTAAAGAAATGTAATAAAATTGGTATTTTTAGTTTCGCCAGCATTTCAATGTTTGCCAATTAATCATGTTTTTTTTATTCAGTTAAAAACCAATGTTTATCTTGCCTCAAATGCACTAATAAATGTTCTGATGAATGAATCCGTCTGGTTCTGATTTTGGATGCAAAATATCCATCTGCCATGTATTCACTTTTTGTGTGTAATGTGCATTTACATTTGGCCTTTGCGTTTAATATGATTTTGTTTTAAATGAATTGAATTGATTTGAACTTGTACCTTTATTCTTCTATAGATGGATGAGAAGTATGATACGATGGCTTCTAAATACACAGAGATGAGTGCCGCTATGTCTATTGATGATCCTAAAAAAACTGCAGATAAACTCAGCTGCCTTGCACACACTCTGTAAGTACCGAACTGATTTTATACTGACTTAAATTTTCAAGATATATACATGTACATGAACATGTATAATACCCATAAAATTGTCTGTCATTGAATTATGCATAAATATTTTTTTGATGTTTTGTCTTGGGTGTTGTAACAGCCATTGAAGAGCGTAAAATATGACTGTTGATTTGATTCTTGTCTCAAGAAAATCCATTTGAAAGAAGTTAATATATAAAGGTTTAATGATGCATCGCCTTTTCTCAAGAAACATTCATTCAAAAGAATAGAAAGCAGGACTGTCTTTTTTATCCTCATCGTAAAAGAGTAGGGGGAAGCCCCGGTATAGTGGTTCACCTGCACACCCCCAATTAGTTATACCGGGAGGAGAGACCCGAGGGTTACAGTGATTCAGTTCGCTTTTCGACTCCCAGGCACAGGTGATGCCAAATACTTAACGGTAATGATAATGGTTACAAGAAAAATCCATTGGAGATTAAAGATTAAAGATTAAATACGACCAGTTATCGAATGTTATTACATGCTTCATATATAATATTCTTTAGAAAAATTGAAGATTTCACAACTTGTTGATGTATTGTTTTATCTGCCACTAAAACCCAGTTTAAGACATAATAAATTTCCTGTCTTATTTCATACAGCACACAGGCAGGCCAGTACAAAGCAGCTCAGGGCATTATTAATAAAGTTCTTGAAATAGAGACTGAGCAACTGGATTCGGAACCAGAGAGACTCGTGGAGCTTTATGACTTGTGCGGGGAACTCTTTGATGAGGTATGTAATGTAGCTTCGTGATCTACTTTAAAACTAAAACGGTATATTCCATTCATGAAGTTTTTGCAAATGTTGTAAGTGACTGCTTTTCTAAAAGTTTTATGCTACAAAATTATAGAATCACATATGACCTTGTCTGCTTTTCATTTTTGATATTCATTTTGAGAAGTTTTTGAAGACAGAATTTAAATCATTCAAACTTAATCACCATAACTCATTTCAACTGGCTTACGCTGACAGATCGCCAAGCTGCATGATTTCATCACGAGAGAACAGATCTCTGACTTGAGACCTGCCATTGACTACTGCAGGAAGGCTGTCGCAATAAGAGAAACATTAGAGGGACCCTCTCACAAGGTATGTAAAATACATGCAGTCTAATCCACAGGTCAACGTACCCAGTTTACACAATCATTATTCACTTGAATGAATAGATTTTTCGACGTGTTGGCAATTTGAAGATTTTGGTATCCTAAATTCCTATCATATTTCTGGTGTCAAAGGACATTTGATATAGAATTCAACAATCCTGGGCACAATTTGTGCAAAAAGTTTAAATTTTTATCGCTCTGCTGAAAGTTACTCATACACTAGACACATCAAATACTACTATGAATTGAAATTTAATTTGTGTCAGTGTGATTCATGAACTAGCAATTGCTAATAAGTAAAAGGTCAAACTCAAGCAAGTTAAGCTAATACTTTAGATGTAAGTAATTAATACATGTATTTGTTGGATAAAACTTATTATCAATGACAACTACCAGATCAGCTTATAGATAATAAAATTTAAGGATCTCAATAGCTTAAAACAGTTATAGTATACAAATATACACTGCCTTGAGAGGTTCTGGTTAAAACTATGCGCAAGAGGTGACTCCAATAGTACTATTTGCTGAGGGGCGCAGCCCCGAAGCAAATGGTACTTTTGGAGTCACCGAGGCCCATAGTTTAACCAGTACCTCGAATAGAAGGCATGGTATATTTGTTTTATATCCTGCATCAAAAATTTATTAAAAAAAAAAAAAAAAAAAAAAAAAAAAAAACTTTTTTTGGAAAAAAAAAATTTAGAACAAAAAAATGTCAATTTTTATCTAAAAGATTTAAAATATTTTGTTTTCATTAAATTAAGATTTGAAAAAAAAAATTGATTCCCATTTTTTTTTCAACTCCCAAATAGTAAACCAAAATAGTACTCTCATATAGTACTTTCTAAAAATAGCTCAAATATTTTTGGTCATGTGACGAGCTCTCAACCAATCAGAAGCCAACAAATTTTTGATGCAGGATATAATATCTGTTATTGATAACATGTCTCAAGAAAATAGGCCCTATGGTAAGGCATTGATCCTCATTACCAAGTCCCTCAAAGGAAGGGCTTAATATAGCATTCGGTCCTCTCGTTGCCTACTTACAAGCATATACCGGTACATGCTTTCTTAGCAGTAGGGTAAAACAATCTTCAAAGATCATAGACCGATATATGGAACCCCAAACTAAACAAAGTGACTCTAAGTTTCTTTTCATGATACGTCTTGTTTGTTTGTAAGCCAATTTCTTTCTATTTTTTCTTTCCTCAGTTCAGATTGGCAAACACGCTGATGCGCCTTGCTTTCGGCCTGAATACTTGGATGGAGTGTGGAGGAGATAACACACTCTCTCCAGCTGAAGCTTATGAAGAATCTAAGAAACACATAGAAACATCCATACAGATGTTCAAAGAGGTAAATAATTGATACCGTACTTGATACGTGATGAAGTAATCCCTTTAGCAGCTCACTCAGGAAGCTATAATCGGATGGTAGGTTAAGCGAATAGCTGCAAAGAGTGCCATGAAGTGCAGAAACAGTGTGTAGACAAAGCACTTTCAATGTGCAGTAAAATATGTACAGTCTAGTGCAAGTAAACACCACACTAGTAAACTTAAACTAAGTGAGAGCTTACATGAGGCTGCATCATTCTAATGAAGGGTATAGCAGCCCCCTTAAAGTAGCTTGTTCCTTTTGTTTCGTCTGCTGAGCCTGGTAGATGGTTCCAGATCCTTATTTTTCTTGGATAGAAGGAAAACTTGAACGCAAGATAATTACAACATTAGAATTCTCAATCGGTTATACCATGGTTTTCTCTCTATCTCTTCCCCAGCAGCATGTGCAGCTGGTCAGTTCGTATTGACCAATGAATAACTTAATACATTAATAAATAAATAATTTTGAGAAAGGAGAGACCCAATAGCTTAAAGTTTGCTTTACACCTCCCAGGCACAGGTGATACCAATTATTTTGGTATCATTGATAATAATGAAACATTGACAGCGGATTATTTCATGGTTCAAGAATGAATGCATATAATTGCGATTGATATCAATCACAAATAAGTTGCGATTAATATCAAGATGTGGCCCTGATGTACTTGATGAGGAATGTTCCATTATAATTTCAGATTGGAGACCTCGGTAAAGAAGCAGAAGCTAGTATGACCAAGGCTATCCTATTTGAACGTGGAAGCGAAGAACAGAAAGAGGTAAGATTGACATCGTATATATAGCTGAACCATAAGAAATGGACACTGTAAAATGAATTAAGAGTAATATTGATGCTAATCATTGCTGTTTTATATTGTGCCTATATCCATTCCATGGGATGCTCAAGGTACCTAAAAAGTACTACTATAGCACAGGCTCTAGTTGAGTTGCCCTTGAAAAGAAGAAGTTGGAGGAGGAGGAGGAGGAGGAGGAGAAAGAAGAAGAGAGAGAGAGAGAGAGAAGGGGGGGGGGGGATGAAGAGGAAGGAAGGAAGGGGTGAAAGAGAAGAAGACATAATAATCTAGTGCATTTCACATTTTTGTATCTACTGAGTCACAGCTATGCTAGTAAGCTGAGGGGTCTGTTGCATGCAGCTTCTTTTTCAACATCAAATTGCTTTTATTTTGCTGTCAGTGGTAGACTTTAGAGGCATAATATATGAACAAATCTTAAAGGAGTGCGGTACCATACACCTTGAATATTTTCTACATATCAGATGTTTGTGACAAATTCCTACAACAGTTCCATGTTATCTTTTATTCATGTATTTATTTATTTATTCATGATACATTAAATACAAAATATGATTAGCAGCCAATGTCTGAATTGTTCACATTTTATAAGCAAATTTTGAAAAAGCATTGAATACAATATTGCAAATGGTAAAAATTACAAACACCAGATGATAATCAGGGTACATAGACCATTGTGCTTCGGCCAATAGGCCTTGTCCGTTATTGTTCTAATTATCGATCAAATTATTTGACCACCGTTCCATCCGTAGCATATAAAAGACGCTTGCTTACAATATATTTTATCACCTGACGAAGTGTTGCAGTGGTGCACGAAACGTTGTGATCTCTTAGATCCCTTGTTGACCATACATTGCGAGACAAACGAACATATCACTAGCGATACCGGTGTGTTGGCTCAGTCAGTACAGCATCCGCCTCACAACCGAGAGGTCGTGGGTTCGAACCACGGCCGCGTCATACCAAAAGACGTTTAAAGATGGAAGTTGCTGCTACCTTGTTTGGCATTCAACAATAAGGGATAGAGCAACGTCGATCTGGCGCTGCTCAGTGGCTGCCGGGCTCACGAACAATTAGGCATAAAGAATTTCCATTTTCGGTTTAACTTAATAAAATTTGGAATGGACTTTAAAAGATTATTATTATTATTTTTGATAGACCATTGTTTAAATAATTCAAGAAAAACTGAAATAGAACAAACATCGTAAGTCATAAAACATTATTTATAATTCATATCTTTTTTTTCTTTCTTCAGTGGTACCAAATAGCCCTTGAACAGTGTCAGCAAGCCTTTGGAGAGAACTGCAAACTCATGACAAGGATCGTCAGCAATACGGGTATTTACTACGAAGACATCCAAGACTACCATACAGCTTATGACTACTTCGTCAAATGGCATCAGCTCTGTATTGAGGTGAGTATACACCCAGTAGAAATACACCCAGTAGAAACCCACAAGATATTTAGAGTGCTAAAAAATATGTTTATGTTATTAATTGCCAATTCTTGGGACCATCAACCTGTTAGGCATCCAAAGCTTTTAATGACAGTCCCTTTTGTTCTTTTTATTTTATATGAATTCATTTGATGTACCTTCTATTCTTACCTTGAAATGTATTTGACTGTTTTGGTGTATTTTTAATTGGAAAATGAATAAAAACTGAAAGAATAATCAATGTATTCTCTCTTGGTATTATAGGTGTTTGGGGAGGGTCACCCACGCACAATCTCATCAACCAGCTGTCTGAATGAACCCCGCTACGTACAGATTGCAAATACCAAGGCTGTCACGGATCAACTACAGGACACAAACATTGAGGATGAACACCATCAGGAAGGTGACGATGATGACGATGATGAATATTAGGATGACCTCCAGGCTAGTAGGGTAAACAAATCAGATTTCAGTTTATTTTAAAGGCCCACTGTAATACTTGTAGCTACTTGCTCCCTCTATATAGAAAACAATGCCTAATCAGTGACCATTGGTCCCCCCATGATCCTCTATTTCTTATGTTAATTGAGAGCTGAGTTGATGAGACCTTCAGTGACCTTCCTGGGTGGTCTAATCCCTCCTAGCCAAACTAGTACAGATGGCCTTTAATAAAATAAAATAAAATCAGGATTCCCTTGGTCATGAAAAAACCTGGAAAGTCAGTGATAAATATATCCTTCTGGAATGTCATGGAAAATGAGGTGGAAAAATCTCACAAAGTCATTGAAATTGATCGTTGGGTGAGTGCCGTTTGTGGTTATGGCAGCCTTTCAGTTTGAACTGACAATGGGTGCGGTATTATTACGCTGCTTGGATGCCGCAACCCATACCAAAATGGTACTTTTCAGTTCATGGTAAAAAGGCACAAATGTGTCATGGAAAGTCATGGAAATTTGTTCTCAAATTTCTATGGGAACCCTGTTTATATTAACTACATATCACAATAAATTGTAGACGACTTGTGAGGTTAGCTGTTAAAAATACACATCGAAAAATTAGCCCAGACCATTGTAAACAGGATTATATTAACGACATCAAATTGAATGTTATGGAACCAATCCTTAGCCTGTAATGGTATTTCCCTTTAATGTGAAGATAAGTATTTAGAGATACTGGGAAGATTCATACTAGTATGTTGATGGTTATTTGGAGCTCAGGGATATTTATTTACTCAATCTAGAAGAAAACATATCTTTTTGTGCCTTTAAAAAATATTTGTATTTCTTTATTGAAATTTTGTATTATTTCTTTATTTTTTAAAACTATCTAATGCTTGACTATCCAGAAGTTTTTATACTCCAGTAATTTACATGTCCATGAAGATAAAACCTTCAAATTGAAGAGTGTGAGTGAGTTTATTAACGCAATGATTATGGGTATGATTTGTCAGCTGCAAATTCAAAGTGCATTAATTTAATATTTGTACTTGTTTTTAAGAAGAGGCTTAACACACATATCAGGGATTACACGTATCAAGGGCATTTTTTCTTTTTAAGTATTTCAAAATGTCTTTCAGATTTGTATTTGTCCAGTTGTGTAAATACTGGACGAACATTTTCTCCAAGCTTAATGTAGTGTGTGTGATATGGAATGACATGAAGGTCCATACATGCCAACTGTTCAGATTAAAGAGGAACATTCCTCTTTTTGGGAGAAGATAATTATCATTTTAATGCAGGTGTTCCTCTTCCTGTACAAATTTGTCTGTAGTATTGAATAGGAGAGTTAGGATTGTTCCTCTTTTTTTTGAAAATAGCATAATTTGTACAGATTTCTGATTTTCAAATGTTGGCATGTATGAAGGTCTCTACATGTATAAAGTTATGTGCATAAACCTGTCTAGAAAGACCGTTGGTTCTAGATATATCTGGTTCATATTGATTGACCCAATACAACACCTGTTCATAAAGGCCATGTACAATATCAAGTAACCTGTCTATTGGTTCTAGATATATCTGGTTCAAAATGATTGATCTGATACGACACCTGTTCATAAATCTGTCTAGAAAGACCATTGGTCCTATAGCTGGTTCAAATTGATATGATACGACACCTGCTCATAAAGGCCATACTGTATCAGGTGACCTGCACGTCCAGCTGTCTCAAAGAATGTGATGGCTAGCAAATAGAGGCACAACCGATAGTACATATATTACAGAATCAGGGGGTGTTTCACAAATACTAAGATCGACTTAAGTTGGACTTAACTATGTCAGGCAATTCATGCCACTTTTTGCTCTCACCATTTACTGGCATTTGTCTCTCAAGGGACGTACAAATCATTGTAACAAATCTACAGAATTTACATTTGTTGATGATTCATTATTGAAGGATAAAATATTATTTAAAGATCATAACGGTGAGAGCAACCAGTGGTATGAATGGCCTGCCATAGTTAAGTCCAACGGAGTCGATCTTAGTCTTTGTGAAACACCCCCAGGCCTGATTATATTAATTCATTTTAGAGCTGAAATATTTAAGGCCTGCTGTGTATGGTTCTAGGTTTCTGTTTAAAAGCATACACTCTCTTCTTAAGAAGAATTTGTTGGACTTTTCAACTGAAACTAGAAGATGCATCAACAATGACTGTGTGTGAACATGCATTGAGTGGAGTCTAGATACCTGTCAAATGTATGCATTGTGAATGACCTGTCTTTCGAATTGTGTGATTATAGCAATAAGTCATACACAATGATTTCATTGTGCATGTACCATAATATAGATATAGATAATATCATCATGAAATTTATGTCATTGGTAATGCCTTTAATTTCCGTATTCATCTTGGAAAGCATAGTATTGTGTGATGTAAATATGTAAAGAGTTTACCAAAATGTGGTAAAGATGTAAAAATGCGTTTCCAATGGTTGAATTGTATTAGTTTTTAATCTTAAGGTGAATAGCTAATAGCTGAGTTATATCATTGGTATTTTGTCCACTCTTACCCCCCCCCCCCCCCCCCCTCCCTTTGCCTCTCTCTCTGGAGATGTAAATACATGTGTTAACTTTATTAACTCATATTATTCAATCAGCTTCATATCTCAGGAATTTAAATTATGTACACAATGCTTTTAACAATGCAAATTACTGTGTACATGGTGTTACCATGCAAGTTCATACCATAGTTAAAATTGATCTGTAAAGTTCAGAACAAGTTTGGACGTGGGAATGGGATGGTCACTTATTTATGTTTTATACTTGAAAGCATGATAGTATCTACATGTACATGAAGGAATCATTGTCAAAGTTGAAATTACCACGATTCATGATTTAATGAGATTTGTTTGGTAGAATTGGTGTTTTCATGTGTAAGCCCTGTGAAGGCTGAGATACACATGTGTTATGAACTCATTATCGATAGAGATTGGAGAAGAAAAGAGTAAGAATATTTGTGATTTTAAGTTCAGTTAGAAACACCTCGTAGTACTGCATGTACTTACTAGATGTGTGCCATATTGTTTCATAAAATGTACAAAATATATATTTGCATCATATATTAGAATTCAAAAGTAGCATTCATTTGTTTTAAAAAAAGTATATGAAATATGAGTGTCTTTTCTCTTGAATTATGATTATAGAAACTAATTGTCATGCTTGTGATTACTGTATTAATGATTGAATGACAGTCGATTTAGATAAGTAATGTTATTGCTATTATTGCTGATTATGCTTGTGTCTTTGCATCATTGCTGATAGGAAAGATTCTTTGACATGTACATGTATTCACTAAGTTCTATTTTTATATATTAGGTTACTTTAAAATGTTATTATTCAATAGTTGTACACAGATAAACAAATGCATTTGTGCTGCAGTTGAGATTGAGCAAAGTATGATACTTTGCTAATCCAACTTGAAGTAACTTTTCCCTTTTTTCTTAATTTTCCAGAGATATTAATCTATTTTACAATATTAATTTGTTGTCTGTTGTCTTAATAATCAATTGATGGGAGAGGGTCTAGAAAATGTTACGCTTTAGTGCTCTTATTGTTACATGGCTTTAAGTTTTTTCCTGGGTTCTTTCTTTCTTTTTCTATTAACCTGTTGAGTATCAAGCTCAAGCTGTCTGAGCCTTTGGAAAATATGTCTTATCAAAACCACATTGTAATCATCAGGTTAAGTCTTGTGCATCTCTCGACAACAAAATCCCAATAATTATTTGACTAATTAGTATGTTGTCATATGACCTAAATGAGCCACCAAAAAATCCATTGCAGTTAGGTAGTCGTTTTATTCCCTAGTTGTTTTTGTATGTTTTGTTTTGTTTTATTTTTCAAGACCAGTAAATGCACAAAGATTTTAAATTGTGTATCTAACAATCAAGTGACCCTGAATTTAACATTTGATGAAATATTTATTGTTGAGAGTGTGATAATTTTATATTGTATACGTTTTGAGTTTTATTATTGAAGTTTAATTGGATATGTCTTGTAAGTTATTGGGTAGATATATAAGATTCAAAGCACAGTTCCATTTCATTTTGTATGTAGGCCTACTATTGTGTAATAATGCTTTTTACATCAGTATAAATGTACAGTATCTTGGTTTTGTTTTATCTATTTTGTTATTATGATCAAACTGTATGCATATTTAATGTATTCACTGAATGAGCCCCCCCCCCCCCCAGAGTTTCCTCGCCTGTTGTATTTAAATAAAACAGATGAATGATACCAGTTCTAAAATAATAATATGAATTATAACCTAGGTTCAACTCAATGGTCCATATTCTCCTGATTCAGTTAACTGTAACGCTGGGTCTAGAATCATGTTTAATAGAGGGCAAATTTAGACCTCAGACTGGTTTATTTTGTTACAGGAAACCTTATCCCAAGAAATAACTTTAGTTATTCTGAGAGATTTATTGTATTCCTGCCCGTTAATCAACAAGATTCCCCACCAAAGTGTATGAGAGAGGCATAAAGCAAGAATAATGTACAGTTTCCCAATGCGACATTGTCAATAGACATCTGGTTTTGCATGTCATTGTAGCGAGTCTGTGTGTGCAGCCATTCTCAAATCAGCATTGTTCACCAGTCTTTGTAGCATGCATTCAGTTGAAAGGAATAGATCATTTGATGCACAAATAGTATGTACGATTATGGCCTCCTAGCTGTGAAGCAGGGTCATGAAAAGAAGGGGAAAACAGATATTCTTGTTTTGAAATGAAGGCCCAACTTTCTGTGAACGGAATGCCCTCATTCATATGTATAATCCTTTTCTTTCTCTTTTCCTAGCCACATATAGGCATCAGATATGCACAAAACTGATGTTTTTTCACGGGTCCTTTTATATGTTCAGAGTAGTGTTTTCAAAGACTGACAGAGCATTATTTTTTGTGTATGTTTGATGGTTTGCTTTTAAGTTTTGTGCTATGAAGTACGAGGCTCAATCTTTTTAGATAAACTGAAATTTTTGTTATGTAGTTTCCTTTTTTAGATAGTGTTGTTTAATCCTGTGCAATACTTTTGTTTTTCTGTAAATGTACACATAGCTAAATGAGGCATTAACAGATTTGGACATGATATATTTTTTACCCTCCCGTTTTATGTTCAACTTGTGTTTGGGTTTTTTTAAAGAATGAATTAACAAGATTATGAATATGTAGTATGTTGTTCTTTTCAGAACTCAGATGTCAAATATTGATTTTAATATAGAGTAAGCAAATGGCCATTGTAAGGGATAGATTTGAAAAGATTTTTAAGAATTCAGTGTTTTGTTCTCAGCTGAACTCTGATGTCAAAAGATCAATATTGGGTTTATCCTTTACAAGCAAGTGGCTCCTCATAAGCAGAGTTTTTTAATCAATAAATTAATATCTATTTTTATGTTTGAGCAAACTTGTTGCTCCTCATATCAAAGCATAGTTTTTGAATGAATGATTAACTATTTTTTGGTACCGCAAACCATGAGGAAATGTTGGATGTCAGACCTGCTTTTGGAGGCGCTATTAATGTAGTAACATGAATCGGTAGGTCATCACGTCCGGTCAGGTGATCCCGTTGTGACACAACTTTTCGTAGATTGAAATTAGCGGAAGATCGTGTGAAGATGCACCTCATGATCTTTCATAGATTTACCGTAGGGTTTTCACAAAGTGTCACATGAATTTGACCAGACTTATTGTAGATGAGAGTGTTTTATTCTCACAAACATTATCCCCGATATTTCGTGAATAAGCGAGTATGTTTTCACAAATAGTCATGTAACGCGACCACCCAACCCGATGCAAAGACCTGATCAGTGATTTGAAGTAAGATTAATAGCATAGCTAGTAGAGGAGGATAGTTGTGACTGACGCACATGCTTGCACCATCAGAGGTCAAAAGAGAGCTTGTACAGTTCCCTCGATCGTTATACAATCTCTGTATAGACCACTTTCGTAGATAGCACACTTGCAAATGACCCCCCCCCCCCCCCAATATCCACAGATCTTTTAAACATGTGCACTTTACAATAAACACTGCTAGTGAAGGAGTTTGCTTCGTGAATATCTTTTAATTTGCCTTTTTGAATAAAAAACTTATTTTCATAGAATATACCATTGTTTCATAAATAAATAATGATTACATAACTTTCATATCTGGCCGGCCATGTGCCAACAGTTCTCCTTACTGCCTTTTATATTGGAGGAAACTACTGGGAGCTCCATGAACTTTGACCCGTGTTTGAGAGCTCTTGCAAATGTCACAACTCTCTCTTTCTACTAGTGTGGGTTTTGATTGCTTCCTGCGCAACTTCATAGATAAAACTGTTTATTAAGTGTTTGCAGTCAACAAACTACTCGGGCATTGAATGAATGAATAAACATGCACTAGCGCTCTCCGTCCAATTGTAGTTTATCAGATAAAGATATTTGTAGTATTGTATAATATATTGATCATGAGCAGTGAATTCAGTAATAAAATTTGTGTGATTATCTAGTTTTATAAGTACATGCATAAAACTAACCTTAATCATTTAAATTTATTTTTGTCTTCATTTAAGCTATGGTAATGTCTTTGAAGGTACATATATCTTGGTATCTAGTTGGTAAACTTCTGGTATAGGGTTTCTTGAATGTTTTTTTTTTTTTTTTTTGGGGGGGGGGAGGATGGCGGTGCAACAATGAATCATCAATAGCAGTACATACACATTTCTAGCTTTTAACATGGTTATATTTTATTTTTTACTCCCAACGAGATAGAATTATTGCAAAAGTATAATATACTTGGAAAGAATATGAACTTTTAGAGAGAGAGAGAGAGCTGGTGAGGAGAAAGGTGGAGAGAGAGAGAGTGGGGGAGAAAGGTGGAGAGAGATAGAGAGAATAGATGGCCCCGGGGGGGGGGGGGGATTAAAAAAAGAATTACTTGAAACTAAAATTTATCCTTACAGATTACAACAATACAAAAAAAAGTTCTATAAAATTGTCTTTAAGAGAAAAAAGAGGTTATTTCTAAAAATGAAATGTGAGGGCTAGGTCAGGGTCCGTTGCATATAACTAACTACCATGGTAGCATTTCAGGGCTCCATCACAGCCAATCAACATCAAGTTTTCCATGGTAGTTACCATCGATGGCAAATTTACCATCAATGGTAAGTTTTGTGCACTGGGGCCTAGATCTTTACAACCTGTAGGCCTATAAAAAAATGCACTTCCAGCAATTATAGACGCCTTGTTACCGAGATAACTTTTTTTCTTCAAGTTTTGTTCTTTGCTTTCCTATCAGATAATTTGTTATAGACTAAAGCATCTTGTACTAATGCACTCTGCAATAACTTGTCAGAGAATGAAGTAGATTACAAAAGTAATAATATATTGAAGTACTAAATATTTTTTTTTTTAAATAAAAAAATTTAAAATTTTTTAAAAAATACCGACAGCTGCACATGTGTAGAGTAAAGTTTGTACCCTTTGAGGTGAATACACTTTGTAAAAGTCACGCCTCCATTGCAGTCACGCCCCCAATCATAGTCTATAAGCTCAGACCTCAATTCTTCATTTCTACATATCTATATTGTAAGACAAATCGAGCCATGCAGCACTATTAGGGTCATCGGCAGACTATTTTAAATGGGAAATCCTACAAAAATTGACATAATTTCCAAAATAAAAAAGAAGAAAAAGAAAGAAATTAAGTAAATATCTATATTATCTACTACAACAAAAAATGATCATAAACTGTTTATATGCAACATCATAAACCTGGCTTGATTTTTACCCTGCCATGCATTGGAATTACTATTTTAACACTAATTAGGGCCCTTAAAGAGTGGGGTGGCACCCCACCAAGCTGTGCCCCCCCCCTTTGTCGGTGCTCAGCTCCCTCACTAGTAACCCCCCCCCCCCCCCCCCCCACCCCTCCACGCCACACACACACACATATACATTTTTAGGGCTTTTGAGAAACTGTTTAGCACCCTTGAGAAGTCAGATAAGTTTAATAGCCCCCTAAAAATTCCCGACCATCTAATTAGAAAACAAAACGGCAATTTGCAGATTGCTGACAGCATCTGACCCAGACCATTGGCCTTGTATTGGTCCAACTCATGTGTGATTCTGATTGGTTGAAAGTGAAGTTACGTGCAATGTACGTACAATGTATGTAGCCTAGCACTCAATGCGGAACGGTACGGTGCGAAGACTACTAGTACAATTTGTAAACAAAACGAAAACATTGACGAATGGCCCGTCGAGGTCGAGTGATCCATGTACGCAGTGCAGTGCAGCACAGCGGAAACAAATTATACCCGGCGTTACGAGTCACAAGATTCAGAGCTCGAGGTGCGATTCGTAAGTAGTTTTTGTTTATATATAGACCTATATCTAGATCTAGACCTTTTGTTATTGTCAATGCTAACTGCTGCATGCTGAATGAATTTTATGACCATCGCCAAAGAGACTACGGCACGCGCACCAGCAAGTTTAACGAATTAACGTTGATTAGGATCCTAGCGAGATCAAGGAGGCTCCAACAGTTTGCCTACCCGGAGCTCAGGCGAGGTTTCATCTCTGGAACCGGTGACAACGCGTACTATTACATGTAGCCAGGTTAGCTTGACCACTTTTACTTGAAGAAGAAAAAATGATCGAGAAACAATTTTTTTTTCTCCTGCAGTGATAAGTCATGATCATCTTGTTACTTATAATCTACTACAGAGTAACACATTCAGTGCCAAAAGGGACTTTTCGATTTGCACGTTTATAAGTGGACTGCGACATAGACTCTATATGCGGTCATTTTTAAGCAGGGTTGACGAGGCACACTGACTGCTGTTCGTTACCTTTTCGATTTTACACAACTACGACGCTCGCTTAGTGAGCGCAAAATTCGGTACATGGGACTGTTCTAAACAATTATGCTGCAACAGATTAACGATGCATAAATAAAATGTGATCATTTTATGAATTATTCTGCTCAGTAAGCGCGAAATTCGATCGAAAAGCTAAAGATTCAACACACCGAATTCGGTGCATGGGACTGATCTCGAAAATTATGCTGCAACAAATTGGCGATGCATAAATAAAATGTGTTCATTTTATGAATTATTCTGCAAAAATTTTGATTTAAGGGAAATTACAGACACGAAAATGTGTTAAGTTAAGAGAATTCACGCTTCCACCACTCTCTGGTTCCAGAATAAGGTCAATTGGGTCCATTTTGTGACTTCAATGTGATGTTTCGTGCCTACAAAAGATTGCTTACGAACACGTACCGTCACAGTTTGCGAACGACGGCAAAACAAGGGCAAACGCGTTCGAGAATTCTGCTACGAACGATGAGCTCGTCGATGCGCATGCGCACTGGTTCAAAAGTGACCGCATACGTCGCAGTCCACTAGTGAACATGCAAATCGAAAAGTCCCTAATATTGTAGTAGACCTAGGTCTATAGAGTCTAGACCCCTATATTTTGTCATTCATTGTGATTTAATTAATTTTAACAAGAAAAAGAGATGCCAGTGGGCCGTGGGATGAGGGCAGTTCCACATCACTTTGGCATTGACAAAATGTGCCCCAATAAATGTTATGCTATCAAACTCGTTCATTCTGTTTGCCCATCAGATTTTAAAATATACCCAGACGTTGTGTACATGTATGTGTGTCCGAAAAAGGTTGTTTATCCGGACAGTTTAATAAAGGTTTGTTTTGGACATATTTATGAAGGACACATATTTATAATGGTTAACATACATGCCAACTGTTCAGATTAAAGAGGAACATTCCTCTTTTTGGGAGAAGATAATTATCATTTTAATGCAGGTGTTCCTCTTCCTGTACAAATTTGTCTGTAGTATTGAATAGGAGAGTTAGGATTGTTCCTCTTTTTTTTTTAAATAGCATAATTTGTACAGATTTCTGATTTTCAAATGTTGGCATGTATGGGTTAATGGTTACTGCTATTAGATGCATATTTTCCATTAAATCCGAAGGCAAAAGACAATTATTTTATGTTTGGTGTCTCGACATATTTTGAAGTTGAGTAAATTAAATTAAAAATGATGGACCTCTGGGCTGTCGGTCTAATGACGTTGTGGGCTGTCTGCTTGTTGCTGGGATGTCCCATGGTGCACAAAGAAGTTTAGTTCTAACTTCTATTTATATCAGCTTGCAGACTGTGATTTATTTTGGGCCATTACAAGAATTTGGTTATTGATGTAGACAAAATATGCTCATGTTCCCTTTACAGCTCATTTTATGTATACCGGTATGTTAGTTGTTATTACCACCCAAAAAAAGAAATCAGTCAGTCACTTTATAGTATCTGACATTGAAGTCTAGAAATTAAACAGGTTTCCTTCCATAAGTTTTATTATTAGGACACTGCTAACATTTAAATTTCACAGATAGGACACAACGTGACATGTTCATAATTCCTGTAAAGTTCTACTGAATTTGATGTTGGCTGCAAATGGGACATACATGTAGTACCTTTAAAAGGGTTAGGGTTAGTGATTTTCACCTTATGTATCAACAGCTGTGAATTTGAGAGAGGACTTGGCACAATGTCAAAGTTTCAATCATTAGTCTAGCTATAATCCCTGCTCTAACAAGAACCGATGAGGACCAGGAAGAGGAAATAAGCAATTGACTTTGATATAGCCATTGTTAAGAAAGACAGGATGCACGCCCCTGTACTTAGTTGGAAACAATGACCACTGATAAGAGATGTTTGTAGAGAAGGTACTGGTATTCAAGGATAAAGATGAAGTACCTGTACTTTTGTGGGAACTTGTTATTGTTTAATTATAACATGTACATGTACGTAGCTGGTATCTCTTTGTTATAGTCAGCTATAATAATGCACATGCAGTATACTGAATCACTTTGAAATTCAGTTTATTCCGTTGGTCAGCTATATGAAAGAATGTACAGTACGGTACTGAATCATTTGGAAGTTTAATTTTTTCTGTAGGTTTGTACTGCTCCTACTTGTTTCACTCTTTTTTTGTGTGTATAATCTGACCTTAGAATCCAAAAACTTTGTGTTTAGCTTGTGGTTTTAATCTTTAAGAATATCTTATTGATTATAACATGAAGGTCAGCTACAACAATGTACAGTACTAAATCACTTGGAAGTTCAGTTTTTTTCTTTAGGTTTGTTACTGCTCTTACTGGTACTTTTAGTCTTTTTGGGGGTGTAATCTGACCTTAGCTAAGTTCACACGAATCTATAAACTTTCTGTTTAGCTTGTGGTTTTAATATCTTATTGATTATAACATGTAGGTCAGCTATAGCACGTACTGAAACACTTGGAATTTCAGTTTATTCTAATAGTTTATTCTGTAGGTTTGTTACTGCTCTAACTTGTTTTACTCTTTGAGGTTTTGCCAGGTGAATTGTAGTTTAATCAACAATTAACTTCTTGTCTGCATGACTTGTACATGTAGTGTAAACCTTTGAGCAGCTGTTCTTTGAGTGCCATGCAAACTTCAAGTTTAAAAATGTGATGGTGCCATGTGAACATAGCTTTTGAGATCTCTGATCTGAGCAAACAGTTTAAAGATTAAAGAGATATGTACAGAAATACTGAAATACAATATATCAGATAATGTTTTTACTGAGTACAAACATATGGGCCAAAATACAGTTTTGTTTGGTGTTAAAACTTCTTCTTCTCAAGTCACTCACTGTTTTAAAAAATATAGGATCTAGGTCAGAAATTTAAATTGATAAAATGAAGATAACGTCAAGTCAAGGACAACCATGCCAATGTACAATAAGTCATGTAAAAAACTTGCCACTTTTATAGATTAAAAATATGTCAGTATGTATTATCTGTTTGTACCCAGAAAGGTGTAAACTCCGTGTTTGTGACTTGCCTTGAGTTCCTAGCTGCCAATGACAATGTGTCAGCCATACCATGCAGGAAAATAATCCCTAGCCACATATACAAGGGGGAGGGAAGAAATGCATAAATTGAGCATATAGATATATCATACATTGTCTGAAAATCTTGGTAATTCAAACTTTGGACAAGAAAGCATTATAAATATGTCAACACTTTTGTCGATAGTTGAAGTTTTACAAGCAAAATTTGTAGTTGAACCATACTGTACTTGTATATCTACATTACATGTAAGATAATAACCAAAGTGGTTAATCTTGGAGGGCCTTGTGACATTTCATCAGATAATGGCTCAATTGTTCATTGTAGACTTCATCAATATTGGCTTACAGATATTGGAAGTATTTAATCTATTTTTTAGTAGAGTTGGAAGATATTTTGAAACTTAATCTGACAGTCTGCCTCATCTTTCATACATGTAGGTCTATTATTTTTAGATAACAAACAGAATAAAAGGTCATTTATATTGATAATACACATTCTAACTAGTACTTTGCACTTTCTTGATGTCAGCACAAAGGTGTTTACATTTTTTTATTGATCTTGGATGGATGCATCAATTCACTATTGTTGATGTTCAGCACAGTTTTTATTTATGTACATACTCTGTTTGTTTTTTAATCATTTTTATGGTCTGTTGGTTTATCAGGTAACTGTCAAGTACACTTTGCACTTTACAGCCTTGTGAAATTAGTAAAGGATAATTTTTTTCATAGGTTTTACTCTCTTTTAATAGGTTTAATCTTTTTTAATAGGTTTTAATTTTGTCTAATAGGTTTTAATTTTTGTATTGGTTTCATTTTTTTGTTTAAATACAGCTAACATGTCCTGACTGGTATTAGTTGTTATTAAATCCAGTTTCTAGCATTATGTTTGCTTCATGGTTTTAATGTTCATAAGCGATTGTGTAGAATATGAAGTACTTGAGAACCATCTTAATTTTACTTTTATTACTTGCAACCAACTTAATTTCAGGGTGGACTGCCCCTTTAACTCTGCATTTCCATTGTTCATGTCCATTGTACACTGTATGCCTAGGTTATGTTTGTCAGTTGGTGCTTTTTCATGGAATGTTAAATGTATTAATTGTCACATGTTTTCTCATTGTCAATTTCCTCTCCTCCTTTGTTTCCGTATTCTCTCTCTCTTTCTTCCGTGCCTTTAAAAATAGTCTATTTTATCACTATGCACCCCCATCCCCCCCCCCCCTCTCCCTCTAGCAAAATTGATATGATTTCCATTTTACATACATACGAACGCCTGGACCTGTGCACAAATTAACAACTGAAAGATATTGTGAATAGTTTCTCAGATGGCTCTGAAAAATATCTCTCTGCACCCATGCTAAATCATCAAACATTTGGTCACATTCTGAGACACCCTGTAATTTTTTCTTGCTCTCCCCCCATCCCGCCCCCCCTCTCTCTCTCTCTCTCTCTCTCTCTCTTTCTTTTAATATACAGTCTTTCTCCTTTTCCTGTTTCTCCCCCCCCCCCCCCCCCAACTCTCTCTCTCTCTCTCTCTTTTATTATACAGTCTTTCTCTTTTCCTGTTTCTCCCCCTCCCCCAACTCTCTCTCTCTCTCTCTCTCTCTCTCTATTTCACATTCTCTCTTTACCATCTTTCTCTCCCTCTCTTTTAATTTTCTTTTCCTGTTTCTTCCCCCCCCCCCCCCCCCAACTCTCGATCTCTCTCTCTATTTTTCATTCTCTCTTTCCTCCCTCCCTCTCTTTCTCTCTCTTTAATATATATGTCTCTCTCTTTTTCTGTCTCTCTCTTCAACCCCACCCCAAACACACACACTCTCTCTCTCTCTCTCTCTCTCTCTCTCTCTCTCTCTCTCTTTCTCTAGCTTTTAATGCTTTATTTTTCTCCTCGTACACAACAGATGGTCTATATTATATACAGTCACGTACCTCAACTGATGCTATATGATTTACTAATACAATAATGTATCAAAGACGGCTCTAGAGTCTATTAAGCAAATACCTGTACCTCTGCTTTCATGCGCATGACTGAGTAGTTTGTATACACGTAGATTCTAAAGGAACACTAGTTGTAGGCCAATAATTTATCCCTTTTATTTGCAACTGAAATATATGTTGTTTGTCATCTACATGTACCTGCACATGTACTGTAAGCTTGTAAAGTTTCTAAAGCAAAAGATATTTTTGCAGTATGAACTTCTTTCATTTTCTATACTGCAACTGTAGACCCTTTATAAAATGTGGTTATTTCTATTTATATTCTGTATTAAAAAAAAAAAAAATTAAAATTCACATTCGTGTGCTTGAAAATATCAATAGATGATCTACGTGTATAAACCAGCAAAGCAAATAACATTAAACATGCGGCTAACAGAGCTGAAGAGAGTTTGTACGCTCAGATGTACGTGTTTGTCACGCTTTGTAATCAATGAATGATGAAACTGAACAAAGAGACCAGTTGTTCAAAATGAAAGCAGATGAAATGAAGCCAAGAGCAAAAATATATTGAAACACAATCAGAGTTTGCATAAACTCATTAATATTGATTTATTGCAGACAGCTGGTCCTGTTTTCTTCCAATTTTCAAGGGCATCTATTGTTGACTGCTATCCTTGGTTATTTTTTGTTTTAATATATGGAGGAGTCATTTCAATTCATTCACATCGAACAGGAAATTGTGTACAGTTTTCCTAGATCGAGCTCTCATTAGTTTCATTTTTGTGTTCTTTTCTTCCATGCATGCCTACTCATAGGTAGCAGTGAAAGCCATAATCTGAAGAGGATAAAAGAGCCCGATTACAGTTTTCAATTTACGAACGTCAAGTACAGTCTGCAGAAAAGAACATGGCCTCCAATGATAAGGTAAGTACATTATATGATGGAATAATTTCACTTAAATTGTATCATAATGTAAAAGAGGATGTCATTTAAGACACAATTCTGTGGATCCCCCCCCCCAACAAAAATGTGTGTGAAGACAAATATTGATAAAAGTATACCAATAATGGAAAGTGAAACTATAATTTCACTCTCCATTCAACTTTAATAAGTGAATTATATGTCCCTTTTGTTCTCCATATACATGTACCTTGCTCTCGTATAACAATAGGCCAATTTGAAGATTGCAAAATAGATAATTTCTTTTAGCACTGATCATATTTATTCAACAATATATTCTTCCTATGAATTTGCTTAAGTTATATCTTAAAACCTTTATTTTTCCTGACATCCATTACCCATTTCCGTTATCCCACCATCAATATTCTTTGAATAAGGTGTACCTATTGTTTTTGTAATGAATGTACTATTTTTAATGACTTTATGTCTTTTGTGCCGTATTCTTGTTTTTATTATTACCGGTAATGTAAATTGTACTCAATTCAGCTGCTAGGCTGTCATGTACAATGTTTTTTTTTTATACCACAATAAATACATAAATAAATAATTTGGGTTTTCTGTTGTAGGCAGAAAACCTAAATTTTGTATTATTTCTTTTAAGTGAAATTTGGCCATCAAATTTGTGGGGCTCCCAACACTTTATAGGGGCTTCAATGATTGCTGAAAAGGATCTGTATCAATCCTCCTTCCTGGAGGAAATATATCATAATGTTTTAATCCAGTTCTTCTCAATTCACCCTGTTATTATGTAATTTGTTCAAGCACCTCGTTTGTCCTCTTCTTCCCCCCCCCCCATGAAGTAAATGAATGTTATTGTTATTTTTGTGTTTGCGTTTTTTTTATATATTTATTTTTAATCTTGATAGGCCACCATCACTCCGCTGAGACTGAAGGGACCAATTGCGGCTCCTTTCACACCATTCCATCAGAATGGGTAAGATATTAAAGGATAAATCCATGTTATTGAATTCAAATTTTAATTGTCAATATATTCATCTTACTGTTATTGACATACACAGTACAGGGGGACCCAAAAAGGGGGCTGTTAACATGTACATGTAGCAGCAAAGGGTTTGAATTTTGATACCGCTGGTTTAAAATCTTCCTCAACTTATATCATTTATGACATATTAGTCATTAAATTTGTTTGAAAATGCTCCAATCAATGGCTCAGATTGTGTCAGAGCCCCTACACAAGCCCAGTTCATACTCCTTCTGGGTTTCAATTTTACAAGTTTGAATTTTTTTGTTTGACCACCCTGTAGCACATGTATGTTTGAAAGTTTCACATCATATTGTATGTCATTGCTCAGAGATAGAAGAAAAAATTTGTGAAAAGAGAATGATTTCTTAACCCAATACTTACATTCAGGCTGGGATCCGCGTAGCGCTTTCTCCGGCCCGTGCCCCCCCCTCCCCCAAAACGGTAAAATAAATAGGATAATAATGTAAATTTAACCTTTTTTTAAAGCAAAAAACAAAAAACAAAAGCGGCCCCCCTTGCCCCCCCCCCCCCCCCTGCCCCAAAGAAGATAATTATAGAAATTAGCGGTTCTCCTCTCCATCACCCCCCTCCCCCGCTTATTCACCGGCTTGATGAATCGGCGCTAAACAAATTCTCAAGATTTGGCCCCCCCCCCCCTTGTCGCCAGCTAGATCCGCCCCTGCTTACATTGTACATCATATTTTTCCCATTACTTTTTTTATTTAATTTCCATTGCTTTGTTTATTCTCTTCTTTTGATAGTGACGTTAACTTTGACGTCTTAGAAGAGTATGCAGACAAGCTAGCTGCTGATGGTGTTCACTATGTGTTTGGTAAGTCACAAATTCAGTCTATCCTGTATGTATGAAGAAGAGAGTTTGCTCAGTCTGCATTAGAAAGCGTCTGCCTGTCGTACAAAAGATCCTGTGGACTTTTTATTATTTACACAATTTCTTGCTGTCTGCTACCTTGAGATTACTGGAGCGCAGAAAGGTAACAATATCATAGCAGGAGTCCCTATTCAGTGTTGGTGAAGGATTATAATCCTTTTTCATCCCATTGAATGTTGTGTCCAGTATCAATCTGAGAGTTTTTTGTGCTCTTTGAAAGGAGCACACAATGGGGGCAGCTAGTGCGAAAAGAGTTTTCATCTCTCACAACGGCTATCCAGGGGGCCCTAAGGCAGACTCGCTTGGAAAATTTAAAGTTTAAAGTTCACAATCTGGTACTATGTGAGAAGTCGTATGATTTTGTTCTCCCCATAGCAATTTCATCCAAATTAAAAATCCACGTAAGAGGCATTTTGAAAGTGTAAAGAAAATTCCATAAAATTCCTGGATATTGGGTGTTCTTTTTTTCTGGAAGCTCTATTTAGATGAGTGAAGCACTGATGGCTACATGTTTTTTTTAAACTAACAATTCACCTTGGATCAGATATAGACTTGAAACAAGCCTCATTAATTATCTTTAGTATACATGTGTCATTACTGTAACATTTAGGAGTAGATTGTCTTAGTCTGAAACAAAATTGAGTAATGCCTGAGTCGTGCCCAGCTTTCCAGCAATCATATTGTTCTACTTTATAAGTTGAAGTATACGACCATAATAATTTTCAGGCGATTGGCATCCCATGTTTTTGATCTTACAGCTTTCATAGAGATTACATCTGGATTTTTTTTTTGTCAAAGAAAAAGTTTGAGAACCCCTGCTTTAGGGTAACAGTTTAAGTTTGCTCTTTACCTCCTGGGCACAGACACCAAATACTTAATAACAATAATAATGAATAATAATGTAGTCTCATCAATGTAGTTTGATAATGTTCCATTTGACTTCTGGAGGCCGGTTGAGACTGTAGTGTCATAAAAACCGTTGGGAAAACGGTCTTTGACATTTCTAATTCCAATCATAAATATCTTGATAATCCGACAGGCGATCGGCTTGTAAAAGTCATGGGATTCCTGACTGACCTAAATGTTTATAATTATGATTGCAGCATGATCTACATCCAGGATTTTTTTATAGAATCTGAGGCAAAGATACCCATTCCCTTTAAGGGGCCCTTAAACCAGGTCTTGGTATAAAGTCATTGAAAAATTCTTTGATATATTTTTTAATTTGCCTACAGTGAATGGAACAACAGGAGAAGGTATGTCCATGACTGTTGAGGAGAGGAAGGCTCTGGCTGTAAAATGGATAGCCCTAGGCAAAACAAGGTTCGTTAGAAAAGCATTATCATTAGGTTTTCTGCCGCGAAGCATGGCAGAGCATCTATTGATTTCGGCAGAATCTTGTTTCATTCTTTTTTTTACCCTTTTTCTATTCTTTCTGTATGAATCTTGTCCGATCTGGTGGATATCTCATTAATGGCATGGTGCATGACCATGAATATCATGGCATGTGGCATACGCATGATTATTGATCCTAACGAAGACATTTTTTTTTATTACTGATGCGTGACGTCATCTAGGCGCCATTTGGTTAATTTCCAATATTGGCCATATAGTTAAGTAATACATTGTCATTTCTGAATAATATTTGATATATGCTTAAACTTGAAGTCATGGGTAAACTTTTGGTTACGGCTGACTATGGCTTTTAAGCATTACGTTGATATATAATTCATCTATTTCAGTTTTCACTTTAGGGTCTTTAATCAAAGTCATTGCCATTGTACATGTACGTCCAGGCATAAACATGCATCGGTTGTACAGTACATTGAAAATTCCAGTTTAATGTTACATATATGATCATATGTATATCTATATATATAATAATAATAATAATAATAATAATACATGAGATTTATATAGCGCCATTATCCATTTTGATTAAATGCTCAAGGCGCTTCAAAATATAAGGGAACACATTACATATACTTTTTTCACGTATATTTCATTGGTGTATCTTGCAGGGAAATCATCAGGTATTCATATAATTATATGCAATGCAACAACTGATTAGGATTTTGTAATGATGTACACAATTTGTGCAGGTCTTTGACCATATTTCTTTTCTTATGTTTGTGTATGTGTATTGATTTATGCAGATTTCAGTCAGTTATTGTCCATGTCGGAGCTGCCAACTTGAAGGACATACAAGAATTAGTAAGTACTAATTAAAAAACATCGCATGTACAATAGATTGATGGTCAAGGCTATATTCTGTATGTCAACAGCAAATCCAAACATGACCTACAATCAAGTACAAATTTACATTAAATGTAAAAGTTCTGCATTAGCCCTTATCCATACCATGGGTGGCAAATCTCGCTCAAGATTGAATTGGAGACTTGAACAATATGTTGGGGGCTATTAAAAATGGCTGCATACTTCTTCCTTAAACAGAAACAGGTTGACCTCTCCCTTTACAAAAAAAAAAATTCCATTGAAGAAACATTACATGTACCTCACCAAAATTCTACATTTGAAGGTTTATTTGCAACAATTGTTTTTAAAATGTAGGTGTGCAGAAGGGGATATGGGAGATTATGGATTATACTTTTTTAAGATGAATTTGTTTGTTTTCACATAGCCTTAATTCTGCAATAACATGCATGATATTATGATGATTTTATCTCTTAATCCATGAACACATTCATGTGGTTCCTTGTTTGTTATTCATGTACACATCAGTTTCCCTCACAATGAATGCATACATGTACATGGGCATTTACATGGGTAAAGGCTTTCATGTACATGTGCATCCATGTAGGCCTATATGTTCCTGTACATTATGTTGATTATCATAAGAGGCCTGTATGTCAAACAATGTTTTAAAGAAATGAATGACGCCCTTTTTTCCTAGTTTGATGTTTATATTTAAGACCATACCATTTGATATTGATTATATATGCAGATATCCATAGGTCATATGACACACTGACTGTTTATCGCAATGTTACCATGACAGCTACTAGCAGTGCTGGCCTTACCTATATTGGTTGGGATATTATATGTGCTATGCAACGTACTCATTGCCTGTGACAAACCCATGCCGCACTTATCTATAGCAAGCACGATACGATTCTAAATCTTTGAGCAGTAAACTCAAATGATTAAAAGAAATTATAATAATGGGCATTTCTATAGCGCCGTCTATCTAGAAATTCTATTCCCAGAAGCACTTATTATTACTTCTGCTTTAGCCTAGCTGCCATTACAGCGCTCCATTTAATCCTAGCCAACATTAGTATAATACCCCTATTATGCTCTGCACCAGTTGTCATGACATTTTCTTGTTGAACCGTGCAGCTGTAAATTTTAATAAATGAATACATGAATGCAATATCATTCATGCTAGGGCAATAAAAACTAATCAATGTCCCTCCAAGGCCATGCAGCGATCGTAGTTGCTTATATTCTAGTTAACTACATGTAGTATTGTAATGTAAATGTATACCGTGTTTACACAGTGATCTGCCTCGAGGGTTGAAGCCGCGAGGATCCCCTTTACATGACATAAAATTGCCGGGTTCAACACGCCTCGCGGCTTCAACCCCGGCTTCAATTAACCCTTGAGGCAGATCACTGTGTAAACACGGTAGTATTGTATCTACCGGTACATGCAAGTGAATTGGGAGGAGGGGGGGGGGGGGGGCAAAGTAGCTACATTTCCCATTGATTATAATTTGAAAGGAAAATGTATGAGATAAACAAAAAGAGGTTTAGGGCATAAAAAAGTGTATATATTCCAAGGGAAAAAAATCCTGTTCTCCCTGCCCATTTTAGGCCTTGGGGCATACAAGGATTCCCATAATTATTTTTCCAGGGAAAGTTCCCCACCCCCTTCACTTTTGGAAATGTGATCTGCCTTTGGTATTGTGATACATGTGTAATGTTTTTTTTTTAATGTTATAACAAAAATTAATATTATCACCTGTACAACACCTCATTTAGTGTTTCTAGTGAGTGATAATATCAAAATGTTTGTTAACTCAATTGAAAATTGAGGATGTTTATTATGTTTGGGTTTCAATCTGTAGGCCACATTTGAAATTTTGCATACATGTATGAAATTTATATTTTGCTTTTTTGATTTTTGAAATTTAATTTTTGAATTTTGAAATTTAATTTTTAGTTCATCCGGACCGAAGGGCCCAAAGAGCTTATGCCATGGCCGTAGTCGTCCTTCTATCCGTCCTTCCGTCCGTCCACAGTTTTCAAAATGCTTCTTCTTCGTTATTTTTCAACCGATTTTGATTCTGATTGTTTCATATGATAGGGCTAGGAGGGGGATTTAAAACTTCTACACAGAATCGTGAAATTCATTATCTATGCTAATTTATGCAAATTTATTCGAAATCACAAAAAATGCTTCTACTCCTTCATTTCTCAACCGATTTTGATTTGGTTTTCTTTATCTGGTAGAGCTAACTTTGGTACACTAAACTCCTACACAGAATCGTGAAATTCATTATCTATGCTAATTTATGCAAATTTATTCGAAATCACAAAAAATGCTTCTACTCCTTCATTTCTCGACCGATTTTGATTTGGTTTTCTTTATCTGGTAGAGCTAACTTTGGTACACTAAACTCCTACACAGAATTTTGAAATTGTTCTCCATTACTTAATTATGGTAAGTTATGCAAATTTATTCCAAAAATAACAAAAATTGCTTCTTCTCCCTCATTTCTTGACCGATTTTGATTTGGTTTGCCTTATCTGGTAGAGCTAAATTTGGAACACTAAACTTCTACACAGAATTTTGAGATTTTGCTCCATTGATTATTTATGGTACTTTATGCAAATGAAATGAAATTATGTCCCTTCCAGGGCATCAAATTTTTATTTTTTGACCAGTTCAAAAGTGTACCACATAAAATTTAGGATATTTGTTGTTGCAAGATGCGGATGAGCGCTACGCCATTGACGTTCTGGTTGAATTTTGAAATTTAATTTTTGAATTTTGAATTTTAGAAGTTTGAACTTTGGATTTTGAAATTTGATGTTTTTGTAGGGCAAGCATGCAGAGCAGCATGGAGCCACTGCCATATCAACCCTACCTCCCCTCTTCTACAAGCCTTCAAATGTTGGTAGGTGATGCAGTACTTATGGATTTGGAGTTCAATATACATGTCTTTTTGGAGCCAGAAGGGCATCAACTCCTATGCTTATTTAAACACAGAGTTAACACCCTTCTGGCTCTGAACAGACAATTATGACATCAAATATAATCCTTTTAAATAATATCATTCTCTGAAACGCTGTTTTCGGGGGCTTTCTATTTTCAATTTAAAATTACCGGTATCAGTGAAAACCTGAGGAGGGTGTGAGAGAGGGGGAAAAGGAGGAAGAACAATTTAAGCTATCATTCAAATAGTTGCTATCATTTTTCCCCCCTTGTACCGGTAATCTACTTTATAATACCCCCTTGTAATCTACTTAATACCAGTACAAAAACATGAGACCATTGTAAATATACACGTACACAGTACATGTGTACTATTTTCTCTTGTACGTGGCTACTGTATATTCTTCTGTAGCAGACCGTTTTAGCAGACTAATTATTTGCATCACAGTACTGTTATTGATGACCTGAAGTTGCCCCTTAAAAAGCGAGCATAATATTTTGCTTGTTACACTATTTGAAAAAGATTAGGAATTCAGTCTGTGATGTAAGAGCACATCTTTGTAATGAAAATGTATAATTCTGATTATGTTTTTATCGTTTTTCATCTTTTTTTCAGAGGGTATGGTGCATTTCTTGGAGCAGGTAGCAGCGGCTGCTCCCAAAACTCCTTTCTTCTACTACCACAATCCATCAATGGTTGGTAGTAATGCATGTAAGTTTTAGATTGTTGAATTGTCCCATATTTTTTGGATAGTGCCAATAAGAAGTTATCCATTTATCCAGTTATCCTGTCAGATCAATATCTGTGTTATCTTGTTTTCTGGGGCACCCAAAGCTTATCACCTTGACCCTGTTTATTCAAATCATGAATACTAATAATCAAATGGTTATTGGACCATATGGATAGTAGACAAACTGGGAATTAGACCAAATGGAAATCAGACTAAATGAGGAATAGACCAAGTGGTTAGTAAACTTCAATATCAAATAAACATTTACTTTACTTGTATTAATGAGAACTGTTGCTGAGCTAGTGCCATGAGCCTCCCTGGACGGTGTGTGCGGTCTATAAGTTTACACTATTATTATTATTATTATTATTAAACATTAATTCGAAATTAGACCAAACGGACATTAGACCAACATTTTATTAGCCTTAATAGTCATTAGACCAAATGAGAAATAGACAAAATGTTTATTAGACCATGTGGATAGTAGACGAACTGGTTGTAGACCAAATGGCAATTCACCATCTCTTTCCACCCATGTAGTATTAGAACCTCATTTCCTAAAAAACTTGTTCATGATGAAAAGGTTGATGTACGTGTGAACTTCAAGACTCTTTGGGTGGTATTCTCATAAGTTAAGCCGAGACTAAGTCCAGACTAAACAAGAATTTTAGTTCACACTTCTATGGAATGCTAGGTTTCATCTTCCTCCTTCAATATTCATGACAAAGATAATCTACCAAAGACTTTTTGGAAATTCAGTTCATACTCATATTATCTTTTTTTTCCCATTTCATTGCAAAATTAATTTTTTGGAGACTTTTCATTGAAGGATTAAAATAATCTGTACAGGATAAATGAGTTGACAACAGGCACTCCATAAAAGTGTGGACTAACTTAGTGCGCTCTAACTTAGTACGCGCTACCAGAATACCACCCAATGTATTTGATTGTCTATGAGCAAATTTGTCAAGATCATGACATACATAGAAATTGTTAATGATAACAAGTTTTATGAAACAGACGCAGATGTACATGTATTTTAGCAATCTCACTGGAATCCTATATTGGAGTTGAAACCAAATTTTCCATTAGTCTGTAGTCTTCATCTTTTAATTCTATCTGTATTGACAGTTTCTATGGAAACTCTAGTGAAAGAAATATTCTCTTCAAAGCGCATTCCGACACTCTGTGGCGTCAAGTATACATCCAAGGACCTGTACGAATACGGACGATGTTACGCAAAGCACGCCAGCTCTTGCCAATTCATGTATGGCTGCGACGAGGTAAATGAAAATTAAATATACCCAATACTTGTTCAGTTTTCAATATCTTTCAATGTACTTTATTATTATCATTAAGTATTTGGCGTCACCTGTGCCTGGGAGGCAAGAAGCGATCTGAATTACAATAACCCTCATGTCTTTCTTCCCGGTATAACTGATTGGGGGTGTGCAGGTGGATCACTACACCAGGGTTTCCACTACTTTTATACAAATAGTGCCGTGGGTTCTTAACGTGCAAAGGTGGTGACTCTCCTCTTCACAGGGCCTCCAATTAACATCCTATCTGAGGGAATTTTATGCCGTTTACTTTTTACTCTTAAATTGAACAACTTCAGCTCTTAGCAGCATGTTCGATGATTATTTTATCCCAATAAACCAAACCAATACAATACAATACAATAAAAGTAGAAAATGCTTTTAGACATTTCAAGTTTAGAACAACCCCCAGCCTTTTTACTCCACCTGCACAATTTCTATTAGATAATCAATGTTTGATTGACATAGAATATACATTAAGCATAGAAAAGTCAAAATGTTTGTGTACAGTTGATGTCCAGGGTTAAGTCTTATGCACATTCTTTTGTATTTATAATCTGTTTGTTTGTTTCTTAAATTGTACTGAGTACAATATATGACACGCTCAGGAATTGGACTCTTTTTTTTAATGTTGTGAAATTGATGTTGATTTCCCCCAAAGTGTTTTGATTTTTACATGAAAAAAAGGTACTGATTTGATGTCAACTTCTATTATTTTAGTAGAAAGATGTTAATAATGAAAAATTATATCTTGTAATTTACGTGTTTTTTTTTTTCTTTTCTTGTAACAGCAACTTTTACCAGGATTGTCAATGGGTTGTGAGGCATTTATTGGCAGGTATTTAAAATTCTATACCTTATTATCTATGTCACCTCCCCCCCACCCTTCTCTCTCTCTCTCTTTCTCTCTCCTCCCCCTCTCTCTCCTTACCCCTTTCTCCTCCCACCATCTCCTTCCTCTCCCTCTCTCTCCTTATACTCCTCTCTATCTTTCTTTTTCCTGCTCTCTGTTCCTCTATCTCTCCCTCCTGTATTCTATATTGAAAATAATAATAGAGGAGTTTTGTATAGCATTCGTGTCTGGCACATTGCTACTTCTGGTACTCCATTATTATTACCCTGGCTTTAGCACAGCTGCCATTACAATGCTCAAGCATTTTAAGGAATTAATTCCTGCCTGATACCCATTTACCTCACCTGGGTGGAGTGTGGAAGATGTAGATTAATGTTTTGCCAAAGGTTATGAATGCTGCGATAGAGATTGGAACCCCTTACCTTGTGGTTCACAGTCCGGAGACTTATCCATTGGACCACAGTACCTCAATCCCTCTATTACTCTTGATATCTTGCTCTTGGGCACACATAATGTACACACACACATCACTCACTCTTTATGTTCAATGTACATCTCTCTCTCTCTCTCTCTCTCTCTATCTTCCATTTCTGTCTCTGACCTTTCATTATTTTATTATTTGCTACTTAATTAAAGAGGTGCTGTGGTTTAGTGGACAGTGAGCCACAAAGATGCAGGTTTTGAATCCAGCTGCAGCACAAATGTCCTTTGAATTGGCAAGACGTTAATCTACATTTGCCACACTCAACACTTGACTTCTGCATAAGTAGCATACACACTATACCATCTATTGTGAGCCAGAAGAATATATCAACTCTGCCAAATGGTATGAGTTGACACCCTTGGAGCTGTCGTCAGATGATCTCAAAGTGTCTGGAGTTCAATTTCCTTATTATGCATGTATTTAAAAAAAACTATACACACTTTTGCACAGAAGGTAGTAAACCTGTATTAAAGGCACATGGTAGTGGGCTCTCATGGGGAATTTGACACCATATGGGTGTTAATTCACCCAATAACAAGTGATGTCAGTCACCGGGATTAGCTTTCATGTTTATGACCAACAGACCACCAATCATCCCATATGGAAAAGTAGTTGTCTTACATTTCCCGCCCCCAAAGAGTTGAAGACTCACAGAGAGACTAGGGGCTATATTTCTTGACAGTTTTGCTGTGTGTAATACTTGTACACCCATTAATGATAATTCCACCAAGTCTGGTGTCAGCAAATTATGACCTACTGCACGTGGAAACTGACTCCCAACTCCCTTTAACAGTTCATAATCTTTCATACATGTTTATCTTGGTATTTTTTGTTTGTTTAGTACTTACAACTATCTAGGCAGAGTGGCCAATAGAATAATGACAGCATTTGAGGCCGGTGATATGCCTAGTGCCAGAAAAGAACAAGTAAGTTTGCATCCTAATAAGCTTGTTTTTATGAATCTATAATATTTCATTTCCATGAAAACGGATCCCTGTAATAATCTTAATGATGGTGAATTTTATTAAATTAAGTTTTCTTTTTTTCATAGTTCTGTTTTTTTAATACTTGAATTCAATCACAGCATCCTTTTTGCTGAGGTGACAAATTTTCATCAGAAAATTAATAAGTGTATTAACAGGCTGAAATTTAGTATTTTGTTGAAGTAATCAGTATTTTTTAAAGGATTTACACCTGGGCATCGTTTCACAAAACCGTCATAAATGCAAGTTCACCTACACCCCATTTGAATACACACGTTTCGATGGGTTATTGGCAAACTTGTGCTTATGACGATTTTGTGATTCACTGAGCAGTGATAAAACAGTAGAAACATTATTACCATAATCAATATTTTGTATGAAACTCGAAACATTTTCCCTAAAATTTGTGTGTGAAATACTGACAGTTAGTACTGCATGGGTTTCTAGGCAGCTCTATTTGTAATATTAGCTCATTTTCAAGAGCATTAATTATTTGTCATCCTTTTAGCCCTGAAAATAAAATCAGCTTCATAAAAATTATTTAAAAAAACAAAAAAACATTATATCAGACAGGAGTACTGATCTTTACCTTGACAAAATCTTAATTATTAGTCTTCGTGTTGGGCATTTATGTTTTCCTTTAAGACAGATGATGCTACATGTATCATGAAGACAACAGAAAATAGAATTGTTCTGTTTCTTGAGTTCTTGAATTTTTTTAATTTTTTTTAAAATTTATTTATTTCCACATGTGGGGTGGATTGCCCTTTCAACTTAAGTTGATTTTCAAAGGGGTCCACACACATTTAAAAACAGTTACAAATCATATCAACAAACAAGCAAAGAAATAAACAATTACATTAATTAAATACATGAGATATACAAGAAAATTCAGTATGGGTACATTTGGGTAAGAATATGTTTCCAGTCAAGGGAGATAATGTACTTCTTAAATTGTTGAGCTGTGAGTGTGTATACAGATGAAGATTTCCCGATTACATTCCATAATTTGGATCCCCTATATCTAAGACATCTTTTTCCATAATTTGTTTTTATGCGAGGTATGGAAAAATGCACATCACCAACCCTGAGACTGTAATTAAATGTCTGAGTTATAAATTGCATATAAATGTAACTAGGCAACTCTTTTTTGACAACTTTAAACATTAGATGAGCAAGGTGTTTACAAAATCGAACATCTAATTTATCGAATTTAAGTGAATCATAGATCAATTGGCTAGAATACATATAACCAACACGTAGTACAACACGGAGTGACCTATTTTGTAATAACTGTAATGTCTGCATGTTAGTCTTGCCAGTGTTACACCATACAAGAGAACAATAGTCAAAATAGCTTTGTATGTTACTTCTATAAAATAATAAAGCCACATCCTTTGAAATAAATGGCCTTATCCGTTTCAACAGATAATGGTTATTCAGTGTTTTCTTTTTAACGTATCTGATGTGTGCATTCCAGTTAAGATGTTCATCAAGTATAACACCTAAGTATTTACAAGTTTGAACCCTTTTTATTTGGCTACCACCAATCATAACTCTAAAAGGTATATTATCATTCAATACTTTCAGTTTTCTACTAGTGCCCATTAATAAAAGTTCACATTTTTCAAGATTCAATATCAGTTTATTGGATTGTAACCATCTATATAATTGCCCTAAATCTTCATTAAGACTTTGTTGAATTTCACCAGGTTTTTTTGAGGAATAATAGATGCATGTATCATCTGCATACAATGAAATTTTACATTTATTTATTACAAGTGAAAGGTCATTAATATATAAGGAGAAAAGTACCGGCCCCAATAACAAGCCTTGTGGAACTCCAGTAGTAATATATTTGTAATTGGAGTGAGCACCATTTATATTCGTAGACTGTTTCCTTTCACTCAAATAACTTTCAAACCAACAGACTGTCTGTTCATCAAGACCATGGGCACTCAGCTTATCAATAAGTGTTTTATGGTGGATGGTATCAAATGCTTTCCGTAAATCTATCATTACGGCACCAACAATTGCACCGTTATCACATCATAAACATAGCATGTCAGAAGTCCTTAGCATAATTTTATGATAAACAGTTATCTATGAAATTTGTACCGGTAATTGACTTTTCTGCACAGACAGTGTTTCTCATATGCTTTATCTTTCTTTTATAATTCCAGTTCCGAATCCAAGCACTTGTGTCTGTACTTATAAAATATGGTAAGTGTTAAAGCGATTCTAAACTGATGAACTTTCTGCTCTAGCATACTGTTCAGAGCCATCTATACACAGAGTTTGGCCAAGTCGGTTCGAGTTGGACACAATATGGCGACTAATGCTTTGTTAGGCAAGCAGGAAACAAAAGAATATACGCCATGTTGTGACCCAATGAAACCAAGTTGGCCAAACTCTGTGTATAGATGGCTCTGATACTGTTTATTGCACAGCGCCATCCCATGGTCAACTTGCCAACAGTGCGTAACCCATTACCCAATGCGAGAACCATCAGTGCAGCTAGGGAGGCAGGGGGTTAGGGGACCATACTGCTACAGCTGACCTGAGATGGCGCTAGAGAGGATTTTGCAGTAGTCCTTCAAGGACAGTTTGAATATGAATGTGATGATGTGTTGGAAGCAAACACACTTTTCATATAAAAGAAGAATATTCCGCTTATTCCGCTTACATAGCGCTTAATACAATGTTTCTAAGCGCTTTACAGATAAACTATTACCCCGGACATGGGATTCAATGCTTGCTTGCACACACTGTGTGCACAATCTCCACTCCCTGAGGAGCATTCCAGCCAGGCGTTACTTGACGCTCAAAATCTGTTTGGTCAACAATGACGGTCGCATCCTACCAGGAAACCCATTTAAAACCTGGGTGGAGAGTAGCAAGTGCAGGTTCATATCTTGCCAAAGGATAGTGCCAAAGAAGCCAAAACATTAAAACTGAAATAACAAATCAGAATTGTAGTTAACGAGAAATTAGGAGAACGAAGAGGTGTGTAGAAATTTAACCTTTGGAGTATCAAAGATACTATGATAGATATAAATCGTGCTTGATAACTTACGATCTTAGATCTACCGGTAGATGTATTGTAACAAAATTAAAAAATTAAAGATAAGAATTATTTATGAACACAAACTATCCGGAGTAGATGTGAAAATACTTTAAAGATTTGGTTTTGTTTGTTGGTCCTTACCTCAACTTTCTCAATAAGCTGCTTAATGAGCTAGTCCGGCCCATTTGCAAGTTGATTTGATAAATAGAGACAAAATTTAAACAAAACCAACAAAACAGTGAAATTTTCATTGAAATTGGATGAAAAATAAGAATGTTATGGAATGTTAAAGTTTTACTCAAATTCATGGAACAGTGATATGCATTATGTAGGCTGTGCTCAAAGGAGTGAGTTGGTGATGTCATCCCCTCACTTTTCTGCTCTGGGAACGTAAAACATGAGTTGAATCCTTGTAAAAAATGGAACAGTGATATGCATTATGTAGGCTGTGCTCAAAGGAGTGAGTTGGTGATGTCATCCCCTCACTTTTCTGCTCTGGGAACATAAAACATGAGTTGAATCCTTGTAAAAAATAAACAAAAAAAATCACCATTACTGTAACAACATATAGGACACTTTCTATACAACTAAAGCTGGGGTGGTGAGGTCTAAACTGCTTCAGAAACGCAAAGAGATATGGGCTATACAAGAACGGTATATTATTATCATCATTTTTGTATTTTGTATGCAGGCGGTCACACAGGCACGAACAAGGCCATCATGTCACTGGTCGGACCAGAGATGGGCCCCGCCCGTTCCCCTCTTCACAACCCCTCCCCAGAGGAGCGTGAACTGATACGCAAGGATCTCCAAGCAGAGGGGTTCTTTGAATGGATCCAGTAAACCTTTCACAGCATTTTTCAAACGAAGCAACAACAAAGCCTTGTTTCGAAGCATTCTTTCATAATTGTTTGCTCCTTCCTTCCTTCCTTCCTTCCTTTGGTGTGTAATAATTATTCCTATACTGTAGGCAGGTTAATGGTTTGTATTGCTTTTGAAATCGTGCTATATCTCTTTTATAATTTTTGTTATATTTTCATTCCTTGTACAACTTGATATACAACTCTATCATATTAAAGTTCTTTTTTATTGATGATTTTATTTTATTGAGAAAAGTTAAATGTTTCTTTTGGGCCATCTTTTTAAATATGTGATCTATCTTCTAATCCAGAGTTAAAAACTTTATTTTTGTGTGTTTGGGGTGTGCTGCTGTGACTATTGGCAATTTTGGAAAAGGACATGGGGGCAGTTATTTTTAATGCATTTTTTTTGTGTGGAATGTTTCTGTGAGTGACGAGAGCTAGTCTGAAATGCCAGCTAGAGCTCAAACATTGCATGAAATGTTGACAAATTGCTTATACAAAATTTGAATTGTTCCATTGTTTTGAAGTTCCTCTCAAAGGTAGTGGACTTCATTCAGTTCATTCGGTATTGTAAATGTATGTCACCAACTTTTCAAGACATTCCATTGAAAAGCTTTTCTGTAGTACAAAGAAACAGTGTTAAGTGTCTGGTAATAGGTTAATGCATCATACATGTGAACCAGATTCCCAATAGTACTTAAATCTCCTTTAATGATTTATCCATGTTTTCCTGTTAATAACTGAACTCAATGCTGTATTTTCCATAGTATAAATGTAGGATTCACTCATTTCAAATTAGCAATGGGTTTATCTTTTTAAAAAATTATACTTTTTTTTAATGAAGAATTAGTTGTTATATATATGTATTTTATAAAATAAGAGTATTCAATGTCTTATTAACATTCCTTTATAAAAGAAAAACTATTATGAACTAGTGAAGTGAAATATATATACTCAAACTTTTCAAAAAAACAATAATACATCTCACGGGTGACATCTCAAAAGCATTTCTACCTCGTCGAAAATATGCTATAATATGCTATAATATGATATTTTAATAGGACAAGTAAAGATACATGTCGATTAAAATCATATAAATTTAGAATATATGGCAGAGAAAAGAATACAGATTTTATTTTTTTCGAAAATTCTATTTATTAGCAAATGAGGCATTGGAGCAGAAATTGGAAGCATATGTAAAAGAATTTATATCATCATTTTTATGGAGCTTACAGTTCAAGGAGTTGAATATTACACAGAAGCTAACATATTAATGGGCATTAAATACAATAAGTACACGGCTGAGGATCACTCACTTCTGTATAATACAATCAAGAATTATTGACCGTTATATTTCATATTTTTATCCTTTTTACAGTTACTCTTGTATCCATTTGTTGAGCTATATGTAAACATCCACCATAATTTTGTTTAAAGTATTATTTTTATTTTTATTAAGTTTCAGCTGTAAAGTTTATTTTATTTTGGAGAAGAAATGTTGTTTTGTTGCCCGCAAGAAGGCATCAATCAAAGTAATATTACTTTTCCTGTACATTTATATTTTGTGCAATTGCGAACGATATCCACTTCAGGTACCAACAGATTTATGTAATTTTTGTCAACTGGGCAGGGTTTCATGAAACTGTAAAAAGTACAAGGTCGCAGATATCTCACTGATCGTGTGTTTATCATAGGATGAACTTGTACTTATGACGATTTAGTGAAACCACACCCATGTCACACCAGTACCAGAGGCATTCAAGCTGTTGAGGAACTTCCCCCAATTAGGCAATCATTCACCTCACCTACATCTACTTGTAAATGTAATAGTTGTAAGGAAAATGTAGATTAATGTCTTGCCAAAGTATATGTACTTTGAATCTGTGATAGAGATCCAAGTGTGTGACTGTTAGTAACATTAAAAAACCCTTAAGAGGAGGAGTCTTCAAAAATGTTGAATGTCATGTGCCTTCGAAAAATTAGGGAGTCAACTCATAGAAAAGTTTTCTTCATAAAATTCTATTAGATGAATTTGCAATTTTGCTTGTATCTTGTCCAATTGAACAATTTCGTAATGTAATCAAATTAAATGCACAAGTCTTTTTTAATCGACTCGTTACAAATTAATTCATTCACCTGTTTAAAATAAATAATTGCATTTCAATAGTCAGAATGTGAATTGCTTACAATCCGTGTGGTAAGGTAGGACGAGCCATAATTTTTGTCCTATCTAGCAACAATTAATATAACTAATTTGCATTCTGTCTATTGAAATTACTATTGGAAAATCATTCACCTATATAAGTAAATGAAAAAGCTGTACAGCAAATATAGATTAATGTCTTGCCAAAGTTCATGTTATTGGATTGTGTGTTAGCGATTCAAATGTGTAACTGTCATTAACATGTTATGTGCCTTCAGAAGTTATGGAGTAAAGTCATAAAGGAAAGTTTTATTCATAAAATGTCAAGAAGAATTTGCAATTTTGCTTGTATCTAGTTCAATAGTAATAGTTTTCTCCTAAATTTCCTGCACATTAATGGGTGATGTGATATGAACTATGCAAGTCAATCCTGTATCTTAATACATTTTCTAATAGAATGTATTTTGATTAGATGATTATTTGTATATCTTGCATGATTCATATGATACTTGTATAATACTTGTACACTGGTAAAGGTATAACGTATTTCATATTTCTATTCTATATCATTTTAATCAATATATTTATAGAGGATTAGTAGATATTTTCAAGGTTTTTAATTGATGTTCTATATGCCACTTTGTTAAGATATGGGTTTTTCAATTTAAAACATAACAACATTTGTATGTTGAAATAAAATAGCAACGCTGGTATCACTTTTGTAGTCCAAATCGACTGATTTTGTTTCTCCTCCATTTTAACCATCCATCCATCATAGCTAGTGTATGGTACTTGAGTTCTGTTATTGAGGGAAATTAATTTCTTACAGAATCAGAGGAAAGTTGCACTGAATTTTTCAAGAATACAAATAAATTGTCATGCAGTTATGGTAGAAGCATACTTTTACTTTCATGAGAGAAAGGTAAAGAAATTAATCAAGTGCATCTTGACACTTGCAAAACGCAGCAGTCTATTAACATTCTTTTTCTTCTCTTTTAGTTAATGCAATTTGAGCTTGTTTTTGTTTATTTATATTTTTTAAGTCCTAACGCTATATCAACTGCCTGAATGAACTTTTTAGATTGATTTTTCAACTAATACCAAAACTCAATATTACATGAATTATATTCTTAAGTTTAATAACAAGCTGTAACAACAGGTCATAATACACAGCTGGAGCTTGGGTAGATTTTGCTGATGCAGCCTCACAAATACATCTACATGTGCACAGTGTAGTCTCCATAGCCTTATACACTAGCATTTCATTTACAGGACATGGACTTTCTTTCATTAAGAATATCTTCCTTTGGGGGGGGGGGGATTTAAAAAGATCCCAGGGAGAAAATAAAATCATATTGGGGTTGGAAGTCTAAACAGAAACTGTCCAAACTCATTTGGATTGAGACAAGAGTTAATCACCTTCTCATGTTTTACAGGAGTTCAAAGATTTCACAAATAAGCACACAAGTATTAAAGATTCTTATTGTATTTTATTATTAGGTTGTGTAAACAAAACATAATGCAATTGCTTAGCCTCTGAAGAAATACATTTTCAAATGTTCATGCACATTAAATATCACATGATTATAAATTGCATGAATGCATGGGCAGTTGGGGCAAGTTAATTTGCTCTTATTAATTCATGATTTAATCATATCTAAACATATCGTTTTAACAAAAAAGAGGCAAGTTGATGATACATGTACATCCATAATGAAATTCAAGGTGGTTATTGACAGATTACAAGCACTCTGGTATTTGCTGTATGTATTTTAAAAGCACATACATACCGGTATTCATCGACCGATACATGTTTTAGGTCAAGTATGCATGTACATGTATTGTATTTTCATATTTACATTTACATGTAGACGTGCATGTAAATGAATTTCCTCGTGTAGCAAATACATGTCGATGAAATCTTTTCTATTGTAACATGAGCACCATAGAAAATTGGAATTCAAGTTACTCAAAAAATATTTATTTCAAGATTGGATAATCTAAAGATATGTTTTGAGACTTGAAAAATTTCCACTCTATCCTTTAAAATAAAAATGTACGAAGCTACTTCATATAACCTTTGCATTCAACAAATTGCACTGTTACAGCATAAGTCACAGAAGCTTAACGTTAGTGTCTAGCCAGCCAAAAATGTGATTCTTCTATCAACAAACATGCTTGTACTTAAAAGACAAATTCGAAACGGATCCAGCCTTTGTTATTTGTACCTGCTCGAGTGTATCTCCACATGATTTAAAGCCAAAGGTTATCAAAATTGGATCTCCCTTTAAATTTTAGCTGAATGTGGGTTCAAATTGATTCTCAATTCACCATATGGGAACATAAATGGTCTTAAATCACCAACATAATTACTTATTCTTATTTGATTGAATGATTTCTTGTGGAAGAATGCAAGCCGCGAATCAACTTTACTTAATAGAGAGTAAATAACTTTAAGTTCTCCACATGATTTAAAGCCAAAGGTTATCAAAATTGGATCTCCCTTTAAATTTTAGCTGAATGTGGGTTCAAATTGATTCTCAATTCACCATATGGGAACATAAATGGTCTTAAATCACCAACATAATTACTTATTCTTATTTGATTGAATGATTTCTTGTGGAAGAATGCAAGCCGCGAATCAACTTTATTACGCTACCATTTTCTCATGCATGAAATGGAAGACTAATTTGTTATCATGATTGGTACATGGTATGTATACACATTGTTACAATGTACTACTGCCTACAAACAATACTGAAGATTATCAAAAATATCCTCTATATCAGCCTTTGAAAATTGAACAAATCACATACTGTTGTACAGTTATATTTTATTGCCAGTTGTATGCTATAATACAAATTGTGATTCACTGAATGGAAATTCTGGACAAACATGATTGTGTCGTCAGCTTTTACAATATTGTCATTGAAGGTTCTTTCAAATATCCTAACAAACTGGCAATAGTTTTATTTGCAATGTGAAATGGTTCCTTGTTAACATGTACAATTTATACATAAAGATTCATTTCAGATACATGAACTTGCCTTTTTCTTGCCAAATTTAACGAAATGTATCGGTTATTCCCATGAGGAGTTAACAAACAGGTCCATTGAGTGAATACCCTTTGTACAATACTTCTATCAGTTGTAATAATAGAGCAGAACAGCTTGTTTTTCAGGATTACTACCAATCTTCACAATTATTGGAGGAAAAAATCCAAGAAAAAGGAGCAGTACATGTAGGTCTTAACTGGAGGGTCAAGACCCCTATGGGAATAATTTTGTATTTTCACAGGGTAATGACTGGTTCATACATGAAACTGATCCCATTTAAATTAACAGATAGTTGCCAACAAGGGGTAACAGTTTTAGCCAAGCATCGCATTTAGGGGTTACAGAACCACACACAAAAAGGTGGGAGTTATGAAATACAGGAATAGAGAGTAAATAACTTTAAATTCACTTGTAAGAAAAAGATACGTGTACCATCACCTTCATAGAAGTAACAATAAATACAGATATATTCTGTAAAGTCTATCCCGATGGTTGAAAACACACCTACATTGAATCAGGAGTATCAAAACTTTATCATACGATGTCCAACAAGATTCAGAAGGGTGTTAATTCAATTCATGGGATAATACAATATCAAATGTTCTTGTACAGAGCCGGCTGTTCTGCTACTTTTTTAAATCTGTTTAATATTTTACTGCTTAAATATAGTAATATCAAAGACCTATTGAGTAATGACACCCTTCTCATTCCATTATGATTTTTAATGAAATGACAAAATGTGCTAATACCCCTCTTGTTCTCAAATGACCTTACAAATTGTGCTTGAACGGGGAAAGAACATTTTCAAAATACAATGTATATGAATCCACCAGACAAATTCCTTATACCTTTGGTAAAATGCTATTAAAGGCACCAATAGAAAATAAACAATAAACTTTGACTATGGCATTTGCCACATGGATATAAAAGTAACAATAAACTATACATAATTAGTAAACTAACAACAACAAAAAATACTTCTGAAGTCCACCAAATTTATTAATTTCCCCAATGAGATCCAAGGAGAGGTTTACATGGAAGTGGAGGGATTTTCTCTTCCTGACAACACTTATTCTTTACCTCTTTGAGAAGAAGACATTAGTTGCTCTAAAAACAAATATTCATATACATCTATATTAAATAAAATCACATTAAACAATTTTGTGCAGCTTTTTCCCCCGGTGGAATTACCACTCAGTTGGGCATTTACATTATTTATTTATTTTCCGGATTCAATTAAATCATAATGAGTAAAACATGGAGAACTTGGGACTTGCTGCAAGAAACCGGCACAAGTCTCATTTTTTAGGACAGCCCATTAAAACATGTTACAGAAATAGCACCAGCTTTGCTAAACATTAGCTTTTAACAGTAACTGGGAGATCCTTTGTTAAACCTACGTAAATTCTGTCAATTAAGTAGTAAACAGGATAAAAACCAAACCCTGAAATACAGTACTGTAAACCTCTTCCTTGGATTGTATTGCTACAGATTTGAAATTGGTTAATAACTAAAACTGACAATAGGAAATGTTCATTAAAGCCCCACTGCACTACTAATAGATGCTTGCGCCCTCTATATAAAAAACAATACCTAAGCGGTGACCGTTTGTCCCCCATGGTCCCCTTTTTCTTATGTTGATTGAGAGCTGATTTAATGAGATAACCACCTGCCAGTGACCAGACAGGGAGGTCTAATCCCTCCTGGCCAAACTAGTGCAGAAAGGCTTTAAAGATCATTTCAGTTCAGAAGGAAACCCTAAAATACAGCACTGTAAACCTCTTCCTTGGATTGTACATGTATTGCTACCGAATTGAAATTGGTTAATAACTAAAACTAATAACAGGAAATTTTCATTAAAGTTCATTTCGATTCTTCTTCTTTTTTCCCTTCCCGTTTAAATCTGCTGGGTTCGGTCGCACAAATTTGGCACCCTCTGGAAGCTCCGTCACTGTAGGTTCTTCTTTTGCAACATTATCTGCGTTCTTCTTCTTTCCCTTTGGTTTCTTTTCGCTGGTACCAGTAGGTAACGAGACAGCACATCGGAATCCTAAATTGTCGGAGCCAGCGTCTGCTTCGTTACCCATTCTGAAAAAAGAACATTTTGAGAAAGGGAAAAAATGGAAACGGTTCTAATCTTACTCCTGATCTCATTACAATTTTTTTTTATTACTAGTAGAATGTTAAAAGTGGTGGTGTTTATTTTACTAGACTGCTAAGAAAGCATAAATGCTTGTTAGTAAGCAACCAGACGGCCGACAGATTTAGGTCCTCTCCGAGAGACCTGGTAATGAGGATTAATCCTTACCAAAGGGCACTAGCGCATTGACTTGGTTTCAAACCTGGGTTGCTGGATTACGAGACCACTGCTCTACCAACTGAGCTATCGTGCCTCCTCCTCTGTTAAGAGAGTATTCACTATATTCACTATGTAGCACCTCTATCGTTATAGGAGTGATTATTTCAAAATGTACAAAGTGGATCCTCATGTTTCGAAGATCTGGGGATATTTGGGGTCATTTGGGACATGTGCTATTAAACTATGAACTGGTCTATTGAGAGGAAAAAAATAATAATGCCAACCTTGTTGTGACTCTAGTAGCATGGTTGAATTTTCCATCTTTGGAGTCGATGTATGAGCCACCCCTCAAGACAAAGCGCACCTGGGAGGGGTTCTCCTCTTCTCCGGCAGGGGAGGGGGCGTCATCTTTGGCACTGGGCGTGGCACTGAATTTGGTCGACGTCCACTCCCAGACGTTGCCGATCATGTCATACAGATCTACCAAAGCATTGAGAGGTTATTGAATAAATCAGAAAAAGAATCAGAATTCAGAATTTATAAAGCACCATACACAGAGTGATTACATGTTGTATGTGTATCATAGAAGAGACGTCCAAATTGTGAAATAAACAACTGACATTTTCTAACATTAAAAATATACATATACATGTACATGTATAGGACTGGTGTATACTATGAATATTACTTTTGTTAGTATTCACCCCTCATTTATTACGGATAATTCAAACTTGTTGGACAAAATGTACTGGTGACAAAATTAAAGGCAGAATACCTTTCTAATTGTAATGCAAGTTGTATGTGACATACACACACAAAAAACCTCACTTGTACAGAGATACTGGTTTTGAGCATCAAATTTTGTGCCTTCTGAGAGGTCTGTCACAACCCCTGTAAGTTGGGGCTTTGATCGATTGGAAGATCGGAGCGACACCGTCGATCCGATGATTGGTTACAGGCCTAACTCTGGTGAATATCAAGTCATTAACTCTTTATTTGCCATATACACAATCACCCTGTGTCACATTGTATTTATCATGGGATGGATATAGCAAAAGCTTGAAGACTTTTTATTTCCAGTGCAAGATTAATCTATACAATTGTTAAAACAGCTGTCATGGAGCTAATCCAGACCATAAAAGGATTATGTTCAAAGCCATTATGTTGCACAAAGTAATCCTCCCGTCAATTGTTGCGTATTGTTTTGTGCAAAAATGCACATGTGCCAAAAAAGCAACTGTGCAGAGAACAAAGAAAGCAACATGCCACTCTTCATTATAAAATCAACACTATTTTGACTAGAATTGAAAGCTAACACAGTGTAGAATAGAAAGAAAATAAACTCACCATAATCATTTTGAGGTGGGAATGCATCAACAGGACTTACGCCATGATACCCATCAGCCTTGGTATTCTTTTCGGGAAATTTGCCCTATTCAGCAAAAAAAAAAAGAGAAAAAAAAGAGAGAAGATTAAAGACAATAGAACAAGTATTGACATACACATATTACACAACTAGATGGGTCATGCCATAGGGTTGGGGCAAGTTTTGTGACATACTAGAAGTGAGAAACTATGTCTCCTATCAACTATAACAATGTTTACTCCAATTAATAGCGTAGCCAATTCATTTTATAACTACTCCAGCTTCATGGTGTCTCAAATATAGACCTAAATGTAATGTTAAAGAAATGTGATATCCACAAAATAAGAAACAAATATTAAGCAAATATTCTGCTACTACATATGTGTATATTCACTGGCAGGGCACCACTACATTTATTCATTGCATTAACATCTTCAAAAGATGATTCCATCTTCCATGAGTTGCAGAAGATCTCATACTAACTAATTTTCTTTTGGGGGGTTTCGTTGGGGGGGGGGGGTAAATTTGTTTAAAGATATTTAACTCTCTTATCTGTTTCAATAGTAAACATCTCCAGCTCAACCAAGTTAGAAGAATTTCTAGATCACCAGTTTACTAAAGATTTTGAAGAAAAAAGAAGAAAGTGTGTATCACCTGCCAAATATTCATCCTATTCTTTTCAAATTTCTTTCCCCAAGGATACTCTTTGCCTGTAAAGTAAACAGAATATGAGAGGGAAAGAGAAAGAGAGAGAGAGAGAGAGAGAGAGGGGGTGGGGGAGAAAAACAAAGGAGAGAATTCAAATTTATACTTCAAAGAAAGAAGAATATACAAAGATAGTTAAAGAAAAATATTGTTATTAAACTTCTATCAAATTTGGTATACAAAATATCTCAAATAACATTAGATGATCTTAGTACAAGTCATAACATTTTCAAATATTAGGGCCACTGGATATCGAATTGATAAGATCTCTTCCATGTTATACATGTAGGGCATTAAGAAATCAGATTATATAACTCCAAATCATACCCGACTAGAATAGATTTGGGCCTAGTACAGAGCCTTGTGGGACACCACATGTTACAGGTATTAAGGGAAGATTACTCTACCCCCCTCTCCCCCCCCCCCCCCCACCCTAGACCCCTTCTACATGGAACTGCAAACTCTCATTCTGTTTCTGTGGGTAATGTTCTAGTATCAATGTGACTCTGATCACACTTGGTGCAGAATAGAAGTGGACCTAGTAGACAGCCCTCTGGGACCACATGTTACACATATTGAGGGAAGATGCCTATAAAAGCCCCCATACTCTCACCTTCCAGACCCCCTCTAGATGTAAGCTCCCACTCTGCTTCTTCGGGTAACCTTCATCCATGCCATCATACATGTTGCTGAACAAAAGTGGGCCTAGTAGAGAGCCTTGTGGAACACCACTCATTACCCCTTTATTACATTCCAATACACTCACCTTCTAGACTCCCTCTAGCTGCAAACTCCCATTCTGGTTCTGTTGGTAACCTCCATCCATGCCACTGACAGAATGCTCTAGCATCGACATTGCTGATGTGAACGGCTGGGTAGTTCAATCGATTCTCGATGCCACTTCCTTTACCTTCTGGCTAAAAACAAATTAAAGGCCTTGTATTTTACTCACAAGTATTGCAACAATAAGTATTGATAAATAAATATAATACACGACAAAGACAAATTCTGAAGAAGAAAAACAAATTGACGCAAATCATACAGAATTGATGGGGTTTGAAATTTTAAAATGCCAAGAGCACCTTGGTATTGCAGTGATCTTATTACATACTATACGTCTCTTAGTGCAATTCAGAAATAAATAAAAAAAATAAAATGGAGCAACTTAGAATAAATGTTTTTTAAATCTATTGACAAAATTCAGAGAAAGTGGTGCATAGATTATAGACTTACATGTAGAGGAATTAAGGATACTGGATATAGAAATTAAAAGTGAAAATGTAAAATTTGAGGTCAACATTATGTTGTATGATCTCAGTACATCAAAGCAGTTAATAAAATCTAAAGACAAAGTTCTACATATTTGTTCTGACTGTGAATATTTGAAATTATGCTTTCTAGCCAATATAACAGACTTTCTTATAATTACTTTTTCAAAATTTTAAGTCACACTATCATCACTATGAATATAACTGACAAAGAAAGCGGACAAAATATACAGTTCCTCGGGTAGACAAAGGAACATCCCTTCACTGCTATTATGTAAAACATGTGTAGAACAGGTATCACATGCATATTCCCTTTTTACATAATAGCAGTGAAGGGATGTTCCTTTGTCTATCTGAGGAACTGTATATTTTGTCCGCTTTCTTTGTCGTCATGTTCATAGTGCATGGCCTTTGTAATTTTCTTTACATTTTATTTTCCATTTTATTGGCTTATCTGTATCTGTAAGAAATATCATGTTGTATTATTTGACTTTGCATGTTTTTTTTAAAGTAGTGAATAATTCAATTCAATTCAATATTCCCAATCATTTCTTACCTGTCTCCAATAAGCATTCTGAACTGGAATCCACCAGGGTGCACCCTAAAGCAAACAGAAATTTCATTTTATAATGACTGGTATATTTTCTTTTCTTTTCAACAGATCGCCTACATGATTTGTTGAAGCTCCATTTTAGATAAACCCCTGTATACCAGAATGATAACTTATTAAATGTGTTACAGTGAGCTGATAGTGACCCATTCTTTCAATCAATCATGATTTCTCATTGCAGCTTTACAAAAAATGTACAAAGTTGCTGCCAAATTGTATCATACAGTATATATCTGCATCATGTATCTGCATGCATTCAACTGCAATGGTGTTAAAATGCAAATGCACTCTGAAATTAAAAAAAGAAAAAATTAACTATATGACATACTTCCACCTTCCCTCCCATAAATAAAACTGTGAAAGATTTAAATATATGTATACCGGTACCTATAACAAACTGAAACCGTGAGAAAAGGAAAGAAAATGCGATGTTCAGCAAACACAATTAGAAATCTAATGTAATATCTTCACAGGTGTGGTCACACATGCACGTGTATTGTTATGATTCGTATCAAATAGGCATGGTATCTGTTCATATCCAGCTACAAGTACGGTATATGTGTGCAATATAAAGTGTATGAGATCTGTAAAGAAGCCAAATATAGACCAATATTCTATTCTTAAATCTTAATAAAAATAGGCTTCTTCACTTACAGGTAATCTCTGCTCAATAGTGTTCTTGATGGCCTCTGGAACGAACGCATCAAATGCAAAGCTCCAGGCATATTTCTCTGCGTCTGTCTTGTATTTCTTTGCTCTCACAAACTTCCTAGAAGAATGAAACAGATCAAAATCGCTAATACACGTAATTGGAATATATTCATTCATGTGCAGTCATCTGAAATTCGTTTGCCGAGACCTTCTTTTGTGTTTGAAATACCTCTACATGTATTGTACTACTCTGTAGAGAGTTCTTTGGTGAGTTCTGCAGTAATGCAAATAAAAAAGGGTACATATTGTTTTCTTCTTTTTTAAATACACCATCCCATAAAAAATGTGGAAACCAGGTCTCCAGGGCAGCAGAAGAATGTTAATTGTAAAAATAAGAGGATAGAATTCAATACCCTTCTGTTCACCACACAATTTTTTTCACCGACACTGTTCATACGATGCATGTTCTATGGCTGGCTCATGAAATACAAAACCAGACAAACAATTGTTTAAAGATAAACTTGAGTTCTGGTAAAAAAAAGAAAATGAATTCTCACAGAATCTAACGAAACTTACACTGAATGTTCAAGATTACAAATAAATGTCATGTGCCAAACAATTTTAGAAGAAAATGTATACTGGCTGAGTAATGAGCATAGAAAGAAAAGGAAATCAGGGTAGTACTAGCCCCGACACCATGTGTGTTGTCCCATATACATCTTTCTGTGTAAGTGATTGTTACTTTACCAAGACTCTGCCAAATTTATGATGATTTTGATGACTCCAGAACCTTACATTACACACCATTACTTACATGCTACATGATCAACTTTTCTGATCCATTCCACACCTTTTCTTTCACAATGCAATCGAATTACCAGAACTCAAGTTTATCTTTAACTAACATGTTAAACATGCACCTAACATAATTACATGTACCGATATCTAAAATTATATGCCTACTATTAATATAATTTGATTTGGTTACCACACATAATACATTTCTCAATTCCTGTATCTACAGTACAAATATTTAATTAATTAGAGTGAGTATTGTTTGCATAAAATAACCGAGATGGAAAACTCTCCTATAATGGTAACAGCTTGTCGAATCAGTATCATTCAATCAAGCTTTAATAGGAAGATCCATAATATAGCAGTATACTACATCATGTATATGATACATGCTGACTGGTTGTTAGGTGACATAGGTTGCATTGGCATACATAGAACAAATTATTTCAAAAACATTATCAATTTTGAGCTTCACTGTAAAAATCTGGTTTATATTCAATATGAATTTAATGTAATGCCTCAAAGTTTGCTATAAAACAAAATGAAAGAACACATGCTTTTTATTTCACCTCTCTTTTTTCTGCTTCAAAGTTCAAATCAGCAAATGTACAGATTAAAAACTTTTCAAATTTACTGGTACTGTCTAAACTAAGAAAATGAATGATAAGCCTTTTGAAGGATTGCATACAGAGTGATGTATCAAAATGGTACCTGCATTAATATTTTTTGTATCAGCACTGAAATATGGATTGATAAAGATTTCTTTTCTGGTAATCAAGGAACAAAATTACCAGGATATTATCAAAGAAGGATCATATTTCAATTTCAGCAGATGTATCATACACTGTAGACAGTACATGTCATTTTAATATTATTTGTATTTCAGAAGGAAGAGAGATTGATGACTTTTATTTTTAAAATGAGACACGTGGGGAGGGGGGGGGGGAGAATATCAAAAGAACATAAAAGCTTCTTTAATGCGTTATTCTTTCTGTTAGTACCTACTTTTGTCTTTTCTTTTTTTAGAGGGCCAGACCTTCATACAAAAAAAATCTGATACTCAATTGATAATAGACAAATTAAAACAAATGTTACGCAACTTGTGACCTCTAAGGTCAAATCACTAATGATATGGAGAACCTTCAACTGGCAATACATTCACAGTAGTGTATATGATGTCATAGTTGGACTATGTTCCCAGCCATACTGTACTAAAAGGAATTCAGAAATAATGGAAGGGGCATTTCATACGTTGTAAAAAAAAACATGTAAGTGTCCCCTTTTATTGGAGGAATATCTTTTAAATCATAAAAGATTAAAAAAAAGCGATGATGAAAAGAGATCTAAAACTATCCCTAATTTGCTTCACTGATTTTTCTACTTTTACACAGATTATTTAATGAGAAATTTTATACAAAGAAATCAACAAAGACATGATAATGACAATCTTTACCTAAATGATGCTGCAGTAATAGGATACTTGTTGATTTTAAAAGGTTTCACAGTGACTTTTCTCTGGACACTCTCTCCATCCTTGCCATCTGATTTCGATGACCCCATCATGAACTTTCCTCCAGGTAACGCAACCATCTCTTCATACTTATCAAACACAGGATCTAGAGAGAAAAGGAGTCACATGAAATAGGATAAATGCTTACAGTCAAACCTGTCTATAGCGACGGTCCAAGGGAAACACAAAAAGTGGCCTTTGTAGACAGGTTCCTTTAGTACATGTTTCAATGAGAAACCATTTTCAAGGGAAACACCAAATGTGGTCTTTATAGACAGGTGGTCACTAAAGCAGGTTTGACTACATGCCTTTTCCTTCAAATGTTTATCTAACCTATCTTAATGAGTCTTAATGAGTTATAATGATATTAATAATAATTAAATAATTTACATAATTACTAATTACATGTAGTACCTTTTCCCGAGGATAGAAGGTGCTATCCCTTAGTCTAAGAATAAATTAAACAAATTAAGAAGATTTCAAATTCTGTCCATTTCTCTCAAGCTGATCGTCACTTAAAAGCAACCGATATGTAATTTTATAGTGCCTTTTTGGAAACCCTAAGATTAATTCTACATCTTACCTAGATCATAACTGACTAATTTGTTTATTTTGTCACTTAGAAATAATATCAATATTGCTTAATTATTGTTAAGCATTTTATTCCATTATGTAACTTTCCTTCCCATTAATAATCATATCAAATGTTTCTAATGTAAGCACCAGGTTATTGATTTGAAAGTTTTTATATTTATGTGATGAACGTAAAGCCATGGTAATGACATAGGGCAATTCCACGGTAACGGAAGGACACTCAGACAAGATTTTTGAACTTCAGGTTCATACTAAAAGAACTGTTTTATTAGTATAAGATGTGAAACAGTACAGATATAATACCTATATAAGTGCCTTTAATTTTCACACAAAAAATTGTCATTATAGTTAAGTAGTTTAAGAATGTGCATATTAATTATCTCGGTAACGGAAGGACATAAAAATGGACATGGTTTTTCCAGTTAATTAGTGTTTATCCAAACTTTGTGAAGGTGATGAAGCTTCCCAATTGACTGAAACACATTTTGTTCCCCATACTTTATTACATACTAATAAAACAGTTCTTTTAGTATGAACCTGAAGTTCAAAAATCTTGTCTGAGTGTCCTTCCGTTACCGTGGAATTGCCCCATAATAATGTAATGAAAGTAATCAAGGATATACATGTAATAGTAATTGCTCCAACTATTGTTATCCTGATATATATTTATTTATTTTCTCATATTGTGAATGTTTATTCTGTTCTTTACTCTTAATTTTCCAGGATGCAGACTGTGGGGGGTGACATGCTTTCGAGTAATAGCAATTTAAATTGCTTTTGTCACCCCTGGCCAGCAGATTGTATCCTTCTCTCTATCTCCTCTCCACTTTCCTAAAGCTGTTTGAATGTATTATGAAATGTCTATGTATTATCTGATTGTTATACTCTTTGTATGTTTTCCGATTGGTCAAATAAATAATAATAATAATAATAATAATAATTATAGAGCTTTGTTTTAAAATGTTTTTTTTAAATCAAGTAAACTACGATTTGTTAAAAATGCAGACAGTTTGTTAAAGATGCGGACAGTTTGTTAAAGATGCGGGCAGTTTGTTCCATAGGTACAGGGGTGTATGGGGCTACGAATTGAAAAGATTTGAAGCCAGGCTATTATTGGGAATTTGGGATACCAATTCATCTTTAGATTTGGAGGGTTTGTTATTTGTTTCAAGGGAAAGCCAAATCTGATATCAAGTTGGTTTTAAAAGATGCAGAGAAACAGATCAGTGACAACTTTAGCAAACCCCTATAAAAAGAGGGGGGAAAAGAAGAAAGTTACAAGTTTGGTATGTGAAAATGGGTTCCAGACATGTTAAATAAGTAAAATACATTGTCTGCTCGAAGCCAGAAAGGTGTTAACTACATGTAGCTCTGTGTTACATGATAGGAGCTAATGCCTTTCTGGGTTCAAACAGACAACACGTACATACAAGTCCCATTTATACATACAATGTACATACATGTACATATTAAGAATAAGGTAGCACAACAAAAATCACTGAAGCAGAAAAAGTCCCACTTTCTAAGCTACTTGTTACTTTTTTTCTTCCCAGCCCAGTTACTGGAATTAAGCCATAGGGTATTCTAAAGAATAAGGTAGCACAACCAAAATCACTGAAGTAGAAACAGTCCCTTTTTCTAATACCCCATTCACAGTGGTTTTGAAATTTGTAGCGGCGTTGTAGCGGAGCGGCGACACCGCCATAACACCGCTACAAATGCATTCACAGTAGAAAAGTTATCCCGCTGCAGCAGCGGGATAAATATCATGTACCCATTCACGCTGCAGCGGGTGATTTTTATTACCTCCGTAACAAACACGTGTATGCATGGCTCATGACCCGCGAGTGACCCCGATATGACCGGAAATACTTCAGCGCGGGGTTTTATCATATTACTTTTTAAAAAAACTAGCATTTTTATTGCTTCCAGTCAGAATATTTTAATTTTTTGAAGTGTGAAATATTTTTATTTGGATAATTATAATATCTACATAATAATAAAATCAATTTGAATCCACTGGTTACTTTATTTCTATTTCACTTTATGTTCCCCATTGCTGGAGAAAAGAGGTCAGTGATAGGTAAGTAAACAAATCACACGTGTTTGTCGCGGTGTTATAGCGGAGAGCCTTCACACTGAGTAAACACCGCGACAGCAGCGGGACTGTCCCGCTGCTGTAGCTAGGCGAACCTAGCGATAGTTTGTCGCGGCGTTATCGCGAGGCGGTGTTATCCCGCGATAGTTTATAACGGGTCCGAGCCTTCACACTGAAGACAACACCGCGACAGCAGCGGGACAGTCCCGCTGCTGTCGCGGTGTTTGAGGCCACTGTGAATGGGGTATAAGTTACATATAGGGAATTAAGGAAAGGGGTATTCTAAAGAATAAGATAGCACAACCAAAATCACTGAAGTAGAAACAGTCCCTTTTTCTAAGTTACTTATAAACAATTTTTTTTTCCAGGAATTCCAGCCCAGGTACCGGTAAGGGGATTAGGGAAAGGGGGTATTCTAAATTTCTTTTGTCCAAGACTGCAGTGAGACGTGGCACAAGAATGCAGTGAGACATGGCACATGGCTTGCAGTGTCAGCATTCAAATTGGAGCAGGCGTGGACTATACTGGTCAAGTATGCATACAAATCTCTACTATGAAGTAGGATGATTTACACATTTCCTGGATAATGTGGACATATGGAGATACAAGTGTTATATTGTTCATATCAATTATACATCTTGTAAAACAAACGTTAAAAGATGAATAATGTATAATACACTGCGATTCAAATAACAGTGTTACCTCTTAATTGGAAACAAAATCTAAATACCATTACTTTTGATTAATAGTACATATAGTTAGGCTGTTTCCAAATGATCACGTTTAATTATTTTTTCTATGAATTTCATTAATTGTTTAATCATTTTTTTTTTTATATATCTATTTATTTGCTGTTCTATGAAGTATAGTGTAGCATTATCAACAACAGACTATAGTATACCTCCATAAGAGTGCTAGAATAGATATTAGTGATGTGATACAACATTGAAATATATCAAATAAAATCATACATATTTTTTTCACGCAAATAAAGATCTCCTGGACTATATCTGCCCTCACGATGATCCCTCAGATAACTTCCCCCTAATAAAATTACTGGTACCCCTACATGTAGATGTAATTCAAGGGTATGGATCCCTGGGGGGGGGGGGTACTCATATTTGGTTTGGACGGGGGTGAGCTGCCCAAGCCTCGAGACCCCTACCAATTATTAGGGGTAATTTTTCTCCAAAAAAGACCTATTTTTCACAATTTTCGGGTGTTTTTTTTCGAGTGTTTTGAAAATTTTGGAAATTTTGAAAAAACTGACCCATGTGGGACCATGCAACGTTGAGAATTTTTTTGTGAAAAAGTGATCCATTACAGCGGCACACCCCAATATGTCTTATGTGAGTACCCCCACCCCATGGATGCATTCTTCAGAGAGTTATCCAGGGGTAAAATCATCCCAGATCATGTCCGATGAAAATGATTTTCCAGGATATGGGGGGGGGGGGGGGGGGAGGGAGGGAGGGAGATGATCTTCCAGGATGATGTTCCAGGGGTAATGTAGTCTTTTGAATATGAAATGGGGCATCATTTTTCAATGTAAACAATTAATCAACAAATGTAGTCTACACAAAACAAGGCATAACATATAGGTATGTTACAATGTGTGTGCTTTCGCCATGAAGGTTTCTGCCATGGGGCTGTTATGCACTATTGGAGACCAATTTGGATAGCCTACGTAAATGTGATCTTTTGATGGATGATTAGATTTTTGTTTCCTGATTTCTATCGGATGAGAAGAATGACATTGTTATCTTTCATTTCATACTAAACTTTTTATGATTTATGTTTTCAGCAGTTTGTTTTGCTGCACTGTTTCACAAGAGCCGTGTTTAGTGCCATTCTGTACCCTGATCCCACCTACAGGATTTGAAAAAAAGTATCTAGGATGATTGGTTAACATGTGAATTTGCTTTCGGTGAAATTTCAGCAAAATCTATCGATGAGAAATATGGTTTTTTGGACGAGGAATGTGAAAATGTCACTCAAAAATGATGGCCCGATTAGCGATTTTCGTGTATTTACATACATTTTGGGGCGATTTTATGTAATGAAATAAAATCTTTCGGTCACATTTGAGATGACAACTTTTGGTTTAAAAACAAAGGAAAACAAAGCAATTAAATACATGATTTCTGTGTGTTTAAAATTGGCATAACTTTCTTATTACTGGGGCTATTACGATGAATGAGGCATCAAATAAAAGGTCTTATCAAGCTCTGTCTAATGGCATAGATCTAAAGCAAGAGCTTGAATTCGGAGATTTAATTTTTTTGTAACATCCCTACATAACAATACAATAATCATGATAATAGAAAACAAATTTCATTTTCATTCAGACAACATGCAACCAATGCTACGGGAAAAACGCTAGGTTAGTCGCTAAGTTTTGGCAGGTTGAGCTAGCTGTCGGTCCAGTCCAGTCTGACCTAAGCCCTGGCTTGGGGCGCGAACGGAGCTCGTGTATGTTGTGAACGTGAGCGGAGTTCAGGCAAGGCAAGGCGAGGCGGATCCGAACCAATCGACAGCTAGCTCTGTCCTCTGCCGACGCGACGGGGCACTGGACACAAGAGATTCCGCTTGTACTTACCGGCTGGAACTTCGTCTTTAGATAAGGCATGAGACAGCGATATAAGCACCATAAAGGCAAGGCTCGAGTAAATGGTCAACATGGTAAATACTTCTATCTTCATTACTCGAACAGGGGCGTCTTGAAGAATAAGAAGAGTCTTCGCAAAAGTGGCTAATAATTCCGTGGCCCGCCGCGCCGTGAGACCTTCTTCAATGCAATTTCTTGACACGTAAGACGCGATATGCGAAAGATAACTTACTTTTGAAAGAACAAGATCTATGTTTACGTACACGTACACAGTATGCGTGCGTGACAAGTGCTCGATCAGTGCTCCGGGGCAAAATTTGTTTTCTCTTTATAATTACAAAACACAAAATTCAACTTTTTAAAAAAAAGCTTATAGAACAATAAATGGAGAAGGGTAACAATCGTTCTCTTGATGGATCGCTCTAACCACCATGGTACTGGTGGGCAGTGGCGGATCCCAGGGGGGGGGGGGGGGGGGGGGGGGAAAAAAATCGGTCTGTGTTCAAATTGAAAGATACTTCAAAGAAAATGATATAATTTATGAATTTCAATCTGGTTTTCGACATGATTATTCGACTGAAACATGTCTAATTCATTTGACTGATTATTTGAGGAGAGAAACTTCCCAAGGGCGCTTTGTTGGTATGGTGCTCCTTGATCTGCAAAAAGCTTTTGATACAGTTAATCATTGCGTCTTATTGAAGAAGTTACAACTAATGGGTTTTGATATAGGGAAGTTTAGATTGGTTTAGATCCTACTTATCCAATCGGCACCAAGTAGTGGCCATTCATGATATTCGTTCCAAACTAATGCCTATAACTTGCGGTGTTCCTCAGGGAAGCATTTTAGGCCCAATTCTATTTTCAAGTTATATAAATGATATGTGTATTTGTATAAAAGACTTCAAACTATTATTGTACGCAGATGACAGCGTACTACTCTATTCAAATCCTGATCCTAAATATATTGAGGAAAAGCTCAGTGAACAGCTGTCTACGTGTGTCGATTGGATGACTGATAATAAGCTTTCTTTACACTTGGGAAAAACAGAAAGCATTTTATTTTGTTCTAAAAGTAGTTCTAAAAAGTCATTTGAATTCAAAGTGACACACAATAATCAAGCAATCAAGAGAAAAGAGTCTGTGAAGTATTTAGGCATTGAGTTGGCTAGCGCAATTTCATTTTCATCTTTAGTAGAATCAGTTGTAAAAAAAGCAAATTCTCGTCTGAAATTTTTGTACAGATATCAAAGTTGTATGGATTTAAAAGCAAGACGTACACTCTGTTTTGCTCTTATTCAATGTTTATTTGACTATGCTAACCCTGCATGGTATAGTAACATAAACAAGTCAGATCAAAAGAAGTTGAAGATTATACAGAACAAAATGGTGAGATTTATCAACTGTTCTGATCCAAGAACTCATGTTGGCTACAGCGAACTTTCTAAAGCTGGTTTTCTTGAAGTCGACCAAAGATCAAAACAACTCGTATTGCATCATGTGCATAAAATATATCATACTAGGTCGAATCATTATATTCGATCCAACTTCGATTTTGTTACTGACGTACATGATTATAATACAAGAAATAGACGATTCAACTTTAACTTACCTGAAAGAGTAGGTAGAATTGGAAATTCGTTTTATTACAATGCCATAAAACATTGGAATTCCCTTCCCAATGGTGTAAAAGAAATAGGAAACTATGATCATTTTAAGAGGAAATTAAAGGAATACCTAATACTTGACAGTCAGAGAAGAAAAGTGAATGACATGTTATATGATTGAAATTTTTATTCTTCTGTCGGTTCATACTTTTTCATGTTGTATATACTTATGTTTTCGTACGTTATAGAAATTCTACAAATTCATCATTATTTTCCTCTTCTTCCTTCTCCTCTTTTTCTTCTTCTCCTTCTTCTTTTTCTTCTTGTACTTAATATCATTTCTATCATCAGTTTAATGTTGTTATTATTATTATTATCTTTAATAAGTAGTTCTTTTGATTTTCTTATCTGTCTGTAAATATTACTATTTTAACTTATTAATTTTATACATGTCTGTAAGGGACCCCACTGGAAATAAGCTCTCGAGCTTTCGTGGGTTATCCTGTTCAAGCTGACTTTTTTTGATCTGTTATTATTGTATATTGTTGTATGTTGGAAGCTTGTCGAATAAAAATCAATCAATCAATCAATTTGTTTGTTTGTTTGTTTGTTTGTTTTATTTCCGTATAAAAGACATGCATTCAGTAATATAATAACAAATAGAATAATGAATAACAAGATAAAATAAACGGCTGGATAGCCCATATTCAGCGGTATCATTATGATACCGCTGGTCTTCCATGGGGACCAGAAATGATACAGTGAAACAATACAATAAATAACAATATACATTAACAAACGACAAAGAAAAACGACAAAGAAAAATGGCAAAACATAAATTCTCAAGCAAAATATAGTAAGAAATTAAATATCCAGGACAGACAGTATAGAGAAAAGAAACTGGTATTTATAGAAAGAGAATTGTGTGAAGTAAACTTATAAACAACTCAAAAGTCTCTTGAATGAAGACAATGTATTACAGTTGCGTAAGGTCAATGGTAATCCGTTATACAATACTGAGCCTCTATATACAAAGGTTCTTTTACAGTAATTTGTCCTGGGTTTAGGAAGGGCAAGATTAAATTGACTACGAAGTGAGTATCTAGTAACTCTAAAAGAAACATTTTCATTTATATAATTAGGAGTCAGGCCATGCAGTATTTTAAACATCATAACGTGCATGTGTTTAGTACGCCGTAGGGACAAAGTATCCCATTTTAGGATATCATGCAATTGTTGATTGGATATATATGACTGCCGATTTATCTTCAAAATGATCCTCCCCGCTCTATTCTGTAGTTTCTGTAACCGATCAAGATATTTATCAGAAGATGACGACCACACATTGTCTGCATACTCAAAATGCGGGAGAATAACAGATTGATATATAATTTTCAAATTAGTTTCATTTACATAATGTCTCAATCGACCAAGAAATCCAACCATTTTTCCAATTTTCTTACACATGTTTTCAATATGAATGTTCCATTTCAATTCTGAGTCAATGATTACCCCTAGGTATTTTGTGTTATGCATTTGGATTATATCTCTCCCTCGAACTTTCAAAACTAATTTATCTTGTTTTTTTAGCAAATTTTTTGTTGCAATTAACATAGGCTACCCACGGTCTTGCTGTAGTTAATCTTCAGTTTATTCCGAGATATCCATGTATCTAATCGAGCTAGTTCCTCGTTGAGAACTGACTGTACAACAGACGGATTCTTATGGGAGTAATATAACACAGTGTCATCAGCATATAGATGTATTTTACATTTTTCAAAATAATGAGGCATATCATTAATAAATATGACAAACAATAAAGGGCCTAGTAGAGAGCCCTGCGGCACCCCACCAGTCAATGGTAATGCATCAGAAACTACATCATTAATACAAGTCACTATCTTTCGATCAAGCAAATAGCTCCTGAACCATTGGAGCGATTCACATGTGACGCCTATTAGTAAGAGCTTTTGTAACAGTATATCAGTATCCACCAAATCAAATGCTTTTTGTAGATCAACAAAGACTGACCCTGTGTATTGTCCCTGGTCCATTGCGTTTAACCAGTCGTCGGTCACCTTGACAAGCGCAGTACACGTTGAATGTTTCTTTCTGAAACCAGATTGGTGAGCAGATATAATATCGTTTACATTTAAATGTTGAATGAGTTGTTTCTGTATCATTCTTTCAAGAAGCTTTGAGATGCATGGCAATAACGAAATGGGCCTATAATTATCTGGGTTATACTTGTCACCCTTCTTATGCAACGGTATAATTTTTGCTATTTTCCATACGTCAGGCACAACCCCATCTCTGATTGATTTATTTATCAATCAGAAATTAACATAAGAAAAAGAGGATCATGGGGGACTAACAGGCCCCGATTAGGCATTGTTTTCTATATAGAGGGAGCAAGTAGCTACAAGTAGTACAGGGGGGCTTTAAACCAAGTGGAAACAACAATACCTTGCCAAAGTACCACGTCTGTGTGTTCTGTCTCGCCTCATCCGGTCTTCTTAGCTTCAAGATCATCTCATCTCTGGACGTGAACTGACCGTTGCTGATGTCCAGGACCAGACCATTCTTAGTCAGACTGCTCCTCCTCTGACCGGGATCCCTGGGGGCAGCAAACGCTTCGTTCTGAAGCAGACCGGTCGATGTCATTCGCCAAAGCTGACTCCTCTTCCCGGGCTCCTGCAAGGCACATCGGGTATTACCAAAGAAGTTTAAGGTTGTCCTACATTCTTGCCATTGTGTTAATGATATTCAAAGTGACATGGACAATTGCACCTCTTTATTGACTTTGGTCCACCAGTGGAGCAAATGGGAGACTGTTACAGTTGACTTTTGTCACATGAAGATTGTAATCGTATAATATATATATATATATATATATATATATATATATATTTCTTTTGGTAATCCACAGCCTTTAGTTGATGGTGTATTTTTTGTTGTTATTTTATTTATTATTGTACTTTGTTTTCTTGTATTCCCTGTTATGATTATACTCCTTTATGTTCCTGGAAATAAAATGAAAATCAAAAAGTTAAAATAAATTCTGGAATGCTTCCAGTGTCTCTGGACAGCTTGTCTAAACCAAGAGTAACACAATTACTTTGTGTTAAAGCACGTAGCTATTATCTCATCATAATAAAACCATTATGCTCACCTTCTTGCGTAGGACAACCGGTGAATCGGCATGAGGTACATCCAAGACAAGCTGAGCCGAGGACCAGAAATTCTTGTTAGATGATGACTCTCCAAATGACTGTAAACTTGAAGTTCTGCAGGGAGAAATGGTGTTCATTTAAATATTTTTGGCGACATTTCCCATACGATTCAAAAGTAAATCAGTCCTTGGACTTTAAATAGGGATAGTTTTTTTCTTTCAACACTCTCAAATAGATTTGTGGAATTGTTTCTAAAGTTTAGTATCATGATGTCAAAATAATTGCTTTTTTATTGGAAAATTTCTGTCATAGAAGTGTTATTACTTGCGACTCTTTAGCAAACTATAAATGGCAGTCATCCATCAAAGGTCACAGTGATAGAGTTTTAATACTGCATAACATTTTAGTTTCATTCAAGTTTTAAAGGTGGAGTCCACAGCAATGCAGATTAAATTTCCATAAAAAAACAAGATCCTCCTTTGTACCCCTAATAATTATCAATACCCTCTTTCCCCAGCCCTCATACCAGTATCATTACCCCTCTCTATTAATACCACAAGCAATATAATTTACCCTTTGAATGTGGAGTCCATAGCAATGTAGATGAAGTTCTCATAGTAGAGATGGTTACCCCTAATCATTATCACTTACCCTCCTTGCCCATCCCTCATACCGGTATCATTACCCCTCTCTAATACCACAAGCAATATAATTTACCCTTTGAATGTGGAGTCCATAGCAATGTAGATGAAGTTCTCATAGTAGAGATGGTTACCCCTAATCATTATCACTTACCCTCCTTGCCCATCCCTCATACCGGTATCATTACCCCTCTCTAATACCACAAGCAATATAATTTACCCTTTGAATGTGGAGTCCATAGCGATGTAGATGAAGTTCTCATAGTAGAGATGGTTACCATCTTCAAGCTTGTCTAAGTTATAGACACTGCTAGAGCCTCCTTTCACTTCACACACCATGAGAGGGGGGAGAATCGGCTCATCCCATGCATACGGAACTGAGAATTAAAGAGAAGATAGGTATAACACATTTAACAAATAGTAATGAAGAGAGACTTATGGGGCGTTGCAAGAAAGTTGCAATTGATTGCAAGTTGCAAAATTAGCAACTGATATTTACAATCAATTGCAACTCAACTTTCATGCAACGCCTAACTAGTCTCCTAAATTTCCTAGGATTTTGTTAGGATTAAAGTTTTAACAATGGCATTAAGTTAAATAGATCTAGCTTTTATTCTCCCTCTCTATCCCTGTCTTACTAATGGGGCGTTGCAAGAAAGTTGAGTTGCGATCAATTGCAAATTTGCAAATAATCGCAAGACTTACGCTTGATTTTGAGGATTTGCTATTGATTGCAACATTCTTGCAACGGCCCATTAGAGAAGCTTTTTGATTAAATGACTAGTTACTATATTTTGATCAAATACTTGTTATTCTTGTTGGAGAATATATTGAAAGGGAATTTGATGATCATGGATGAAAAATTATAATTTATAATATTGAGAAAAAAATCATGTAAAATCACGTGATTTTTACCATTTTGGGGGGTTGGCCCCCCCCCCCTGGCGCTCAAGGGGGGGGGGGGGGGTGCAAATTGACTTTTTTTTGAGGATCAAAAAAAAAAAAATGTGCTCACTGCCCCCCCCCCCCCCCCCCCCCCCCCCCCCCCCCCCCCCCCCCCCCCCCCCACTGAGCGACTTTTCGGCCGGCGCGATTTTCAAATTTTCGGGAGCAACAAAAAAAAAGTTGGGCCCCCTCCCCTAAGAAATCCTGGATCCGCGCCTGCTGGTGGGGCTTTAGTCTGCAGCCCCTCTTAAAAAACTGCCAGCCTTATGTTTGTGGGGGGAGGGGGCCAGGGGTGCCAGGTAAAAATGTTATAGGTAAATATGTCAGAGGTAAAAGTGTCAGGAGAAAAATATCAGTGCCGTCATAATTATCTTACCACTTTATCACTGAGTGTCGCGACGTGATGAGCTCCTGGCCTCGTCTATTGTATTCCCTTCTTCCATATCATAATGTACATTTTTATAAATGAATGTGTATTTAACTTCGTAGGCCTGCATGTCTTGAGGATTAATTGAGGAAATTTGAAAAATTGACTCAGGCTTGGATGTATGAATTTCGAACATTTGTCGATATTTTAAATTGGTTGATGTTTTAATGTTTATTTGGTTTTGAGGAAGTAAGTACATAGGATATTAAGATTGAATGAGATAAAACAGGGAATCAGTTATAAACATCGCACAGAAATTCAACAAATTCAGTCATCTGAGCCGATCTGACTCATGTTCATGTTCATCCCAGCAAAAACAAGAAAAGACATGGATGCTTTCCCCCCTCATCAATACTTTATAACAAAAGTTTAAAAAAACAATAGCCAAGCTTTGATTGAAGAATGTCAGAGGCTACCGTGTAATAAATATAAACGATTATACATGGAAACGCATGAAAAGACACATTCTGACTTATTAAAATAATCCAATAGTAAGTCACTTTGGTCAATATAACCCCGCCCGGCCGCCCCCCCCCCCCCCCCAATTCCTCTCCACAAAACACGTTCCTCAAAAGTTGTTTCCGCCGTGTGAACTCAATTACAGTAAGCTGATATGTTTTGCCCTATTATAGCTCCTGAGGCCAAGGTTTGGATACGCCGGGCACTGGAGAGTCTACCAAAGTACGCTTTAACTACCGTCATCTTACTGGCTCACTGGCCCCACTGACTCTATATATAGTGCCTCCAATTTGATTCTACGGAAAATAATGTTTAAGAACATGACAATCATTGAAAAAAAATCTACAATAGAACTATTTAAAACAAGATAGTTAAAAACTATATTTCGTTTATAATGAAATAACTTTATGTTGACCTATCTATAAAGGGCATTTTTCTAACAACATATAGCTATTAAAAAACAGGGATGTTACGCAATGACATTATTTACGGATCAGGTTTTAGGAGGCCGTGGGCACAATTCCTTTTCTTCTCTGAGAGGGGTCTATATAACTATAGCCCTGTCGGGGCACCACGTTTTGTGGAAGCTTTATTATACAGCGACCGAGTATAGTAACGCATCTATGTAGCATAGGGAATAACACTTTTTTTCTAGCCGAAGCTTTCATTCTGGTGATATACCTTTTGAGATTTTGCATTTCCACTTTGGAACCTTCCATTTAGAACACCATTTTGATTAAACATGCTTATATCATAGCTAAGTGACTCAGTGGCGGATCTAGGGGGGGGGGGGCGGGGGAAGAAAAAAACAGTGTAAAAATACGTTAATTTTACCCCTTTTTTTTTTAGATGCCCCTCAACGGGGGGGGGGGGGGGGGGGGTGCAATTTTTCAAATTTTCGAGGGCCAAAAAAAAATTAGTGATCACTACCCCCCCCCCCCCTCCCACTGAACGAATTAGCGTTCGGCACGATTTTTCAAATTTAAGCACACTAAATTTCAAATTGATTTCAAATTTGCCCCCCCCCCCCCCACCCCCAGTAAGAAATCCTGGATCTGCGCCTGAAGTGACTACTCAGTACGATAATATACACGACGGTGGCCTGTACTTATATAGCGAAAAAGAAGGAGAAGGGAGGGGGAGATTATTTGGGTGATGATTTTTTGAATGTCGGTGTGTGACTCCGTTTCGAAAACATTTAAAACTTATTTATTGTCATTATCTTTGATCCCCCTAAAAAAAAAAGGCCGGGCCCAGGATACTCTATACACTGTTGGTCATAATGGTGGAATAATTTTTTTTTACCCCAATTTATTGAATGATTTCGACAATGATTTATTCTTAATAGATCTAGATAATAGTATAAATTCTCAGATTTTATTGAATGACAATTGGGGAGTGTTTGTTTTGCGTGACTGCTAAAGCATTTGTGTGCTACTATGCCAATCAACTAGGGAACCTATGTCCTTAGGTCATAACTGACAGTATTAATGCCTCATAAAAGGGCACTAATATAGCACATCCAGGCGCGTAAACAGGGGGGGGGGGGGGGGGGTTAGGGGGTTAAACCCCCCCTTTGGTATTTGTTTTGTGTGTAAACCCCCCCTAAACTCCCCTAAACCCCCCCCCCTTTGGATGTGTTTTTTTTTTTTTTTTTATTAAAAAAAACAAAAAACAAAAAAACAAAAATATTCCCATGACTAACCTAAAAAAGCTGACCTTACCCCCCCCCCACGGTGCAAAATGTCAATTTTTCAAATTTCGAGACAAAAAAAAAGGTGTCCTCTTACCCCCCCCCCCCCCCCCCCCCCCCTTGCTTATTCAGCGGCTGGCTGAGTCGTTGCGAAATCGTTGCTGAGCTCCCTGAAATTACGATACATCAAACGCGTATGCTATAAGAAGAAAGTTATCAATCTTAGATTTAATCTTTCTCTAAATCTGATCCGGAGAAGACACTCCCAAACTGGTGAATATAAATTCTGATTTGGGGGATAAAACGAGTTGTTTAATCTTTAGTAGTACTTATTTCCTATTTATTATTATATGTGAAATAGAATTGGGTAAGAAAATTCGAGTTTAAGTTATTCTTAATGTCTTTTTTACGTGATTAGATATCTTGACCGAAATGTCAGTTTGTAAGGCTTCGGTCCCGTGTGTTGATTTTTGTGTAGGCCGAGGTCTGAACGTTGATATGTCACCACTGCAAATAGTTTTGTATGTTATCTTATTTATCCTGGATTGGTATATCAGATAGATTGTCTTCTCTAATGTGATATATGAAGATGTTTATTATTTTCTTGAGGCAAAAGAATGACTGAGACTGACTAAGTCTAAGTGAAGGAAAAAACAATGCAAATGACAAACGTTTTGAGACAAAACAAGTCGAGCAGAAAATTGAAATAAGTTTTTCTTTCTTGTTAAATTAATGGCAAGCTCTCTCATCTATTCAACCTACAAGTTGAATAGGTCAAAGGACAGGAAGGATCTCACCATCATCTGTAACAACATGTCCTTGAGTTTGTCAAGCAGTTATTAAAAGATTCATTTGTGGCCAAAACTGAGTCGAACAAAAATTGTCAACCGATTCTACGAGTACGAGTACGAGTACGAGTACAGCTTTAATGATTGAAATCTGATGCTGCAATGAGTTACAAATACATTTGAATTAACTTCAGTGAAATTTGCTCTTTAAAAAAAAATTCCTTTGGTTTGATAGTAACATGCGTACAAAGGATATTTTTTACAAGTGGAAGCTAATGAAAACAAGTATTCTTATTTCTCTAAGTCAGTGGATTGGTTGATGTCAACATGGTAGAGTTGTACAGAGATCCAATAATTCATGGCAAAAAGACAAAGCTGAATGACCCCTCCGCTATTAATTCATTAAAAATACATACTAGTCTACAATCATTGATAAAGTAGTAATATCAATGTAGAGTAAAGGAGCCGGTAATCGGCAAGCTCCAGTTTTCGGCCGATTGGTTGGATGTAAGGTAAAATCCCTCTAAAATACATCGCATAATAGCATAACACATATCCCACACATACCATACCATGCCAGTGTCACTGAAGAACCACATTTGCAATAAAAAAAATATATCCTAAAATATTACATTTTAGCGATGTAATCGGCGGTCCCGCTACCCAAATCTGAAAAATTGAGTATCTCACGCGTGTCTGTAAGAAATATGGGTACAGTAAAATGAGTTTTATTTCAAGTATTTTTCAGATTTAGAGCCGATTTTGTGCTAGTCGCAAGCTCAAAAGTATCTCATCGCATGTATTAAATCAATGCAGCCGCACACCGCAACGCACACACGATATCTCTGTCTAATTCAGATTCCAATATCCGATCACCGCAGTACTAGTTTTCGGCCTGGCGAGCTCCGGGGAGCTCCGGCGTGGGATATCTGCTCCGCCCGCTAGTGCTATAGATCAGCGCGGAAACGCACGGCGCGTGCGCGCGCTTCCTACTGACTCCGAAACAGTGAAAATTGAAATGAATATTGTCATGGCAATTCGTGATTTTTTTTCTGGGATTCTTGTTTTGTTTAAATAATAATAATATTTGCTTCATGATTTGAACAAAAAATGATAATAAATAGGAAGTAAAGGGTCCAAAAAATAGGATTTTGTCTTAAGTGGCCGAAAACCGGCTCCTTTACTCTAATATGCCTTTCTAAACTTTGGATGATATGAGACAAAAAGAAGAAAAAAATGAAATTGTGACAAAATATTGCAATAATAATAATGATAATATATCTTGTTTACCCAAGGTACCCTCATCATTAGTAATACTGTTCTCTCCAAGGCTTCTGTAATCATATTATTACCCCTGCTTTAGCCGAGCTACCATGAAAAGGCGCTCAAGCATTCAAGGAAGTTCTTCCTACCTTAGGCTTGTACCCATTTACCAATGCAGTATGTTGGTTTCCAAAATCAAAGATATATTCCAAATACATGTACATGTATATGGCACTTTAGTGACCCAGTGCTTTCGTTGCCTTGTTCTTATGCAATATACACATTCGTAATATTACAGGGATAAGGACCCCTTTTTTTAAAGGGAGAGTTACCCTTGATGGCAGACGAGTATAGCTTCTGCCTTTGCATTCTTTTTCCTCATTAATAAAATCAAACAAAATTGTGTATTTTACAGATATGAAAAACCGCAGAAATTAGATTTTCAATGATGCAGTCAAGGATTCTCTAGCCTAGAGGTTTCCTGAGTCAAGCCGTGATGTTAGAACGGTTGGCAGCATGGGTTCTCAATACCTATCTGGGAGAGTACGTCGAGAACCTCAACACAGATCAGCTTTCAATAGGACTTCTCAGTGGTATGTTATTTAGCCTTTTGATACTATATTTCATCTAAATAGATAATAGACAGACCTATAGATATGTGTTGGAAGAAAAAGAGTTTGTATTGAATGGATTAAGCATGTCATATAAGTTCGGTAGAAGAATTGAGAAGCTCTTCTCACAAATGAATAGGATTCCAATGACCCTATGTAATATACATGCATCACTTGTCACTATATCACTATGTTTAAAGACCGTCACCACTACTGGGCAAGAAGGGATTAGACCACACAGCGAGCCATCGAGGTCACTGTGACAGGTGGTTATCTCATTAACTCAGCTCTCATTTAACATAAGAAAAAGAGGATCATGGGGGACCAACAGGCACCGATTGGGGAAGTTTTCTATATAGAGGGAGCAAGTAGCTACAAGTATGGCAGTGTGCCTTTAATATTCCACTTGTAATGCATATGAATTCACAACTAATTGCAACAAATATTCACTGGTTTCACTGTCATACAGGTATGTGATGTTTACAGAAATATGGAATGCCCCAAAGAGGGATGTAGAGCAGTTGTGACATGTATTTGTTTCATACAGTGATGACCTCGTTAAATTTTTTTCTTTTTTAATTCCGAGATTGAATGATAACTTATCCACTTTTTGTTCTTTATATTCTTTAATACAGGTGCAGTTGAACTGGAAAATCTTCCATTGAGGAAAGATGCCTTGAAAGAATTGGACCTACCTGTCGAAGTCAAAGCTGGTATGAATCAGGCCAATTTATATCATCTGTTCAGAGCCATTTATAAGCCAGGGCATTTGCAATTCACAAAGTCTATTCTAGAAAAAATGGTCATCATTCAATATTTTTCTTCAAGTTTCTGGTTTGACCATAGCTTCTTGAAATTGATCTCCCTCCTCTTCCACCTGCTCAAATTTGTTGTCTCATTCTATTCTGTTGTCGCCTTTACTAATTCTATTTCTCTAAATCTGTCTATTTAAGTTTTTCAAAATCCTTATTTATTACAATTCAACTTGTCATAAAAATCATAGCAATTTTCTTTGTACATATATTTCTCCCTGTAATGAGTATTTCAATACTGCATATATACACAAATTGAACTTTTCTATTTTATCATTTTTTTTTATTGAACTTCTTTTTTTTTTAAATGTACAGTTTGATTGATTGATTGAGAAATAAACATGTAACTGAAGAAAAAAATGTGTGCTTCAAATTTAATTTTGCAGGGTTCATCGGAAAGATTCGTCTTCAGATCCCAGTCACGCATCTAAAGACTGAGCCATGGGTGATCTCTATAGAGAACCTGTACCTGGTAGCTGGTCCTGCTCTGAGGACCAAGTACGATGAGAAAGAGGAGGCCCCGGAACAGGACAGGAAGCAGCAGCAGCTGGATGCCATCGAGGCTCAATGGAAGGTAAGAAGATGATACATCACAAATTTTTATAATTTTTATCCAGAGGCATTATGTTTTCGAGCTGTCCGTCCGTCAGTACATCTGTACGTCCGGTTCTCGTGATCTCAAGAACCAATTGATGGATTCCTGCCAAACTTAGGTCATGTATGTATCTTGCAGAGCCAATGAACTGATTAGATTTTGGGGTCACAAGGTCAAAGGTCACAGGGCTCAATACACTGGTCACAGGGCTCGTGGTCGCATTATCTTAAGAACCGATGGATAGATTAGCGCCAAACTTGGGTCATGTATGTATCTTGCAGAGCCAATGATCTGATTAGATTTTAGGGTCATGAGGTCAATGGTCAAAAGTTGTGGGGCTCATTATGTATTCAATAATAGCTTGTGGTCGCATTATCTTAAGAACCTATGGATAGATTAGTGCCAAACTTGGGTCATTTATGTATCTTGCTGAGCCAATGAACTGATTAGATTTTAGGGTCATGAGGTCAATGGTCAAAAGTTGTGGGGCTCATTATGTATTCAAAAATAGCTTGTGATCGCATTATCATTAGAACTGGCAGATCGATTACAATCGAACTTGCATTTAAAAAAAATTGCTTTCGTTTTGGTTTGTAAAATCACCCTATGGCGGAGCACAGTCAAAGTTCCATCTACTTTTTTGCTGTTATAAGATGCATCCTGAAAATTCACTCTCACATGCATGACATTAGCATGCCTGTGCAAGTTTCTGGTTTTTTCCGCATCCATCAAATTGAGAGGTGATGATACATTTGAAGACATTTGATGTCATTTTCCAAAAGATGCACTTCCAGAGCTGGCAACCATTCCGTTCTGCTGGAATTACTCTGTTTTTTCTTCCAAATTTTTTTCATCGGAATTACGTTTTTTACGGGCTGATAACAGTATGTAACATCCCCTTGAGCCTATAAAAACAACTATCCTTCAAATATTAGAGCAGTCATTATATCTTTACTATTATTTCATTTATTGTAATTGCCCTTTCTAATGATACAAACTTCTTTTCTTGTACTTTTAGAGAAAAATGGAAGCCTCTGGTCCGAATGAGGATACATCTTGGTATGCATACTCTACAAACATCTTCTACAATGTCTTGGAGAATCTACAAGTAAGTCAGTCTCTCTTCATCAACCTATTCCTATCATAATTTTGGTAGTCATGAATGAAACTGTCTCAGAATCATATTGCCACTGAATATTGCAAAATGCAAGTAAGTATTTGCTGAATGAATTTGTGAAATTGGAGGGAATGCAGAGAAAGCACAGTTCAACATCCTCTGAATCAGACTAAGATCTTGTGTATAGATCTTTTAATGATGTTTGAAGTTCAAAGACCCTGTCGGAAGTAAAAAAAAGAGTGAAATAGATGAATTTATATATCAACGGAAAGCTTATAAGCCATAGATTGTAGCAATGTCAATTATATGCTATTTTAGTGCCTGTCATAGGAGTATAGCTCTCTGAAAACTCAAAATTTAAAGCTTTGTAAATCGGAAGTAGTTGACCTTAAATCGACTTGATGGCATCATTTTAGGTGGAATACGCATATTCACAATGACTTTGTATTAAATAAAGCATGGCTCATTGCCTCAGCTATATAGACAAGCATATCTGGTTCACATGTAATGTTGTCACCATAACTGCGGCTTAATTGACCCTGTTGACCCATAACTTGGAAGGAAAATGAGGTTTTGATTTGTTTTTGTTCAATACTGACAGGGAAAATATTTGTTATTGCTTTATATTTGTATTCTATGTTCATTCAGCTTTCCATCAGGTAGGGTCTATTTACCTGTAATGCTCTGTACAATGCAACATGTACGGTTTATACCAAATGTACATCTATACTTTATGTAATATCATACTAATAGTACCGATTCATTACCTACCAGCATGTCCTAAAGTTCATCCAGTGGTCCATAAATAGCATATGCACGTTCAATGGTGCACTTTTTCCGACCTAGACTGACAGAAATAAATTTTAAAAGCTAACAATACATGTTGCCCCATACAGCTTATAACCATATTTAATTATTTGGTAACGTTTTAGGGGATATAATCAGAGCATGATAGAATATATGTACATGTATACGACTTGTACATGTATGTGTCATCATGTATCGGGTACATGTAGATTCTTGTATTAAGCTGCAGTTCAAAGATCAAAGTTTAAAGCAAAATTAGCAACAAGATAAGATCCAATCAGGCCTTACATTGTATCTTAGATTATTAGAATGTAAAAGTCAATACTATCAATATTGTGCTGATTTAATATGTACTACAAAGGGGGAATCCACTAAAATACATTCCATGTACTGTAAATCTCTGTGTTTAAGGCGCACTTTTTTTCCGTCGGCAAAAATAAAAAATCGGAGGTGCGCCTTATACACAGGTACAGAATATTTTAAGTCCTCAAAATGCTACTTTTTAGTGGTTTTCGATAAGCCTGAGTCATTACGTTTTTTGTGCTAAACGTTTAACAAAACCTTGCCGATAATTATTGTTTTTAGAGCTCCGTAGGGGCAACAAAACCTTGCCGATTGGAACTTAGTAAGACCTAGTAATAATGTTGGTTTTAAAACTAAAGATGACAGATTTTTTAATTTTTTTTTTTATTTAGTCTTCAAAATAGGGGTGCGCCTTATACACAGAGATTTACAGTACATTTTTCCTTGTAGCAATTGTACTCCTGCATCTTTCTCTTACATCACATGTATTAACAAGTACTGGTATACTTATACTTGCCACTCTCCACCCAGGTGCGCTAGTTACTTTGGCATCTCAGCTATAACTGGGGTATTAATGTTTAAAGATAAACTTGAGTTCTGGTAAAAAAAGAAAATGAATTCTCACAGAATCTAATGAAACTTACACTGAATGTTCAAGATTACAAATAAATGTCATGTGCCAAACAATTTTGGAAGAAAATGTATACTGGCTGAGTAATGAGCATAGAAAGATAAGGAAATCAGGGTAGTACTAGCCCCGACACCATGTGTGTTGTCCCATATACATCTTTCTGTGTAAGTGATTGTTACTTTACCAAGACTCTGCCAAATTTATGATGATTTTGATGACTCCAGAACCTTGCATTACACACCATTACTTACATGCTATATGATCAACTTTTCTGATCCATTCCACACCTTTTCTTTCACAATGCAATCGCATTACCAGAACTCAAGTTTATCTTTAAGCGCCACAAGCATCACAGTGTGGATATAGGTACTACAGTGTATATAAAAAGACAATATTACAAGAGGGTAGAAATTATAATGGTATCTGATAAGAAATTGTATATTGGGCTGAAAAAATAACGTAAACATAATTCCTACAAAAATATTGTCAGGCCATCCATTTTTTGGGGGAAATAAAGATTAAATTAAATTTGAATTTACCTTGATTAATGTCTTCATGGAAAGAGCTGGAGACGATAGGTGTTAAACATTGACTGCAATGTTAATTGAGATGAATTCTAGATTCTCTATTTATATAGCAATAATGCTGTCGTCATTATTTTGATATACTTGTACTGTACATGAATAAGCCTTTCATGTGCGAGAAATCGTAACACTCCAATCTTCCAAATAATATTTTACCAATTGATACTACAATGTAACAGAAGGTAACAGAAAACATTTTGTATGCAAATGTAAATGCCATTCAATGGTATCGGAGAATGATCTCATTCCATTACCTCCTGCCCTTGTGGGATTGCTCTCTATATAATGTGTTAACCATTTGCCTACTGGAACCGGATGTTCCCTCTATTAAAGGTACTATGTCCCTTTTGCAGCCAACCTCAAATGCTGTAGAACTTTGCAGGAATTATGAATATGTCATGTATGTCCTATCTGTGAAATTCAAACATTAGCAGTGTCCTCATATTCAAATTATGCAAGGAAACCCGTTTACTTGCTAGACTTCACTGTCAGACACTATTGAGTGTCTGACTGCCTTTTTTTCTTCTTTGATAATAACATACATGAAAAGAGTTGTAAAGGGTACATGAGCATTTGTCTACATCAATAACCCACTTCTTGTGATGGCCAAGATTAAACTGATTGAATCTTTGCACAGCATAAAAGGTATGACCATTCGGTACAATTGTCTGAAAATCAAGACTATTACTTTTGGGCTCTATAGCCCTAAAGTCGATTTGACAACTAATGGTCGTTATTTTCCCACTTGAAGACATTTTCAAGCCCCATCTTTTTTAGGGAAGTTCTAAATTAGTATTATCTTTTAAATGCAGTTGGAATTTAACTTTTTCATTTTTTTGGCCTGCAAATGGGACATAGTACCTTTAAGCCTATATACGGATTAGAGAATTCAGCAGTCGGTGGGTTAAGTTTGATTATTTTCTGTATTCTCTCCACAGCTCAAGATCAAGGATGTCCATATACGATACGAAGACTCCACCATCCTGCCCGGCATGAATCTAGCCTTCGGGATCACCATCAAAAGCATCTCAGCCGTCAGCACCGATGACAACTATGTAAGTCTTAAAGCCCCACTGCACGATTTATAGCTACTTACGCCCTCTATATAGCAAACAATGCATAAGCGGTGACCGTTGGTCCCCCATGGTCCCCTTTTTCTTATGTTGATTGAGAGCTGATTTGATGAGATAACCACCTGTCAGTGACCATGCAAGGAGGTCTAATCCTTCCTGACCAAACTAGTGCAGATAGGCTTTAAACTTGTTAACCAGTGATATGATGTACAAAAGTAATAATGGTTAAGTAAGCAGCAGGCTGACAACAGTTATGTAAATGTACATTAGAAATTTTGTTATGAAAAATATACCGTAATTCTGGTTTGCTGTGTAAAATCATCGGCAGTTTCCTGAACCGATGTCTACATGTATGTGCATACATTGGTGAACAAAATTGAGCAGTGCCAAAGTATTGCTGGAAAGTACTCTATTTTGTATATGACCTGTCTGACATTTTTGCCAATTGACAATTCACATACAATAAATTCTTGTCCAAAACCTAAGTACATGGACATATATACATGTATGTACATATTCAACTCCAAATGTGTGCACACAGTTCATAGAACTTTGATAGAAAAAAAATGGGTAGAAATTTACAAAGGGGGCACATTATGTGAATGTGGGAAAGAGCTGTATATGATTACTTCAACAGCAACAGTATAAAATGCTTAAAGAGAAGGTTGAGTTCTGGGAAGAGGTGAAAAATAATTTGTGAGCATTACTCATTCTTATTATGCAAGTGTGGAAGAAGACATGTTCCCTGAAAAGCATGGCTCTTCAAATGCCTTCATATTCTAAATATGAATGTAACATCCTAAAAATCGGGGGGGGGGGGGGTGGGGGGGTGGGGGGAGGCTTTTTACGCCACATGTTCGTGTAGTCCCATATACATCTTTCTGTGTACAGTGTTTGTAACTTTACCAAGACTTGGCCAAATTTCTTATCATTTTGATGATTCCAGAACCTTACAATACACACAAATTCTTATATGCTAGATGATCAACCTTTTCTGGTTGGTTCCACACCGTTTCTTTCACAATGCAACCGCATGACCAGAACTCAACTTCATCTTTAAATGGAAAAGGAAACCATGTCTCTTCACAACTACGTGCTAACATCTGGAGTGAATGCCTGAGGGAGCATGTAACATAAAAGGAACAGCATATGTTTACTGCATATGATCTGATTGAAGGCCATGGGATTAATGTGATACCTACACATGTACCAGGCTTTAGAAGGATTACGTGACTGTATTGAATTTATACAAACGGCCTGTACATGTGCACATTGGAGACTTTAGATGGTAGTCATGTATTCAAAGTTACATGTTTTTGATTCTTAAAGGTAATACAACATTTTTGGAAATTTTGACAATTGGGTGGATAGTGATTCTTTACAATTTTGATATATTTGGATGACCCTGTGGATGTATTATACCAATTTACAGATTGTGCAACAGCTAATTGACATGCGACAGAACGTCTGCAATATCGATCAAGACTACAAGCCCCAAACCCGACTATACAATTCATAACACAGCCCAAAATGCAGACTTGTATTTTAATGACTAAACTTTAATGAATAAACTGTAATGACTAAACTGTACTAGGGGTTAAGGTCAATATGTCAAAGGTTATGGAAGTAAGAAACCATACATAAATTGTGCTTCGACCCAATTTAATATTGATATAAACAAATCAGATAATAATCAAGTTTTTCGAGAATGAATTGATTGTAGATTTAAAATTCTAATAAAGTGTACCACATAGAACTTTCTTATCTTAGTTCACGAGTATATTATCCCCATAAAACGTGGAGCAAATCCGTTGATCATAATAGTATATACATACACTTAGAAAAATGAATTAAAAGGATATTTTAAAGACCTGCTCATATTGGGAAACCTCTCGATGATTGCCAAAGTACTAATGTCACCTGAATGATAAAACCATTGCTAATCATCATAAGAAATTAAGAATATTATGTAATTATAACACATTCATTCTACACATAAGAAAATACTAAACAGCTCTTCTATTGTTGAAATATACACAGTAATTACATTTTTTTAACGAATTATTTCTTAATTGCAACCAAAACTTGTGGTACAATTTAAAATATAAATAAAATCACAAATAGAATCACAACCAGATAGATAACAATGGTAGAAATAATGTACACAAGTTTTTTAAAAAAAACTGTAGAATCTGATACATACATGTAAATATACAAACAACAATGTACTACAATCATTCCATGACAAATTATCAAATAAATTAACGTTAGCTCATAAGTACAGCATTTCATAATAATTGTATTTATCCTGCAGTTTCCATGTTCAGAAGGCCATAATTCGCTGACACCAGACTTGGTGGAAATACCATTAATGGGAGTACAAATATTCTGCACACAGCAAACCCGTTGGCCAGTCAAGAATTCCCCCCTAATCTCTCGGATAATACTGAGAGTTTTCTGGTAAGGGGGGGGGGGGGAGGAGCAAAGCATTACATAAGGTCTAATGGTCATAAAACTCGAGGCTAACCCGGGTGATTGACAACACCTGTTGTTGGGTAAACACCCGAACGGTGTCGAATTCCCCATGAGAGCTGACTACTGAGTGTCTTTAACATTTGAAGTAATTAAAATAGGTTTGTCTATAAATTGAGCAGTTTATAATGAAATCGATAATGATGACGGATATAAAAGAAACACAGATCACCAACATTACATAGATTCAGAATGGAGTTGTGAGTGATGGTAGCGTGTATCGTCTGTTGTGACAGAAGGGCGTTAACTCATATTCATTACATACATGTAGACCCAACACCCTCCCAACTCTCAGCAGACGATATGTCATATAAATCTTAATAAAATCAAATTAAGGAATTAACACACTGAGCCTAGAGTATGGAGTATGAATTCGGATCTGGTATACAAGTAAAAGTACTTACCGGTAAGGGAAGTGGAAACTTTCAGAAATATTCAATTACAGCAATCTACATTCCATAAGGTAGTCTAAAAATGCACAGTATTACATTTTCACTACATGTACCTAGTAGTTGTAGGCATTATCATCATAAATCTAAACATACTAGGTCAGACATTGATGCTTCAAAATAAAAAAAATACTTAAAGATGAAGTTGAGTTCTAGTCATTATTGTATTATTCATTATTAGTCATTATTCTTTGTATTACTATTATGCCTCCTTTATTACATGTAGTAGTTGTACCATTAAACATACGTGTATTTAGCAACAAATTCATTCTCCAAATTAAAAAAGGCTATCAAACACCGCTCAGTTGTCAAAACATTCAGAATTCACGAGTCAAAGTTGTTTCATATTTCACAAAAAGACAGAAATGTAAATTTGACAAGTTACAGAGAATGAATAATGTACAGTTAACAACTATATTATTCATACGCTTACCAAGTTTTGTAATTTTTCAAACGTGTAAAAATAGATTTGTCCCAAATTAATTTACTTTAGAATGTGACATATTACATCTAAAAGTATTCAACCAGTTCAGCTTATATTCTTGAGTTGCAAAAAAACAAAACAGAAAACATCAAATTTTCAAGGGGTATGAATTTTAAAAATTAGTTATGTTCAGTTACGAATTGCAGCAGCTTGATGTTGTGGGTAAAGTAAGGGACAAAATACCCCGGACTTCAATACACATAAAGGACAAGGGAACTGCGAATGTGGCCTTAGAGGCATACATATTGATTATTACACATGTAGTTCTCAGCCCTTTGCCGGTAATCAAATTTGCCAATATTGTTTTGGAGGTTTTTAATGTTTGTTGGATGACAATTAGTTTGCCTTGTGGTGAATAGTAACGGTCGTGTTAAACAGGAATAACACTATTGATCACCTTGTTGCCTCTCATGCTCTTTCCAAACTGAGCCCAGAAGAGTTCCTGGCCATCTCCATCATCTGTCCAGAGCATGTAGGGTTTGTTCTTACTCATGAACAACTGGACCAGGTACGGGAGATCATCATCCTGGATGTCCTCAAGGAAAATCAGTATGACCTTGTCCAGTCTGGTCTCATTGAGGTGCTCTAAGGCTATGCGTAGCTTGGTCAGAAACCAGGCTTCATCCACAGAGTTGTTGCTTATTAAGAGGACAGTCTTGAAGCTGTTCTCAACGACGTAGTGGAGAGCTTGGATGTAGTACATCTCGATGTTGAGGTTGTTATCGCCGAAGGCCACTTTCTGGAGATGTGGAAACCTCTCTTGCAGGACTGGCTTCATGATCTGGTCCACCCATTCCTGGTCATCCTCATCGTACATCAGGTTGAGCTGGTACTCATAGTCCTGGGCATCAAAGTCTTGGTTGAATTCCTCGTAGCCAAAGATGGCTAGTCTTAGGAGGAAGAGCTTGCAGTTGAGCCACCGTCGTTTTCGATATGCCACCAAGCACAGGATGGCTACCAGAACTACGGAGAAGGACACACCTGTGATGATGAGGATATTCGTGCCACAGTATTGATCAGGATGGAACGAAAGGATTGGCGAATGCACCATGTCTTCGATGGAAGAGAGTGAGCAAAGTGTGTCATCAGGGTGGATGAGTTCGATATTGCCTGAATGTAGCCACTCCACAAACCAACCCAAGTCGCATGTGCATGAGAAAGGGTTTCCTGATGCGTCTATGCTCGTTGTCCTGTTTTTAGGAAATACTGTTCCAGGTTCTATTGTGGTGATTCTGTTGCCTTGCATGAACAGGTGGTGCAGAGATTGCGCTCTATTGAATAGAGTCTTGGGAATCAAATCAAGTTTGTTATTGGTTATGATGAAGACTCCAAGCCTGGGCTGACTTTGAAGTAAATCTCCAGGAATTGCTGAGATCTCATTGTCACGAAGATCCAATCTTGTGAGAGAAGTCAGACTGTCAAAAACACTGGAATTGAGGACTTTAATAGAAGACTGAGAGAGGAGCAGTATTTCGAGTTTCTTCATGGGGTTGAAAGTTCCTGGTGCTAACATATCT